AAATAAATGTCATGCAAGGCAACGTTAGGGCCCTATGTGTGGCACAGCAGTGGGCTGCTGCTTGGGATGCCCACATCCACAGGTGCCCAGGTCTGCATCCAGCTCCACTCTCCACTCCAGCACCCTGCTAGGATGCACCCTGGGAGGCAGGTGACGAAGGCTTAGCCACTTGGGTCCATCACCCACACTGACACATCTGGTTTCAAGTCCTGGCTCTTGGTTTCAGCCTGGCCCAGACCCAGCTATGGCAGGCAATTGGGAAATGAACCAGTGGATGGGAAACTTTTCTGTCTGCCTTTAAAATAAGTAAAAAAATAAAGTCTTTTTACTGATTGTTTATTTGAGAGGCAGTTACAGAGAGAGAGGGAGAGACAGAGAGAAGGGTCTTCCATCCTCTGGCTCACTCCTCAGGTGGCCTCAACAGCCAGAGCTGGGCTGATGCAAAGCCAGGAGCCAGGAGCTTCTTCTGGGTCTCCCACGTGGGTGCAGGGTCCCAAGTACTCGAGCCATCTTCTACTGCTTTTCCATGCCATAGCAGATCGGAAGAGGAGCAGCTAGGACTAGAACCAGTGCCCATATGGGATGTGGGCACTGCAGGCGAAGGATTAACTACTGTGCCACAGCGCCAGCCCCTTATATATGGTTTTAGCCTCTGTCTCCCTTATACTGTGACCTGTATACATTTGATTGGATATTCTAATGTTACATGGCAGTCATGGGACACAACATTGCCCATGCGAACAGTTACTGAGGATTTTTTGCACACATACTGAGCTTTCTGCTGTCTGGCATCATTGCCTTGTACTAACAGGCAGAACCTGAAATGGTGACATATACGCAGATAGGAACCACAGTTGAAGCATTCACGGGCAAGCAGATAACTACATTTCATTCCCAGGACAGATGCCTCCCTTTTACTTCTTCTAACCTTGGGAACGCCTCTACCACAACTTTAATAATGTCAGTTAGCAACAAGTGTAATTAAGACAGAGGCCTCTGCCACACACAAACCAGTGCCCACATAGGATACCAGCCCCAGAGGCTTAGCCTACTATACCACAGCACCAGCCCCAGTAAAGTAAATTTTAAAAAATGATTCCCGAATTCTAAATTCTGCAGGACAGCAGTAATTCCCTTTCCGGCCTACTCTTCCAAGCAACCTCTCCCTAAAATCCTCTCTACCCTCACCCCAAATTAGTTTAAAACACAAGATCCAGGAACAAACTAGCCCAGAGCCCAAGGCACACTCTTTTGGCGTGGACGTGTGGGCACTGGGGGCAAGAGATGGGATCTGCAGGGGTGCCAGTGGGACTGTGACCGGGTTTCTCCCATGGAGGTAGCCAGAGCAGCAGAGCTGGGAGTCCAGGGGTGTCTTCCCTGGCCAGGGTTCCTAGCCAAGAGCCTGATGAGGAGCACTAGGTAGTGTGGCAGGTTGAACTGGTATTTCTTGTAAGAAGTCAAGTGGGAAGGTGCTGAAAGCATAAACATATTCCACTTCCTGCCCTTGACCTTTCGTTATAAAAACAAACACTACACAGTGAAACGAACCATGCGAAAGCAGGTCCAGTACCTAGTGAGTGTATTTGCTGAGCTCTGTACCAGAGGACTACTATCAACTGGGTTTTTCCCCCTGTGGATGTTCTAAACTTTCAGTAGAATCCTTTTTGCACTGAATCAAGAGACCAGAGATTCCTTTTTTTAAAAATATATTTATAAGCCAGTGACGCGGCTCACTAGGCTAATCCTCCGCCTTGCGGTGCTGGCACACCAGGTTCTAGTCCTGGTCAGGGCGCCGGATTCTGTCCCGGTTGCCCCTCTTCCAGGCCAGCTCTCTGCTGTGGCCAGGGAGTACAGTGGAGGATGGCCCAAGTGCTTGGGTCCTGCACCCCATGGGAGACCAGGAGAAGTACCTGGCTCCTGCCTTCGGATCAGTGCGGTGCGCCGGCCGCAGCACGGAGGCCGCAGCGGCCATTGGAGGGTGAACCAACGGCAAAAGGAAGACTTTTCTGTCTCTCTCTCTCACTGTCCACTCTGTCAAAAAAATAAATAAAAATATATTTATAAATATATATTCAAATAAATATTGTATTTATTTGAAAGATACAATAGAGGAAGAAACACAAATCTTTTATTGTTTCAAAATCTTGCATCTGCTGGTTTGATCTCCCAATGGCTGCAACAGTCAGGTCTGGGCTAGGCTGAAGCCAGGAGCCAGGAACTCCAACCTAGTCTCTCCTATGGGTGCAGGGATCCAAGTACTTGGGCCATCTTCCACTGCCTTCCCAGGCACACTTGCAGGAAGCTGTATACTCACACTGTATGCTCAGACTGGTACTCTGCACAATGGCAGCCCTGAGACCCCACTCTTGAATTAATCCTATCTCCTCTATTGCATTAAAGGCAGGTGGCCTGGCAAAAAGCAGTTAAAAAGACTAGAAATTCCTAAGAAATGAAAGAATAATTCTCAAGATATATTTCTTAGGGGCCAGTGCTGTGGTACAGAGGGTTAACACCTGGCCAGAAGCGCCAGCATCCCTTATGGGCGCCAGTTCGAAACCCAGCTGCTCCACTTCCTGTCCAGCTCTCTGCTGTGGCCTGGGAAAGCAGTGGAGGATGGCCCAAGCGCTTGGGCCCCTACATCCATGTGGGAGACCAGCAAGAGGCTCCTGGCTCCTGGCTTCGGATCGGCACAGCTCTGGCCATCGCGGCCATCTGGGGAGTGAACCATCGGATGGAAGACTTCTCTCTCTGCCTCTCCTCTCTCTAACTCTCTCAAATAAATAAATAAATCTTTAAAAAAAGATATATTTCTTAAAATATATGCATCCCTACACTTTTTTTCTAATGTGCCTTGGCAATTAACAGAGCATCTTTGTGGAGGGGCAAGGGCATCAAGTCTGGGCACACTGTTCTCAATCATTGCTATGGTTTCCCTATTATTCGGCTCACAAGCTTGTAGACATTTATATCCCGAAGTCCTGAGTTGTTGGCCCTAGGAGGGTGGAAATTTGATGCAGTGGTGGTGTGTAGGAGGGGAGGTGGGACGTCCTCAGGGGCGTGTCCCCAGAGGGCAATTCCAGTACAGGGCCCAGACTAACCGCGGCCTGGCTCGCCATGGGAGCCTTCCTCTGTACACGCTCTGCCACTGCTCTCTGCTTACCCTCTCGGTGGCCAAACCACGACAGCCTTGGACTTGAACCTCTAGAACTGGGAGCGAAGTAAAACTTTCCTCTTCATAGTTGCCTCAGCTATTTCACTGTAGTGATGAAAAGGTGATGAATAGTCATTGGAACTTGGCCTGGCCATTGCACAGAGCAGCACTCCTGATGCCCGCTCCAATGGTACATTCTTTTTTTTTTTTTTTTAAAGATTTTTTATTTATTTGAAAGAGTTACAGAGAGAGGGAGAGACAGAGGTCTCCCATCCGCTGGTCCACTCCCCAGATGGCCGCAACGACCTGAGCCGTGCCGATCCGAAGCCAGGAGCCAGGAGCTTCTTCTAGGTCTCCCATGTGGGTGCAGGGGCCCAAGCACTTGCGCCATCTTCTATTGCTTTCCCAGGCCATAGCAGAGAGCTGGATCAGAAGAGGGGCAGCCAGGACTCAAACTGGCGCCCATATAGGGTGCTGGTGCTGCTGGTTGGGGCTTTAACCCGTGCGCCACAGTGCTGACCCCCATAGACTAGAACCAGTGCCCACATGGGATGCTGGTGCTTCAGGCCAGGGCGTTAACCCGCTGTGCCACATTGCAGGTCCCGGTACATTCTTTAATTCAAGGTGACTTTAGAACAACAGGTTTCTATGTCAGTTTGGTGGATTGATCTTTGCAACCTCACAACTTCAGGGCAAACTGACCAACTGAATGCAGGTAGAACAGAGACACTGCTAAAAGTCTCTTCCAGTTCCAATTGCTATGCTCCTGCTATATGGACCTAAATTGAGAACCATGACCAACTCCTCTTCCCACCTTTTTTTTTTTTAAATAATCTTTCCCCATATATTTTTTCCTACTCCAAACATATCCACAGCTGACAACAAGACTAGTAAGGGTATCAGAAGAGCTTCCTCAACTCTTGTTTTATGTTTATTCCATGGATCCTGATTTCAGGGGATTGTTTCCAATAAAGAACTCATTAAGGACTGACACACAGCCGCCATATACCAGAACTATTAAGGGAAATGAGAAATCACATCATGTTAGGTCAAGCATCTGCCACACACATGAACTTGAGGCAATGCCTACCATTTTCCTGCGTAATTGGTTATTATTCAAGTCAGACAATGTGAGCCAGTTAGTTCCCTGGTTGTGTGGAAAACCTGAGTAATACATCATTGGCTCATCAAGTTCAATGAGGGATTTTCACATGCCTGTTGGCCCAGAGTCCTTCCCAAAGGGCCAAGTTTTGCTATCAATAATTTCAACAAAAATTTAAAAATATAACTTGACATTCAACTAAATCTGCTTACTATGGTTCACTGATTTCTAGTCATGATTTCAATAAAACTGGTAGAATCAAGACAAATACAGAAAGCAAAAATTCTCAATCTTATTTCAAGAAAATCAATTAACCTAGAGGACAGTGCTGTGACATAGCAGGCAAAGATGCTGCCTGTGGTGCCCACGCCCTATATGGGCACCTGTTCAAGTTCCAGCTGCTCTGCCTCTGATCCAGCTCCCTCCTAACGTGCCGGGGAAAGTGAAGGAGGATGGCCCTAGTGCTCAAGCTCCTGCATCCACATGGGAAACCCTGAAGAACCTCCTGCCAACTGGCCTCAGTCTGGCCCAGCTCTGGCCAGTGCGGCCATTTGGGGAGTGAACCAGCAGACAGAAGATTGATCTCTTTCTGTCTTGTCTCTCCCCCTCTCTGTTAACTCTGCCTTTCAAATAAAATAAACAAATCTTTAACAAAATTCAATTAGCCTTGCCAACAGTCTGGAGAATCAGTCTGTTTAGCAAGTGGTGCATGTAAATAAGTAATTAAAGACAACATAAAAATGCAACTTGGTAAACAGGCATTATCTATTTAATAAGTGTAATATATACATAAGTCCTCTTGAAAAGCTTCATTTCATACAGAAACATATTTACAAAATGAACAGTGTAATCAAATTAAAGCTTATCTATACAATGCACATATATATAGATACACATATATATGTGTACTCTGGAAGATAAACAAGCTTCATCATCACAGTCAAAATGGACAGCCATCTGCATTCTAGAAAAGAATTTCATTCCAGAAGAAAAATACATTTTAAATCTGCAATTAATATTTTTCATTTATTTTCCTGAAAACTTCATGTTTGGATTGTTTTTCTATTATTTTCTTGTTCAGCACTGAAAATTCTCAGGTTTCCAGTGCCACCAACTGGTGCTAGTTAAAAACTAACAATCTTAGTGTCAAAAAAGAATTATTCTGTATTTCTTTTTCTTAAAAAAAAGTTACAGTAGAATAGGCTACTGGAGTCAACGTTCGTAAGGCATGAATGACATGATTTGTGAAATATCCTTACCAGGGTAGCATATGTAACATTTACAACGTTCATGGTTTCCAATGGGATTTTTTCCCCTTCTACTGGTAAATCTCCGTCTACATGTGTATGTAAAAATCATTAGGAAAAAAAATCAACACACTGCAAAACAAAGTCCAGAAACACACATGGCAGCATGATTAGGTTTGTCCTCTGAGCACTGAGGAGGCCTTAGTAATTTACAAAATCGTAAAAATCTGTCACCTGATGGTCTTTGGATTGTTGTCTTTTTTCTTAAATCATAATTAAACATCAAGTTGTGACAAGTTAGGAAATGCGCACAACTACCAAGAAAACAGCAGTGTGTTCTCAGCTTAATTCCACATGGATTTGGTTTCCAAAAATTCATGCCAGAGTCAGATTTCTGGCCACCTACTTGCCCAAACAAAGTCACCCTCTTCTCAGCCCAGTGTTAAGGGGCTGGCTGTGAGCTAAACAGAACCAGAGACCTAGCCCTACTTTTACACCAAAAACCCCACAAGAAAGGGAACTGACTGCCCTGTCTGGTCCACTCACCAATGCAGTAACAATACCCTGTGTGGTGCCTGGCAATGGGAGGATTTTAATGTGTGTAGTAAATGGGAAAACAGCATGTGGATAGCCTGAACATTTCATTTCAAGCTAACTTGCTTTACACGGTGATGAAACATAGAGGTAACACTGTAGAGAAAGAAAAAAAAGATCACCAAAAAACCATGATCACAGTTCAAACTTAAGTCTTCCTTCCAAACTCACCATTTATCAATCTTTAAAACTTAACAGGCTACAAATCTGAAGTGATATGGGGAAAAGGGATTCACAGCCAGCATTCAATTTCAAACTAAAACCTGGTGAAGCACGCCCACACACACACACACACACAGTCATTTCTTGTTCAAAGACAGCAAAGGGTCACTAACCAGACTAGCCTTTGATGTGTATAACAATGAACACATGAAGCAATTTCCCCCAGACTTCAGGTTTATCCAGACCACGTCCCCTTCCAGACATCCCATTCCTCTGCTCAACACAGTAACAAGTCAAAGGCCCGCTAAATCCTTACAGCAGCAGCTGTTTGTGAATCAGCACAGATCCGGGCGCTGGACACAGGCTCACTTTGCTCAGTCCTGAGCAAAAAGGATACAGCAGATACTGAAGAAGAAAAGAAAGCACTTCCTTCAAAACTTGTCCATACTTTCTATACTTATGGAGGGAAAGGACAGCAAATGAGTTAAATATGCTTTTTAATAACTGCCTTCTAAAACTGTTTAATTATTAAACTTCTCCAAGAAGATGGTGGCACAAATACTAACACTGGAATGTTTCATTTCTGTCTGTAATAATGTGTGTGTGTGCGCATGTGTGTGCATTAAAGTGCATGAGCATAGGACACTGGGGATCTGATCCCTATTTGGTCTCCATTATTCATTTTGTGCCTTGGAGAAACAAAAAATTATTAATTAGTATCACTTTTAATGATGTTGCCTACTCTGAGTAGCCCTGTGGAGTGTCAGCAATGTCTAGAGACAAATGGGAAAATAATTCAGATTTTTATTGCACTTACCCACTTTTTAAATTTTGATAAATTACTACTGGTTAAAAATATCAACACATTATGGTGAGACTAATACTTTTAACAGCTATTTTAAAAATAAAACATCTTTGAATGTGTGAATATACTTTCATTTTGAAGTGAAAGACATTTGTTTATGGACATGACTCAATACACAGAAAAAATAAGAGACTACATTGATTCATCTAATCCTTAATAAATAACCTTTTTAAACAATGTCAAGTTGGTAAAAAAAAAAAAATGTTAAAATACATTAAAAGGACATTGCCACCATGAGCCCAACTTCTGTAGCCTACACAATTCTTTAAAGGCTTTTATTATATCACACCAAAGAGTACTTCCTTCAAGGAAAAAAAAGGACGTAAAAATTCAAAACAAAAGTGAAGCTTCCTGTAACATTCACACATAAGCCAAGGTATCCTATTACAGAATGGGTCTGAACATAACGCAAACTGAAAAATCAAACTCAGAAATTAAAATAGGTGAGAAACGACAGGAGGTGAGAAAAACTTCAATGACAGAGAGACACTGATACTACGGCAACATGTAAATGTACAAGTAAATGTACATGTACTAAATAAATATTGTAAAAATCCAAAAGGTACCAAAATTTGGCTCTAAAATTCCTTTGGTGACAAATAAAGAGTCTGTGTTTTAAACAAACACACAGAAACGTTGTATTTGGAGGAATGGTATGCTAACTCCCCTATATTAATTATATCCACAGTAAAGAATGGTGTCCACATGAAATGGTGCCATATGCTGGTTTGTCCTGGGGAACTGGTTCTTCATAATGTCTTTAAACCTTATATTTATCTTTTTATGATGTCAGTAAAACAGAAGTATTTTAGTTTCAAAGAATCAATCGCTTTTCTAATGATTGGATTCATTTCATAATTTAAAATATAACTGAACTGTATGGGAATTTTCTAAATGAACATGTTATTTAAAATCTTAAGTAAAGACTTTTAAAATTCAACTATTAAACAATTCAAATCTGATAAAATGTAGCCACGGCAGATAAGGAAACCTGACACGGATATACAACGCCTGACCACTGCTGGTTACCAATGGCTAGCTTTCCTATTTGATTTGGTCTTCGTCAAAGTAAAAATGAGAAGACCCAAGGAGTCATATGCATCCTTCAAACACAACCCAGCGCTACCATGGAGGGTCAGAACATGAAACTCAGCCTCGTCGTCAGGGTTCTCGGTGCTGGTCAAACAGTCCACTGTCGATGACTGCTATTTATCTTTTCAGGCTTGCTTTTGTAAGTTGAATCACTTTTGACATTATGGATTTTAAAGGGAAGAAACATGGAGAAGGGGTTTTTCAAAGCCCTTGAGGTAATGTTCAGCACTTTGTCTGACAATCAGCAGATTAAGCTGTGTGGGATTCAAGGACAGGCCGCTGTTCTGCACCACCCAGATTTCCAGAAAGCCTGCACTCGCACAGGACACAGAGCAATGCATCCAGACTGTAAAGGGACACTTTTTATACAGATGAAGCAAAACAGATTTGTCACGGGCTGACACATAAAGCAGGAAGAAGTTTCCAACAATACTGGTCAATGGCACCTGCTCCTGTGTGGCTTCTGTCTGCTTATTGAGCAAGAGTTTTGTGTTAAATTTTCTTTGTCTTCTGTTCTAGTTCATGCTGGTGCTTAATAAGACGTTCTATTTCAGTTCCAAGTGTCTGGAGGTTTTCCTTTAATAATTGAGGGGGAAAAGGGAAGAGAAAATAGAAACTACTAAGTATAATGAAAAAGAAGATTCAGTTTAAATTATTCTTGCCAAAAATATTTTGAAACTGAAACAGTGATTAGTTCTAAATGCTACGTGAAGCAAGCCAGGCACACAGGTATATTCTGTAAAGTACTCCTGTCTACTTCAAAGTGATACTGTTCTACAGAAGCTACAGCAATTTTGAGTACCCAAAATGATTATTAACAATAATTTAAATAATTTTTAATTTAAATAATTTTTAAAAAATCCATTGCTAGAGCTGGCACTGCAGCACAGTGAGTTAACAGCCACCATTTCCACACCAGCATCTCGTATCACACAGCTGGTTGCAGTCCCAGCTGCTCCACGTCTGATCGAGCTTCCTGTTAGTGCACTTAGGAGGGCAACAGATGATGGCCCCAAGTTCTTGGGTCTGTGCCACCCATGTGGGAGGTCAGAGTCAAGTCCCTGGTCCAGCCCGACTGTTACAGACAGTAGATAGACCTTTCTCTCTTTTTCAAATAAATAAAAACACATTTCAAAAAAAATCCAGTACTATCAGGGTTCAAGCACAACAAAAATAGAATTGCTGCATCAGACAAAAGCTGCAAAAAATAAAGCAGCAAAAAAGTTAGAAATGCCACAATCTTAAAAAAAATTATGTTTCAGGGGCAGGCATTTGGCATAGCAGTTATGATGCCATTTGGAACACCCACGCCTCACACTGAAGTGCCTGGGTTCGATGTCCAGCTCCTCCACTTCTGATCTAGTTTCTTGCTAATGAGAATCCTGGGAGGAAGGCAAGTGATGGCTCAGGTAATTGGGTCCCTACTACCCACATGGGAGACTGAAACTGAGTTCCTAGCTTTGACCTGGTCTAGTCCTAGTTGCTGCAGACATTTGGTGAGTTAACCAGCAGATGGAAGAACTCTGTTTCTTTCTTTCAAATTAAAATGAAAGAAAATAATAGGGGCCAGTGCCATGGCTCACTTCGTTAATCCTCCGCCTGCAGCGCCGGCACCCTGGGTTCTAGTCCAGGTCGGGGCGCCAGATTCTGTCCCAGTTGCTCCTCTTCCAGTCCAGCTCTTTGCTGTGGCCCAGGAGTGCAGTGGAGGATGGCCCAAGTGCTTGGGCCCCTGCATCCGCGTGGGAGACCAGGAGAAGCTCCTGGCTCCTGGCTTCGGATTGGTGCAGTGTGCTGGCCATAGTGGCCATTTGTGGGGTGAACCAATGGAAGGAATACCTTTCTCTCTGTGTCTCTCTCTAACTCTGCCTAATAAAAAAATACTAATAAAATTTTTAAAAAATTTTCTTTTGCAATTAAGTATAATTACATGTCAAAAGCCATCCACTGCAAAGTAAACAATCCATCTAGGTGTCTGTCCAATATCCAGACTGATATCTTTTTGCTATTTCTTCATCTTTCTTCACTTTTGGGGTGGGTGACTGATAAAGTAGCAGCCAACATCCCGTATCTGAGTGCCTGGGTTCAAGTCCCAGCTTTGCTCTCAATTCTGGCTTCCTGCTAATGCAGACCATGGGAGGTAACAGATAATATAGCTCAAATACTAGGGTCCCTGCAATCCACATGGGAGACTCAGATTGGAGTTCTGAGCTCCTGTGTTCAGGCTAGCTCTGTCTCAGTTTGTCTCTCTGGCTTTCAAACAAATAAAAATTAATTTAAAAAAGAAATAATCATTTAAGTGCCAGAGCAGACTGTTTACTGGTTGGTTAGGGAATGAGAAATACAAATATACCTTTAAAGTAATATTTTTTAGTAATGTATCCTCCAAAACAGCCTGTAATTTTCGGTTGATCTCCAAAGAAAGTTCCAGTGTTAATCCAGTATCAGCTGGATGGGATGTATATAAAGATGCCATGATGCCACCCCGTCTACTTAAATGGACTTTGTTAAAATCAGATGCCTCTGAAGAAAGTGTTCCCGATTCTTCCCGTAAAATGTAACTCTGAATTATTCTGCAAAACAAAACAACACTACTAGTTGTGTACATGCACAATTAAAAACATTTAGAATTTTAAGATCAAACTAACTATAAGCATAAAGATGATTAGTATAAAATAAATATAACTATTAGGTTAGTAATTACCTATATAAGAAAAGAAAGGAATTGTGCTTATTAAGTTTATTTCTTAAGCTATCCCCGTTTTTGGGCATTTGACTCAGGAGCTTAGCTGCTGCCTGGGACAGCCTCATCCCATTATCAGAGCCCCAGCTCTTCCCCTTCCAATCCTGCCAATCGTGTTCTGGAGCAGCAGATGCTGAAGCGCTTGGCTTCCTGCCTGTTGGCTTTGTGGGAGACCTGAGTGGAGACCCTGGCTCCTGGATTCAGCCTGGCCTAGCCCTGGTTGTTGCTGTCATTTGGGGAGTGAATCAGTGAATGGAAGCTCACTCTCTCCCCACCTCCCCCGCCCCCACCCTTTCAAATAAAATGAAAGTAAGTAAAAATTGAAACTATTCCATTTTTGTTCTGTTATGGTACTTAAAGATATATAAAAACTGCTTTTCTATTTTGTTCCTTATTACTCTAATCAAAATGTTCATATCTGAATAATTATTTTATAGTTCTGACTTGATATTTTCCTTTTAAATTTAAAACCCTCTGTATTTTACTCTCTTGAAAGGAATAAACTTTACAGTACATCTAAATTATTTCAAAACAAAAATTTTGAAGTCATGGGGTGATCTTACTTAAATGAATAAAGGTATTTGTGAGAAGAATTTGGGCACAGCACAGGGTCTCGAGTCAGTCAGAGCTACAGGGTGAGGAGTAGCCCTGGATGAGGAGTGATGTGATCTGAGTCCCAGTTAACCGACCTGCAGAGTCAGAGAAATCCCTCCCTGAGCAGTAAGTTAACAATCAGCGAGATGTTTCTAAGCCACAGGTACCATGCCTTGCACTACCAGGTCTCCAATAACTTAGACCACTATGTCCTACCCAATAAGAAAAAATCCACAATCCCATGAATTTCTCAGCACCAGAGTCATGAAGCTAAAACGAAGTAAGCAAAACACTACCTTTAAAATTCAGTTATTTTTAGTTTCTTAAACGATTTACCATCAATTGAACTCTGTAATACCTTAAGGAAAGACCTGTGTCTTCTTTCATCTTTATTCCCCAAACTCGAAACATAACTAGGAAGCATAAAAGACGGGGCATTGAATGGCTATAATTATGAATTCTTGTCTTGAAAGACAGGTTCCTGATAGGATTTATTTTGAAAACAGTAATTTTATCATGATGGTATTTTGGACAGTTTATATTAGCATAATAATACATACTTTGTCTTTTTCCTGATTTCTTCCACCAGCTGTTTGATGTGGTCCTCCATGAATTCTATCTTCTCATTTTTCCGGGCATGTGCTTTCTGCAGCCTAACTATCCTCTCGATCAGCATGGCCTTGTCGACTTCTGGGAAGTTATCCACAGCGACCGATGACCCAGTGTTTTCTGGAGATCGATCTTCTGCACTGCTTCGAGCATTAAGGGACCCTGGAGACAAAGCAAAAAACAAATGTAGATACTGCACTTAGTCTAGTCACTGCTCATCTACTTATTCCAATATGGTGTTCAAATATTCACTCTAAGAGAGACGGACACAGGCGCGTCACAGATCACATGTCTGAGTTTCCGTTTCTGAATACACTGATGATGGGAGTACCAAAAGCGTCTACTGTATCTCTTGGGAACACGATGAAGAAGTAGGAGTGGAGAAACAAAGATCTCAAGAAAAAAAGTCCAAGATGAGACCCAAATTACACAATAAGAGAAAAGGGGGAAAAAAAAAGAGGGAAAAAGAGAAGAGAAAGAGACAGAAATAAGGTTTGTGCGTATGTGCTGTGCTCCAGAGCCAACCTGTCTAGGTTGAAATCCTTCTCTCCCATGTTATTTACCTCTCTGTGCCTTGGTTATACATCTTTTTATTATTATTATTATTATTTATTTTTGGACAGGCAGAGTAGACAGTGAGAGAGACAGAGAGAAAGGTCTTCCTTTGCTGTTGGTTCACCCTTCAATGGCCGCTGTGGCCGGCGAGCTACGCTGATCTGAAGCCAGGAGCCAGGTGCTTCCTCCTGGTCTCCCATGCGGGTGCAGGGGCCCAAGCACTTGGGCCATCCTCCACTGCACTCCCAGGCCACAGCAGAGAGATGGGCTGGAAGAGGGGCAACCGGGACAGAATCCGGTGCCCCAATCGGGACTAGAACCCGGGGTGCCGGCGCCGCAGGCGGAGGATTAGCCTAGTGAGCCATGGCGCCGGCCAGGTTATACATCTTAATGAGAATAAAAATGTTATTTGTCTCACAGGACTGCTACCCTCATTTAAACGAGTGATCACATGCTAGCTTATTTTTTTTAACCAGCATCAGTGACAATTTCTGATCATCTTTACCCTACGAAGATAAATATTTTTAAACTTATTTATTAAGACAGTAATGTATCTAAGACTGTATAATAAATGGCAAACCTGAAATCTAAACACATGCATAATTTCCAATCCATGTTCTATTATATTTTTTAAAATGACAGTGTTCTTTAAAAACGTGTTTAAATTTTGAGAGGAGAAGAGACAGAGTAAGAGAGCTCCCATCTACTGGTTTACTTCCTGAATGCCCACGATGTCTGGGACTTGAGTAGGCTGAAGCTGGGTATCAGGTACTCAATTCAGGTCTCCCACAGGAGTGGCTAGGACTCAATTACTTAAGCCATCACCTCTGCCCCCAGGGTCTGCAGTAGCAGAAGGCTGCAGTCAGGAACTGCAGCGAGGCATGAAACCCAGGCACCCAGGCACTCTGATACAGGGGAGGCAGGCTTCTTAACTGGCATATGTTTTAATACTTCAAAATGAAACAAAACACATCAACACTTTTTAAAACAAAAAAGTGTTAACTTTGTAATTAATGACTAAATAACAACTGAAGCCATCAGGTTTTTTGTTTTTGTTTTTTAATTTTTACTTGATATCTAGAGTTAGTCAGTGAGAGAGAGAGACAGAGAAAGATCTTTCTTCTGTTGGTTCACCCCCCAAATGGCTGCTACGGCCGGAGCTACGCTGATCCGAAGCCAGAAGCCAGGAGCTTCCTCCTGGTCTCCCATGCAGGTGCAGGGGCCCAAGCACTTGGGCCATAGCAAGAGAGCTGGACTGGAAGAGGAGCAACCAGGACTAGAACCCGCAGCCCATATGGGATGCTGGCGCCACAGGCGGAGGATTAACCAAGTGAGCCACGGCGCCGCCCGCTATTGGTTTTTTTACCTGATGAACTAGAACGACTCCCCATGCTGCTGACTTCTTTATCATAGTTTCCAGTCTCAATCTGTTCTAATTTTCTTCGTGCTATAGGAAAAAAGAAATGTATTACTTGGACAATTACCAATACCATTTCCTCCATTTCATCTCTGATTTTAATTGATAAAGTCATTTAGACAAAAATGACAGGGATATCAGAAGTGCTTCAATACATACTTTATAGACAGAAGGCTACAAGCATCATTCATGTAAAATGACATTTAGAAATGTTCAGGTCAAATGCAAAACATAAAAACAACATTATGATAATTAATACTGGCATCACTATGTTACACTGAACTACTGAACTAAACTTTTGGAGTCTTAAAAGATTTAAAATATGCTTCCAGGACCAGAAATTTCCCTTCAATTACATCTATAAAAACAAAGTGAATTTTTATAGCAAACACTCGGTTATATTCATATTAAGTAAATGCTTAAGTCTTGTATTATATTTTACCCTATTTTCACACGAAGGAGTAGGGGATAGCAGAGACTAGGAGGTTGAAATATGTCTTACTCATCCTTGTATCCCGAGCACACAGTATAGATCCCCTATAATTGTATGAATTTTTTCATGAAAGAAATCTGGGTTCCAGTTCTACTTGTCAATTGTTGTACCCAGGTAATTTATAATTCTTTTGGGTCTATGACCCCAGATATGGGATCAGGTCTCAGGGAATTTGAAGTTAAATGTCAGTAAGGTAGGATCCAAGTACCCTAGATGCTATAAAAATCGATTTACAAGCATGTGTATGGTGAAAATAAGAGAACATTTATTTATATGTTTAATTAAAATATATATTTTATATTTCTATTTTTCATGCTTTTTTACATAAGATTAATTATAAATAAACATATATAAATTGGAGAATGAACTGTTAAATAGCTTTTACTGACAGTAGCATGTAATCAAAGTTTACACCTTGCTCTCGGCCTTTTGGCTAAGATCAAGTGTAAAGAAGTTTACAACCTGCTGTCCTAAGGAACTTTCTCAATTCTCACATTTTGTGTTTTGTGAATAAATACCATTTAGTATAGAAGACAGACTATTCATGGAACTGTTAAGTTTAGCAATGTGGTCTATGAACATTAATACATTAAAAAGAAACATACAGCTCTTATCAATGTGTTAGAACCCAAAATGAAATATATTTTCTCCATAAAAATTTTTAATGATTCAGAGAGCAAACAGATTCCAGGTCTAAGTGTGGAAGCACCTTTTACCTTGCTGAAGTTGTTTGGTTAGGTCCTTGACACTGGAGGCATGTTTACGTCTCTGAGTTACTAAGTCATCTTTCAGCTCTTCCACCTGGGTACTCAAGGCTGTAACTTCTGCCTGCCTACAAGTGAGTTCAGCTCGCAGAGTCTGCACCTCTTCTTTATGCAGTTCTTCCTCCTTTAACAATCGACTTTCCTGAACAGTAATAAAATAAAAAGCACCAAACTTAATATTATTCTTAGTTTAAACCTTCAGACTATACGGGCTTTGAGACTAAAGGTTCTACTGTCTTCACTCTTTATTGGGTGGTATTAACTGAGCTCCTCCAAATCCTTTCATGGCAAGGCAAGGGGATATAGGATCGACTATGACACTCCGTCCACACAAAATACGTGACACAGGTCTTTGAACTTTGGGCTGAAGACTCAAATTGTTATTTTTTGTTTAAGATTTTATTTATTTATTTGAGAGGCAGAGTTACAGACAGAAAGAAGAGACAGAGAGAAAGGTCTTCCATGCACTACTTCACTCCCCAAATGGCCACAACAACCAGAGCTGGGCTGCTCCAAAGCCAGAAGCCAAAAGCTCCTTCTGGGTCTCCCACGTGGGTGCAGGGGCCCAAGCACCTGGGCCATCTTCCACTGCTTTCCCAGGCCACAGCAGAGAGCTGACTGGAAGTGGAGCAGCCAGGACATGAACTGATGCCCATGTGGGATGCTGGCACCCCAGGCTGAGGCTTACTACTCCACAGCACCGGCCCCTCAAATTGTTTTTGTGAGGAACTGTAAGACTTCTCTAACTTTAAACTACTAAACCATTTTTAAACTAAATAAAAACTTAAAGTATCTTTTAAAAACATAATGATTGTAGTTACAAAACACAGTTTTCTTCTTTTTTAAAAAGACTGATTTGCTTTTCTGAAAGGCAGAGTTACAGAGACAGACAGACAAAGAGCTTCATCTGCTGGTTCACTCCCCAAATGGCCACAATGGCCAGGACTGGGTCAGGATAAACCAGGGAGCCTGAAACTCCATCTGCGTCTCCAAGTAGGTGGCAGGGGCCCAAGCACTTGGGTCATCCTCTGCTGCTTTCCCAGGTGCATCAGCAGGCAGCAGCTTAACCTTGCTATACTACAATGCTGGTCCTGGTTTTCTTGTTTTTAAAAGCAAAATAATTACTTCAAGGAGAAATTTTATTAAAAATAACATCATTTAAAAGGAAAAACTGTCATGTCTTACAGCATCTGCAATTACCAAAAAGTAAGTGCCAATAGGAAAAAGAGTTTAAACCAAACGTCACTACCTTTTTATGTTGCAAGGAAAGTTTAACTTGCACTTTTAGTATGCTGTGTTACGAGTAAAGTGCACGCTGATACTCACCAGAGTACTGTTGGTCTGTTTCATTTGTTCACATTGGCTCTGTAACTGATTCTCACTACAGGAAAGCTTATCAAATTGTGACTGCAAGGCGCTGGACTCAGACTGAAGCTGTGCATTCTTACTGGTGAGCCTTTCTGTAAAAAGCAGTAGCTCAGATTCTCTCTTCCTACTGCCTTCAATGTCTTTTTGCAGGTCATTAACCAAAGAATTAAGACTTTCCACTTCTTCCTTCAAATTTTCAATTTCTTGGTTACCTCTAAAAAACGAAGTTTATATTTAAGAAAAAAATTACAATATATTAATGGCTTGGGAATTTTCATCTAAGGAAATCCTTTATTAAGGTATTCATTCATTTTATTTTATTTATTCATTCATCCAAATATTTATTTTATTCATTCATCCAAATAGTTATGAATGCCCAACATACACCAGGAACTAACAGCCAGGAATAAAAGAGAGCAAGATCAACAAGGACGGAAACTTCACGAATGTGATAAAACATTTATGATGAAAACACAGAGCAGGTTGCTTAAACTAGTCTAAGTGAGGCTCAAACCAGCCCTGAAAGTAGGATAGTAAACAACTCAGGTTTCTAGGCCACCGGGTTTCTACCGTGACAGTTCCTCCCTGCCGCTGTAAAGCAGTTTCAGTATGTGAAACAGAAAAGAATGAGTGTGGCTGCTTAGAAAAAAAAAACTTCATTTACAAAAGAGCTAACAGGCTGGATCTGGCTCATGGCCATCATTTGTTGATCCCTGCCTGACCCACAGGAAAAGCAGAAGATAAAGGATGTTCCCAAGAGAGAAACTGGCATGCGGTAAAGCCGGGAAGGGGCTGAGAGGTGGCCACAGATGTTCAGTATGGATACAGATATGGACTGCTCCGTATCTGCCATTCTGAGCACCTGGCACAGGGTATGATATACAGGAGATACCCTGTATATCATTAATTAATCAGCTACAGGTGAAATGCAAGAGTGACGAAGAGGAAGGCATTTAAAAAGCAAGGGACAGGTTGTTAATCTTAGTGCTCAAGCAATTTGAAATCACCAGGCAATCTCTGAGGCAATGGGAAATCACTGAAAAGTTCTGATATTTCCTTTTCAAAAAAGAATAAGCCAACTGTAGTGAGGCAAATGGATCAGGGAGAAACCAAGAAGAAAAACCAGTTTATAAGCTGTGGCAGTCTTCCAGATGAGAGCTGATAATGGCTGGACTGTGGCAGTAGAAGTCAGGATGTAAAAAGTAAATAGACTTTGACATCTATTTAGATAATAAATAGCATCACTAATACTTTGTGACTGGTTCAATGCATAATGGAAAGGAGGGCAGAGCCCAGCATGGTCCTCAAGTTCTTGCTTTAGACAGTCATATATGGATATTACACTCACCACTTACAAACCTGAGAAATATTTGTAAGAGAGGAACCCACTCTGGACAAGCTGAGGTCTGAGGTGTCTTTGATATACTTGTGTGCTTACAGCTCAGTAAAAAACAGCTGAAGATGATGACTCAAAGGTCCTGCAGCATGCTCCAGGAAGCACTGGGCTCACTGAGGGCTGTAATGTAACTAGAACAGAAGGCAGCTTTCTGACAGGAGCAGCCCACTAAGGAGACAGACAGAGAATGAGTGGAAAGCAAGGTGGGAGGAACACCCGAAAGCCATGTCAAAGCAACAGGTCACATCAAGAAAGACCAGTGGTGCTCAAGGACACCAAAAGGTCAAGGAAGGCTGGCTCTTGCCCGAGATGTGTCTACTACGTTTCAGGAAGCATTGGCAGTTTTCAGTGGAATGTGGGTTAGCAGCTAGAATGAAGTACAGAGGAACAGAACAAAGGAAATGGAAAAAGGAGAATGATACAGACGAATCTGTCAAAAGTCTGGCTAGAAAGGGAAGGAGAAAAATAATCTGCTTAGGGAAGGTCATAGGAGTTTTGAGTTTTTAAAACTACAACTATAGTTAGGGGCTGATGTTATGACGTGGTGGGTAAAGGCGTTGTCTGAGATGCTGGCATCCCATATAGGTGCCAGTTTGTGTCTGGGCTGCTCCATTTCCCATTAGCTTCCCTGCTAATGGCCTGGGAAAAGAGACAGAAGATGGCCCAAGTATTTGGGTCCCTGCCTTCCATGTGGGACTCAGGAGAAGCTCCTGGCTTTGGCCTGGCACAGCACCAGACACTGCAGCCATCAAGAGTGTGAACCAATGGATGGAAGATCTCTTTCTCTCCCTCTCTCTTTAACTCTAACTTTCAAATAAATAAATAAAAATCTTTTAAAAAGTAACTGTATTTAAAGATAAAAAGAAAAAGTAAAAGAGAGGTCAAAGGATGAAAAAGGAGTATCAAGAAAGGCCCTGAAGGGCCAGCACTGTGGCATAGTGGGTTAAAGCCCTGGCCTGAAGTGCTGGCATCCCGTATGGGCACTGGTTCTAATCCTGGCTGCTCCACTTCTGATCCGGCTCTCTGCTATGGCCTGGGACAGCAGTAGAAGATGGCCCAAGGCCTTGGGCCCCTGTTCCCACGTGGGAAACCCAGAAGAAGCTCCTGGCTTCAGATCGGCAGAGCTCCGGCCATTGCGGCCATCTGGGGAGTGAACCAGCTGATAGAAGACCTCTCTCTCTCTCTGTTTCCACCTCTCTCTGTAACTCTGTCTTTCAAATAAATAAAAATAAATCTTAAAAAAAAAAAAATAAAATAAAGGCCCTGAGAAGGCTGAAGAGCTGGGGAAACACAGCAGCAGTGTAAAGACTGATGAATTGAGAGAGGAGTAGGGACATTCCTCCCATAATAGAAGCAAAGGAAAGAATGGCTCCAGATGTAGGCAGTTTAAAGGATTGACAGCTTCCGTTTTTTCCGTAAAGAAGTCATCACGTGCCAACAGCAAACAATGATAGAAGGGGAAGGTTGGGGGTGTGAAGAGGCTGAAAGGTTTGAGACAGATGCAAAGAAGATGGAGGCAGTGGCTCTAGGCACATGTGGCAACATTACAGGTGCACTGATATTGCTGGCAGAGGTTAGTGACTAGCCATTTATAGCAGCATCAAGCTGGATGATGGTGAGGATTTCTTAGCTACACTCAGAAACTTAGCTATTGGTGGGGTGTAGGAAAGAAGACACTGTATTTGAATTCAACCCAAATTCAGGCTCTGCCGAATATTCAGTAAAATGGTTTCATGAGAAGCCAAAGGATATCATCAACTCTTGACCTCCAAGCTACATTCATGCAAAGGTCTTAGAATTACCCTTTTGAAAAAAAATTAAGTCCTGTGCATAAGAAATCTGAAAAGCACAGAATCTGAAAGAACAGAATGGACAAAGAAACTAAATCATTATGTCTTGTAAGTTCTTACTGTCAATGTTTAGGAAATATAAACCTTGATTTCTAGAAGTTACGATGGGAATTCAAATGAAGAGAAATTTAAAACTTTTTAAGTAGTAAAATTATAAAAACAGTTACTGAATGCAATAATTTCATTTAAAAATAGAATCTTGAGACAGAGTAAGAATCTGGTTCATTAACAGAGGTTGTTCATTTTATACCTTTGAAGTTGTTCCTGTATCTGATCTGCAATTTTCACTTTGTCCAATAAATTTTGAATTTCTGCTTTTTGTCGATTGATAATTTCCTTGTATTTTGATAATTCATCTTCTGTTCTAAATCGTTCATCTTCTAGACATTTTACCTAACAAATGATCATAACAGAGTTAAATCATAAACAGTATTTTCTTACTCCTTACAAACTTTGTCATACAGTGGCTATACATTAATAACCTAAGCTGAATTATATGGCATTATTAGTTAATATGAAGAAAAATAAGGTGAAGTTAACATCACTGGAGTTTAGTCTTGGATTTCTTATGATTTAGTTTTGCAAGTTTTAGCATGTCACATATTTTTATTCAATCTCTAGTTCCTCATTTAAAAAAGAAAGCTGCTATCTTGCCAGCCTACCCTAAGGAAATGACATGGAGAATAGGAAAGTCTATGAAAGACTGAAAATTATTAAGGGACCCTAAATTCAAGGTACTAATTTTAAAACCTATTTCTAAATAAATGAGTGACACACAGTGATAATATATCATATTCATATTAAAAGGGATGCTATTCTTACAATAAAGACTATAAGAACAGAAAAGAATTTACTAGCTTGTTAGAAATTAAAACTATCCATCCAAGACAGGGGTGGGGAAACTTTTTTCTGCCAAAGGCCATCTGGATATTTATAACATCATTCATGAGCCATTCAAAATTATCAGCTTAAAAATTAGCCTGCTACAGATTTGTTGAATTTCAAGTGCCACCTGTGGTCACTTTGGCAGGGCCAGACCAAACAATTTTTTAAGCCTTATACAGCCCAGGGGCCAGATGTTCCTTACTTGATAAGACTATTACATAAACCCAGAAGAAATACAAAGAAAGTCTTCCTATTATTTTCTGACAATTATAGCGCTAAGGTCCAATTATTCTTCCAACTGATTTGCTGTAAAGACTGTCTTCAGGTAAGAGGCCCAAGGATGAATTATAGATAGCAAATGTGCTACGAAATAGGAACTTCTGGCCCAGGGCCCAGCAAGGAAGACATTTTCACTTCAACAAAAACAACTGATTATGCTTCTAGAGAACTGCTACTCTACTCCTCTGAGTTCTTGTATTTTGGAAATTTTTGTACATAAATATCCTTCCCCATTACTTTAAACATCAGAATACAAAATTAAAGGCATTTACCCCTCCTCTGGAGTCACAACTAAAGATTTAATTACCTTTGTTCTCAGTGTTCGTAGCTCATCCATACCCTCCTTAAATGTCCTCTTCAAATCTTCTAGTTCCTTTATTTTGGCATGATGCATCTTTTAAAAAGTTTAAAAGAAACCACATGTCACAATCCACTAAACTTGCCTTAAAATTGGATGGTAATAAATACTCATTATTTCTCTTTATTACACAAATATCCTAGATAGTGTAATAAATACAAAGAGCAAAACTACTTACCTCTAGCTGGTCAGATTTTTCTTGCATTTGTTTTTCAAGTTCTCCTTTTGTGACTCTAAGTTTTGCATCAAGCTCATTTGATTTGATTTCTTCTGATTCCTAATGAAAAAGAAACGAAAAACACGAAAATTTCTAAAGTTTTATACTTAGAAAGGTAAAGAAAGCTTTGCAATTAAATTCACTAAAGTGAAATACAGAGCTTACGTATGAAAATTAAAAAGACTGGGGGATGGGTGTTTGGCACAGTAGTTAAGATGCTGCCTGGAATGCCTGCATCCTACACTGAAGTGCCTGGGCTTGAGTCCTGGCTCTGCTTCCACTTCCAGCTTCCTTCTATGGCATCCTGGGAGACAGCAGGTGATAGCTAGAGCTCAGCTGTTGCAAGCATTCGGGGGAAAAAATCTGTAGATGGAATCTCTGTCTCTCTGTCACTGACTTTCAAATAAACATAAATAAGTAAATATACAAATGCAAAAATAAAATTTAAGATGGTATTTTATCAATTCTCTATGAATAAGAATAGTACACTTAAGATATATAATGTAATACCTACAGAATAGTTTTTAAAATTATACATTTCCCTGCAACTGTCTGGTATTTTTCTAGGTTTGTGTTTTTTTTTTTTGCAAATTTTTCTAGTTAGAGCCATTTAGGTTGTAGCTATTTTAATATAGGAAATAGCCTTCATCCTCTATTTCAAATATTGCAGATATACAAATTTAATGAAACAATGGTATTGTTTGAAAATTTAATACCTGATATGTTTTTATCATATCCTGACAGTTCTGTCGTATCTGATCTGCTTCCTCCTTTGCTTGTGTTAACTTTGTTGTTGTTTCTTTGAGTTTATCTTTGGTTTCCTGTATGGAGAAAAAGACAAGACATAAAGTTGGCCACAGCGATGTGAAGAATGTTAAGTTTTTGCCCTAGGACTGCCACTGAGGAGTCCTATATTCTAGCAACATTATTATATGTCTACAAAAAAATGAAAATGGTCTACATACTTAACTAATCACTAAATAAAGTTAAATTTATAAGAGCTTTCAATAAATTCTAGAAGTTACAAACCTGACAAAAAGCATAAAACAGTTCTTTGAGCACCCACATAAAAGACAATCCTTTGGTTTACGGCTGTGGTGTATAATAAAAACTAACTTTTCATAGACTGATGCTGCAGTTTCTGTTCTTACCTTCTCTCCTAAATGGGAAATTCTGAAGACTTGGAGGCACTACTCTCATCAAACCCAATTACTTCTGCTTGTTCTACTCTGCAGCTACTGCTTCAGTCCCAACCACCCCCAACTCCCTGAATATCCTTCCTCTGAGCCAGTTTTCTCCTCATCCATCCATCCTTCTTTATTGTTCTTTGACTGTCTTTCTACCACTGGGTGATTTTCCAAGACAGAACCCTTGTCCTTCGATTCTTTTTCCATAATTCTTCTTCAGAGAACCAGTGCAGTGCTCTGGTTTGGGCTAGCATGTGGATTTCAGAGCAGAGTTTAGGGAGCACCTCCTCCTAGTAACTTCCCTTCAGAAGGGAACAGATGCTGCCTCCTTAACTTTGCAGATTTAACCTAGAGACACCCCAAGTTCTAAGAACTGCTATACCACACTTACATGCTATTCTGTAAGTTATCTGACTCCCCAGTTAAACACATAGTTTCTCAGCAACAACTAGCTCTACCCTTGTCATGTATTAATCATTTGATTAAGACTTGGTGAATTGGGTCCAGTGCTGTGACGTAGTAGATTAAGCCTCTGCCTGCAGTGCCAGCATTCCAAACAGTTGCTGGTTTAAGTCCCAGCTGCTCTTCTTCAGATCCAGCTCTCGGCTAAGGGCCTGGGAAAGCAGTAAAGATGGCTCAAGTGCTTGGGCCCCTGCACCTGCATGGGAGACCTGGCGGAAGCTCTTGGCTCCTGGCTCTGGATTGGTTCAGTGGTAGCCATTTGGGGAGTAAACCAGCAGATGGAATGGGAGACCTCCCTTCTCTGTCTCTCCCTCCCTCCGTCTGTAACTCTGCCTCTCAAATAAATAAACCTTTAAAAAAAAAAAAAAAAAGACTTGTTGAATTAATGGAGGAATAACTAATACAAGCCTTCTGCTCTAGATAGGTTGGTCTCCTCGAACACTACTCATCTCCCACCCTTCCTTCTTGCTGTTCCTCACATGGAGTGCCTTCCTCTGATCTCTTGAACCATTTTATCCATGCTTTGCACACTTTCTTACACTTTTTAAAAATGAATCTATCGGGGCCGGCACTGTGGCATAGCAGGTAAAGCCATACAGTGCCGCATCCCATGTGGGCACTGGTTCAAATCCCGGTTGCTCCACTTCCAATCCAGCTCTTTGCTATGGCCTGGGAAAGCAGTGGAAGATGGCCCAAGTCCTTGGTCCCCTGCACCCACGTGGGAGGCCCAGAAGAAGCTCTGGGCTCCTGGCTTTGGATAGGCGCAGCTGCAGCCATTGCGGCCATCTAGGGAGTGAACCAACGGATAGAAGACCTCTCTCTCTCTGCCTCTGCTCTCTGTAACTCTGTCTATCAAATAAATAGAAATAAATCTTTAAAAAATGAATCTACCATTATTAGTTATATACTTTCAGTTGCTAATCTTTAATAGTAACTGACTTGCACTGAAACCAGTATCTCTTTCAAAATAGAAGCAATAAGTTAGATACTTTTTCAAATACTGATTTTTTTAAACTATACGACTCGGTGAGAAGAGAAAAAGAAGAAATTTACCTGTTTTTTTTTTCCCCTCAACTATCATATTATCAATAACTAAAACAGCTTGGCACATAGTAGGTACTTACTTCATTCACTCAAAAATAGCAACTGAGGGACTCCTATATCCCAAAGAAATATTTATTAAATAAAAGGAATGTCTGAATAAAGGAAAACTGAGAATCACACTGAATGTTAAGGTGCCAACTGGCTTCATTTATTCCTACACTCAGTGTTCACTGAGCACCTACCATGTACCAGGCATTCTCCTTTGCCCTCAGGAAATAGCCTTGTAAGAAAGCAGACAAAATCTTTACCCTCATAAAGCTGATGTTCTAGTGATAGAGATAAATACTCGATAATAATATTCCTAGCACCACGGATACTTTTTAATATTCCCAGGGTCTATTTCAATTTTTATAACCTATATATTCTCCTCCTCCCACTGATGATGTTTAATTCTATATTCCAAAAAATGCCTAAAGGCAGCAGCAAACTCAGGTGTTGTAAACAATGAATGAAAAAATTCAATGCTATCTTTTATATAGAAATCATACAAGGAAATTTCTTTTGAGGAGTTACTAAATATTCAAGTCCAAGCTATTCTGCAAATGTTGCTAAAGTAAGCTCCATTCCTCATTAATGCATTTGCTCTTAAATACGTCTAATCATTGATCCAAAGCGCTGCAGTCCTTACCTTGTGAGAATCCATTTCAGCTTTTAATTTGTTTTGTGCCCACTTCACTTTAATGATGTGAGAGTTGATTTCTTCCTTTAATTTGTCTACTTCTCTGATGAGTCTAGTCATTTCCCCTTCCTAAAATGATATCACCAGGTCAGATTTTTCGCTTAACCAATCAACTAATTATTTTTGTATATTTTATACTCCTTCAAAGTAATCACCACAATAATATTGTAATTCAAAGGCTGGTACACTAAGGCCCATAGGCCATAAAACTGATTTAAAGTTCAAATGATAAGAGAGCAGTAAAACCTAAATCCAACGAGCAGACAGGAAGGATGACTAACATTCATATTTTAACCACCTGAATGTGCTGTGCAAATAAGAATGCTTTTATGATTCTTTAACTGTGTGGCATTAAGATGAACTAAATTAGTTTTACCCAAAGTTCTGAGAACAAAGATAATCCTGCTGAAATAATAACTGAAAAAATAGCATTCATCACCAAGAAATGATAACTGGAAATACAATCTTGTCATGCAGCTGCCAGGTACAGAGCAACAGTTCTGAACAGGTAGCTCAGCAATTCAATCTCCATAGCCAAAATCAAAAGAGGACATGTTTTTCTGCAAGAAATACACACTGTTCTTTGGTAAGTTCTACATGAAGATTTTGATCAAATAATAGTCTGGCTCGAAAGCTAATCACAACTGAAACTACTATGTGCATACTTCACCAAAATACAATCTTCATTTGAGACTCTGGTTATTCTATTATACAGAGTTTTTAAAGAGATATATTAAGAAAAAATTATCCAATAAACATGGGCCCTTTACTCATCTTTTCCCCAGCAAACCTTTAATCAGGCAGGTAAACACTAATGCTCTTAGAAGACAAAACTAACAACTTCATGCTCGAGCGTTTTAACAGTGCTACATTATGAGTATTTAATTATACAGGAAAAGCAAAGAGAACAAATATCAAACAAGGTACAATGGCATGAGTTATACCTTTGTTTCATACAGCTGGTGCAACCGGCCTTTCTCCTGAGAAAGCTGTTTAATTTTGTTAGTGTTCTTCTCAAATTCCTTATTTGCATCTCTAAGTTTTCTTTCAAGTATCTCTTTTTCCTTTCGAAGGTCTAAAGATTCCTTCTCACCTCTTACATACTTCATTACCATTGCTTCTTTTTCTTGGCGTGCCTCTTCACATTTCTTGTTGGCCTTTGAAAAAAATATTACCCAGCATTTATACAAACTATTTTTCAAATGAAAATACAAAAAAAATTTTTTCTAAAATATTATGAATGCATTTTTTGATTGTTGCACAGCACTCCCAGGATTTGTGCCATGAAATTTTTAAGTGAAAGAAAATAGTCAAAATTATAGAAAAATGATACATCACTAGCATTTACTCTTATTCTTTTCCTATTCATTTAACTTCAGCTAATATGTTTGCTATTTTCCATTTACTCTTCCAGATCTGACTTCCCATCCTTTTCTGTCCCATCATGTGCCGTATCTCAGATCACCATGGACTATAACAACAAATCCCTTTGCACTCACACTTGCAATTGGGTTCAGCTAACAGAAGGCACAAGGCAGAAACTCAGGAATGTAGGCAGAGAGAGATGTGGCTGACTGCTCGCACCAATGCCCTCTGTTAGACGATTCTGGGGCACACTCCCTACTCCACGAGTGGGGACCCTCTGTTCTGCTAAGGGCTATTTGGATATTTTTAAAATTAATTTATTTATTTGAGAGGCAGAGTTACAGAAAAAGAGGGAGAGACAGAGAAATCTTCCGTCCGTTGGTTCACTCCCCAATTAGCTACAACTGCCAGAGCTGGGCCAATCCAAAGCCAGAAGCCAGGAGCTTCTCCTGGGTCTCCCGCATGGGTGCACGGGCTTGGGCCATCTTCCACTGCTTTCCCAGGCCATTAGGGGGCTCAATCAGAAGTGGAGCAGCTAGGACTCGAACCAGCGCCCACATGGGATGCTAGTGCCACAAGCACTATACCACAGTGCCAGCCCCTGTTTGGAGATTTATGACATTATTCATGGACCATACAAAAGTATCAACTTAAAAATTAGTCTGCTACAGAATGACTGACTTTCGAGTCCTGTCTGTGGTTGCCTTGGCTGGACCAGACCAGCTGATTTCATGGGCCTTACACGGCCTGTGGGCTGGATGTTCCCCATCTCTGTGCCTGCTCCCTCTCCTTGTTCCTTTAGGCTGAAGGGTGATGATGGCTCCTCCAGCAGTCCCCTAAGATAGTGCATCTTCCCATTTTGGGATCTTGAAAGCTCACCCACATCTCTATGAAAGGTCCTTTTATTAAATTCCTCTCGAACCACTAGTAAGTGTATCATTTGTTTTCTGCCAAGAGCTTGATTGTGTGGCAATTTCTAAAATCTAAAACCTTAATTCCCACCCCCAAAGTATCCACATCCTAATTAATGAACATTTGATTTTCTATTATGAAAAGCTTTGTAAAGTATTTTATACTTACTTACTCCTTAATTGAATTGTGAAGTTCACATGATTATTCAAAATTTTCTGTTAGTATAAGCTGGTATTCCATATTATGAAATTTCACACAATGAAAAAATTTCTACAGACAGCCTGTGTTAGTAGTCTGTTGTAATGAAATATCTAATATTTACTTATAAAGTAAAGAAATTTGGGGTTGGCCCTGTGGCGTAGCAGGTAAAGCTGCCACCTGCTCCACTTCCAATCCAGCTCTCTGCTATGGCCTGGGAAAGCAGCGGAAGATGTCCCAAGTGCTTGGGCCCTGTATCCACGTGGGAGACTCTGAAGAAGTTCCTGGCTCCTGGCTTCAGCACAGCTCTGGTTGTTGAGGTCATCTGGGGAGTGAACCAGTGGATGGAAGACCTCTCTCTCTCTCTGCCTCTGCCTCTCTGTAACTCTGCCTTTCAAATAAATAAATAAATCTTTAAAAAAAAAAAAAAGAAAGAAAAGAAAGAAATTTACTTGGTTCACAATTCTAGTGGCTGGAGGGTCCAAACAGCCGGGTACTGGCAGTGTGGCAAAGGTCCCTGTCTCTCTCAAAACACAGTGGAAAGGGAAATGGCCACCAACAGGACCAGGCAGGTGGAGTGGCCTCCCTTCATAACAAAGCCCTGTCACAAGCACTCATCCCTTCCAAAGAGGGCTCCATTTGACCTATTTCCCTTCCACAAGACCCTGCCTCTTAGTTTCACCACCTCTCAACATCCTACCAAGAACCAAGCTTTAACCTTTGGGGGATATGCTCAAAAGCCATATTCAAATGGTTAAATAAATTCATAATTTGCCAAGTGTAACAGAACACGAAATACACTTTATAAAAGAGGGAACCCCAGACTTCAGGGATTTTCAAGTATCTAGTGATAAAATATCAACTGAAAATCCAACAGAATTGAAGAGAGTAACTATTAGAATAGAGTTATGGGGCGGGCATGCGGCACATCGGATAGCTGCCACTTTGGACACCTCTGTTCCATACTCGAGTGCCTGGTTTGAATTCTGCTATGCTACTTCAGACACAGCTTCCAGCTAATGAGCACACTGGGAGGCAGCAGATTATGGCTCAAGTACTTGGGTCCCTGCCACCCACGTAGGAGACCCAGAATGAGTTTGGATTGTCCCAGGCCAGGCTAATGTGAGTATTTGGGGAATGTACCAGTGGTTGAAAGATGTCTTTCCACCTCTCTCTCTCTCTCCCTCTCTCTGACTTTAAATAAGAAAAGAAAGTATTTTAAAAAATACAGAGGATATAGCAAAAACTCCTGAGGACTTGAAAATGTGCTTGTGGACAAGGAATGAGAAAATTATACTCAAACTGGCTAATAAAACTAGTTAGATTTTAGACAGATAAAAAACTGGACTGAGAAAAAGTCAATTAATAGTTCAGTATCAATTTCAAAAGAAACATGGTTTCATGGTAATTTGATGTTCAGGTTACATATTAGGTTTGAGAACACAAAGAACAAATCACAGCTTCTGGAAGAGCTTACCACCTGGTGAGAAAGACATAAACAGACACTGTAATATAATATGATAAATTCTAGTGGATCTATACACTTTGAAAAGTCCTTTGAAAACACAAAAATACATTCCCTGGAAGGAACTGACAGGAAGGATAAATGGTGCTAAACTTGAGCCAGATGTTAAAAGTTAAAAAGGATTCATGGGGGCCAGAGCTGTGGCGCAGTGGGTTAAAGCCCTGGCCTGAAATGCCAGCATCCCACATGGGCGCCCGTTCTAGTCCCACCTGCTACTCTTCCAATCCAGCTCACTGGTATGGCCTGGGAAGGCAGTAGAGGATGGCTTGGACCATCCTTGGGCCCCTGTACCCATGTGGGAGACCCGGAGGAAGCTCCTGGCTTCGGATCGGCACAGCTCTGGCCGTTGAGGCCATCTGAGGAGTGAACCAGCAGATGGAAGACCTCTCTCTCTGTCTCTACCTCTCTCTGTAACTCTTTCAAATAATAAAAAAATAAAATCTTAAAAAATGATTCATGAGAATTCAAGGAGTGAGTCAAAGAAAGGAACTCAAGGTAGAGTGAATACAATGTGCAAATACTTAAAATCATGAAGCAGCATGACATATTTTATGGATATCAGGTCATTTTACAGGGTTTAATTTTGGTGTTTAGTTGGATTGGGCAGGAAACAGTCACAAAAACAAAAAGAGGTGGAGATTGATCCCTAAAGGAAAAAAATCCTCATGTCATACTGATCAGTTTAGATTTCACTCTACAGACAATGGAAAGTCAAAGATGGATTCATAAATCAGAACCTCTCACTGCATATTTTAGTAAGATAACCAGTGGCAACATGAAAGCGTCACTGAAGTTGAGACAGAAAGCAGAACAATTAGAAGAATGACAATTAGAACAGACAAGATGAAATACTGTGAAGGTCTGGACTAAAGCCGAGAACATTTACACCAGGTAACAGCCCTGTCATTCAAAGAGACGTTCATGGAGCAGTTACAAAGAATCACCTAGGGTGTTTGTTAAAAGCTCACATCCTTGGGTCCTCCCCTAGCTAATGGCCACACCTATCTAGAAGGGTCATTGGGAGTATTCAACAAATAATCCAGTAACTGTTATTCAAGCTGTTGTACACAGTCCATTTGTAGCATAGAAAAAGAAGATGAGTCACTTATGGTCTAGACTTATTTTAAGATGTTTATCATTGAGTTAAAGATCAAGAAAGCATGAATGAGATAATCAACAGATTCAATAACTTGGTAAAGCTAAGATAAAAGATAGGTAGTTCCACTTCTTGAATTATGGCAGTTAAAACCTCCTCATTCACTCATTCAGTACACCAAAACTTTAGATGAAATGCAGTAAATGTTTATTTATTTTATTTTATTTTATTTTATTTTTTTGACAGGCAGAGTGGACAGTGAGAGAAGAGAGACAGAGAGAAAGGTCTTCCTTTTTTTGCCGTTGGTTCACCCTCCAATGGCCGGCGCGCTGTGGCCGGTGCATCACGCTGATCCGAAGCCAGGAGCCAGGTGCTTCTCCTGGTCTCCCACGCGGGTGCAGGGCCCAAGCACTTGGGCCATCCTCCACTGCACTCCCGGGCCACAGCAGAGAGCTGGCCTGGAAGAGGGGCAACCGGGACAGAATCCGGCGCCCCAACCGGGACTAGAACCCGGTGTGCCGGCGCTGCAAGGTGGAGGATTAGCCTATTGAGCCACGGCGCCGGCCGCAGTAAATGTTTTTTAATATACGGTTTGTCTTACAAGTATGAGAAATTCCCCAGGATTAAAAAATCTAAGACAAAGAAATCCAGAATGGTATGCCAAAGATGAAACTCTCATCACCCTGTAGACATTTTTCAATTCTAGACCATGAAAGGGTACAAGTGGGAGGACTTGTCATAAAGTCCCCAAGAATTTATAAAACAGCTTTATTCTCGTGTTTGAGGCTTCCACTCATTCCAATTATTCAGTACATGAAACAGGGAAGTCTCAAGCCAGCAAATGAAATTGTGGGTGTTATCAGTGTGTGTGCATGAACATACATACAAACATACTGGGAATCTCTTTTGAAATAAAACTTGCTAGGTTTGCTGACTTTAGGTAAAAGGTGTTGGTTTTACTCTTCTTTCATCTTCTCTACAGATTTAAAATTTTCAAGAAGTTAGAATGAGAAGTTGGGGGAGGGGAGGAGAAATGAAGATCTACAAATAATTAAATGGAATAGTCTCCAAAATCTACTTCAATAATATTTACCTCTTAGGGTTGTTGTGAAGATTAAAGAAGTCAAAATCTGTATAGTAGTCTGAATGTGGCCTGACACATAGCTGAAGCTGAATACATTAGCCACTATCATATCATCTACACCCTTCATCATTATGGAGGAAATACACACAGTACAGATAATAGCAGGTGGCAATTTCTATTTTTTAAAAAATGGCTGGAGAGAAAAAGGGAATATACACATGCTTTTATATGAAACAAACACTGCAGAAAAGATATATAAGTAACTGGCACCAGAGGTTTACCTCTGAGAAAGAGGGAAATGTTTGAAGGTGACTTTGTTACTGTTTGAATTATGCACAAATAACTACAATTTTGCTTTTGTTTTAAATATATAATAAACTCCAGAGAACTAAAAAAATTAGCTCAGTAGGTTATTCTAATTATCAGCCATGGTTGGGTCCATGAAAGCCAGTAATTTCTTAAGTTCATAGCCTCTATACTTCCCTTCAATTAGTAAAAATGGTTGAGAACTGATCGCATGAGTTTTAAATATGACATTTCTCATGAAAAGATCAACAATTTATAAAGGCTCACAGAAATGAAGGCTTAAAATAATCTGCTTCTTAAAGTTCTTCTAGCACACCACACCTGGTGTGGTAGGAGATTCAGAGTAGAGGAGTTCAAGCAAGTAATAATATAGAAGTATTACTTAAAATAGCTTCTTCTGAGATCATATGTACCAACTCAAAAAGATTCCCAAAGTGTAGTATGTTGGAAAAACAAGGTTACAAAAAAAGATGCACACACAGTAAGTTGCAATCGAGCAGGGAGAACATCTACACATATTGCTGTAGCTCGGATATGGTGTAAGTGTGTTTCCCCAGAAGTTCAAGTGCTGGAAGTGTGGGCTCCAGTGAGGCAGTACTGAGGCTAGTGCAAGGTAATTAGTTTCCAGTGCAGGGCTGGCACTCTCAGAAGGGAATAAAGCAGGTGCCATGCGACTACAGGAGTTTCCAGGAGAATGAGTTGTTAGAAGTGAGCCTGGCACTTCTTCTGAATTCCTCTTCCACCCATGCACCACTGGCCACTCTCTTGCTTATGTTCCCACCATGACGCCTTCCACCATGCTGTGATGTAGCAGATGCCAGCACACATCACCAAAATATCAGTAACAAGCTATGGAACAAAAAAACTGAATATAAAGAGACTGGAGGCAGGGAAGAGGCAGCAAAGAGGGACTTCTCCCCTGCCAATATACTTCCTAAATCTGTTAATTTTAAAATGATTGGCATATCTTACTTTAGCATTTTTCAAGGCTAATTTTCATAATAAATAGAATTACTATTCTTAATATATCTCTGGAGTTCAAAATAGTCTAAAAGTACTTTCATTCTAATATATGAGAAAGAGCCACCACAGTGTCAAGTTAATGACAATGACATGAAAAATACCTGTTCCATCCGTTGGGCCATCTCTTTGTGTAACTGTTGAATTGCATTTTTAGCTGCAGTATCTTGAGCTATTAGTTTATCTTTGGAAGCTTTAACTTCTTTATTTAGTTCCTCTATTCTTGATTCTAACTGTAAAGAAAATTAATTCATGGTTATTTATAGCCATACCAAACAGATCAACAATACCTATGTAAATAAACACAACGTAAATAAGCCTAAGGAACCTAGTGAATATACTTCAACCACTGAAATCAAAACTAACTACCATTCTCTCTCACTCGGTAACTGTTTCTTTTTTAAGATTTACTTATTTATTTGAGGGGCACAGTTACAGGCAGAGAGATCTTCCATCTGCTGGTTCATTCTTCAAATAATCACAATGGCCGGAGCTGGGCCGATCCAAAGCCAGGAGCTTCTTCTAGGTTTCCCATATGCATGCAGAGGCCCAAGCACTTGGGCCATCTTTCACTGCTTTCCCATGGAGCTGGATCAGAAATGGAATAGCCAACTTGAACTGGTGCCTATATGGAATGCCAGCACCACAGGGAAAGGCTTAATCTACTACACCATGGCACCGGCCCCTGGATAACCATTTCTGTAACTCACTGGAATTCAGTCAGTATACATCTGAAGACATTCTGATAAGTTAAGGTGTATATGATAAGCCCTTAGTGCATCCATTCATTAAGGAATAATTTAAAGAAATAAAGTAAAATAGAATGAAAAGCTTAAATGTAACATTAGAAAATATTCACTTATTACAAAAGTAAGCAGCAAAGAAACAGAGATACGAGATACACAAAAAATAAAAAGTAAAATGAGAGACATAAATCCAACCGTCAATGTCATTATATGAAAAGAGTAAATAATAATATCAAAAGGTAGAAAATGACAGAATAAACAGAATCCAACTATATCCTATTTATAGGAATCACTTCAGGTTCAAAGAGACAAACAGGATAAAAAAAGATACAGCATAGAGCAGCAATCATAAGAAAATGAGAGTGCCTATACTAGTATCAGACAAAATAGGTTGAGATGAAGAACGTTCCTGGGACAGGACTGACTTTGTGTAATGGTGGGTTAAGCTACTGCTTGCAACACCAGCATCTCCTATCTGTTCGAGTCCCAGCTGCTCAATCCACTTACCATTCAGCCTCCTGCTAAGAGGCCTGGGAAGGCAGCAGAGGATGGCCATAGTCCCTGGGCCCTTTTCATTCATGTGGGAGAACAGGATGGACTTTCTGACTCTTGACTAGAGCCTGGCCTGGACCTGGCTGTTGCGACAATTTGGGGAGTGAACCAGCAGATGGAAAAATTTCTTTCTCCATCTCTCTGTCACTCAGCCTTTCAAATAAATAAATAAAGTTTACAACAAAATGTTACTAGAGGGGCCAGCATTGTGGTACAGTGCGTGAAGCCACCACTTAGAACACTGACATCCCACATCAGAGTGTCTATTCAAGTTCTGGCTGCTCTGCTTCAAATCCAGCTCCCTGCTAATAAGCCTTGCAATGCATCAGATCACTGCCCAAATACCTGGGTCCATGCTACCCATGTGAGAGACCTGAAAGGTGTTCTGGCCTCCTGGCTTTTGGCTTGGCCCAGCCCCAACTGTTGCAACCATTTGGGAAACAGATGGAAAATACCACTCTCTCTGTCCCTCCCTTTCTCTTTCTGTCACTTTTTCAAATAAATAAATAAATCTTTCAAAAAATGTTATGGAAGATGGTCATTTCATCATTACAAAAGGATCAATTCAGCAGAAATAGCTACCAAGTATAAATACACAGATACCTAACAACATAGCACCAAAATACATGCAACAAAACTGATAGAAATGAAGGGGGAAATAGACAAACCAGAAGATTTTTATACCCTACTTTCAATAATGGATAGAACTATTCAAGAGATTAACAAGGAAATACTCGAACAGCACCATAAGGCAACTGTATCTAATATATCTTGTATAACACTCCACCCATCAGCATATATTCTCATGAAGTGTACACACGGTATTTTCCGAGACAGGACATATGCTAGGTTATAAACAAACCTAAAAAATTAAAGATGGGACTCCTAGAAAGGAAGTTCTCCAACTACGCTAGAATGAAATTAGAGTTCAGGAACATAAAGAAATTTGGGAAATCTACAAATCTGTGAGAATTAAAAAGCACAGTCCTAAATAACCAATGGGAAAAATCACAAGAGAAACTGGAAACTAACAAGTAATGAATGAAAAAGCTCGAATATGCCTAACATCTAGCAACCTGGCACCTAAAGCAATGTTTAGAGAGAGAATTACAACTACAGACTAAAAGAAGAAAGAGCTCACAACAATAACTGCATTTTAATCTGAGGATCTTGGAAAATGAGCAAACTAAACCTAAAGCCAACAGAATGAAGAAATTAAAGAAACAGAATAGAAAAACAAGAGACACTTGACAAAAATAAAGAGCTGATTCTCTGAAAATAACAAAACTAACAAATCTTTACCTACATTGAGAAAGAAGACTTAAATAACTAGAATCAAAATGAGAGAGACACATGACTAGTGAACTCAGAGAAAGCAAAATGATAATGAACACTATGAACGATTTAACTGAGATGGATGAAATGGACAATTTCTAGACAGACACAAAATGGCAAAACAGGCTCAAGAAGAAACAAAGATCTGAATAGACTTATGAAAAGCAAGGAGATTGAATTAGTAATTAAAACAAAATCTGTTAACAAAAATCTAGTCACAAAGAAAAATTCAGGTCGGGGGGCTATATAGGTAAATGCTACCAAATATTTAAAGAATTAATTCCAATTATTCACAAACATCCTGTCTCCATGAAAAGAAGGAATGCTTCCAAATTCATTCTATTCACTCCTCAGTATATACCAAAGAGAGAAATGTCCACACACAAATTTGCACGTGAATGTTCACAGAAACATTACTCACAAAGGTAAAACAGTGGAAACAACCCAAATGTCCATCATTTGGTGAAAAGATAAACAGAGTTGCTATCTATATGGCAGAATATTATTTGTTAAAAAGAGATACTGACGCATACTATAACTTGAATAAACTAAAACATTATGTTAAGTGTACACATGTGTTTCATTTGTGTGAAATGCCAAAAATAGGCAAATATAAAGAGACAGAGGGTCTGTCACTTCTCAGGGGTTAGGAGGACAGAGTAACATTTGAAGGGAATGAAGAGTGACTACAAATGGGTGCAAAGTTACCTAAACATTACCTTATAGTACATATGTACTAAATGCGCATTCAAACAAAATTATCTAGAGCAAAATCACCCAATAGAAATACAAACCATGTTTATATTTTGTGGTAGTCACAATTTAAAAAGGTGAAATAGTTTATTAAATCCAATATATCAAAATATTTTTAATATGTAATCAACATAAAGAACTGTTGTATTGTAGTACTAAGTCTTCTAGAATTAGGTATGTATCTTCCATTTGCAGCACCTGTCAATTTAGTCTTGCTACCTTTCAAGTGTTCAATAGTTACATGAGGCTAGTGGTTCCTACACTGGACAGTGTATATCTAGAGAGAAAATTAAGAGAAAATTCTGCTATCCTAGTGTTCTGTTTAGAAGTCTAAAGTTCTCTCTCTTTGTCTCTCTTCCTCTCTCTGTGTAACTCTAAATTTCAAATAAATGTTTAAAAAAAAAAAAAAGGTGAATCCATCTTCTCTTTAATCATCTCAGGAAGGGAAGAGGTCTGCTTCCATCTCTCCTGTTCATGAAACGCCTGGTCATTAGCGTGACCAGCCCATCAAAACACAAATTCAGTATTTCATTAAGGCTCCTTCACACTCCAACCTAAGACTGACTTACACGGGATGGCACTGGAGCACATGAAAAGCAGGATTAAATACTGTACATAAAATCCGACAAGTACAGTCACCTTCCAATTATGGAAAGGTATATTAAATACATGGAGGCATAAGTAAGTGAAAACTTGGTTTACTTTTTTATTATTGCCAATTATTGAGTGTTATCTTTATTATGTTAACTTCTGTGAAAGATGAGAATCCGTCTAATTCACAGTCCACAAAAGAATGAAAGCACAGAAAGATGAAGAGCTGCTCAGCCGCCTGTCTCAATGTTCAGTGTGCTCCTCCTCGCATCATTAAAAACAAGAGAAAAGTCAAGGATGGGGTAGGGAAGCCAGGTAGCCAACACATCTCATGTATGAAAGTCACCTTCATGGCAAATTGATCTTAAAAACTGCTCTGGGGCGGGTGCTATGGCGCAGAGGGTTAAAGCCCCAGTCTGCAGTGCCAGCATCCCATAGGGGCGCCGGTTTGAGCCCCAGCTGCTCAACTTCCCATCCAGCTCTCTGCTATGGCCTGGGAAAGCAGTGGAAGATGGCCCAAGTCTATGGGCCCCTACACCCATATGGGAGACCCAGAAGAAGCTCCTGGCTCTTGGCTTCAGATCAGCACAGCTCCAGCCATTGCGGCCATTTGGGGAGTGAACCAGCGGATGGAAGGCACCCCTCCCCTGTGCCTCTCTGTAACTCTACCTCTCAAACAAATAAATCTTAAAAAAAAAAAAAAAAACAAAAAAAAAAAACAAAAAAAAACAAACCTGCTCTAAATTTGTTACAAAAATACTTAGAACCACACTAAACAGTAAAGTTAAAGATATTCTAATGCCAGACTTTAAGGCATCTATTACTTCTTTTCTTCATTGGCAGAAACAGTGTAGCTGACTGTGGAATCAGTCTTTTTGGTATTTTGAACATAATAGGTTATGTTCTATTATAACATACTAGAAGTCCCACAGATCATAAAAACATAAATTTACAAAATGAAAATAACTCAGGCTATGATTCTCACTTGGTAAAAGAGAAATACTAAGCAATTCTCTGCATTTAAATATGATTACCTTATAGAATTTCAGTGTATACCAATTTTCATAAATCAAAGCATGGTCTTTAAAGTTTTCTGGTTTTTGAGTAGTTGTAGGTCAGGAAATCTTTTTGTTTTCTCATGTCTTTTCATGGTGTGATACTTCACTTTTTATTATAGCATTACCCATTGCCTAGATGTAGCATAGTGTATTTATCCATTCACCTACAGAAGGAAATCTCTGTAGTTTCCAAGTTTTGACAGTGATGAATAAAACTGCTATAAACACCCATGTGCAGGTTTTGTGTAGATATTCTCTTTTTTTATTTTTTCTTTCTTACTTTCTTATTTTTTTTAATTATCTTTTCTATGTGTAGAGATATTTTCAACTCCTCTGGGAAAATACCAAGCAGCACAATTGCTAGGTCATGTGCTGGAGGTTGGTACAGAAGAGATGCCATTTCCAATGATCAAAGATACGATCCACAGATGCATGAATGCTGCATGGTAGCTTCAAAAGCAAAATGAGGGAAAGCCGGGGGCCAGTGTCCTTGATGACCTGTTATATGCACTAGGAGGTCTGATGGAGCCTCTTATCTCAACCGTGTTGAAGGGTATGACCCCAGAACAAACCAGTGGAGCAGTGATGTGGCCCCTACAAGCACCTGCAGGCTAAGTGTTGGTGTGGCAGTACTTAGAGGCTTTCTTTATGCTGCAGGTGGCCAGGATGGTGTGTCTTGCCTCAACATTGTTGATAGGTGATTTTTTTTTTTTTTTTACAGGCAGAGTGGACAGTGAGAGAGAGACAGACAGAGAGAAAGGTCTTCCTTTTTTTTTTTTTTTTTTTTACAGGCAGAGTGGACAGTGAGAGAGAGAGAGAGAAAGGTCTTCCTTTGCCGTTGGTTCACCCTCCAATGGCCGCTGCGGCGGGCACGCTGCAGCCCGCGCACCGCGCTGATCCGATGGCAGGAGCCAGGTACTTAACCTGGTCTCCCATGGGGTGCAGGGCCCAAGTACTTCAGCCATCCTCCACTGTACCCCCTGGCCACAGCAGAGAGCTGGCCTGGAAGAGGGGCAACCGGGACAGAATCCGGTGCCCCGACCGGGACTAGAACCCGGTGTGCCGGCACCTCTAGGCAGAGGATTAGCCTATTGAGCCGTGGCACCGGCCGAGAGGTGATTTTTTAAAAGTCATTTGCAAATTTTTTTGAAGGGCATATAGGACAGTTTTAAGAAAACTACAGCTAACTTTAGAACAGTAGGGGATCCACTATTTGGTGAATTTACCATAGGCTTCAGAAAAAGTTTTCAGTTGATCTTAAAGTCTAGAAAGACTAAAAATATTTTGAAGATTTCTGGCTTTTACCTGTTTAATTGTGCTCATATGTTGCTTCTCTGTTTCTGTCCTTTTTTTTAATTCTTCTCTGAGATTATCTTTTTCCGAACAAATATCTAAGATGAGCTCCTGGTGCTTCTTATTTTCTTTTATTAACCTAAATATAAAGAGGGCAGTATAAGCAAAACATAATTAATAATGGAGATAAAATGAGATGTGGAATTTAATCTTTTCACAGATTAGGGTGTAGATACTTGGGATTATAAAAAATTAAAATTCCTAGGTAATTGTTTTATTGTGATACATGGTATTTTGCAAAACATTCTCTAGTCAATCAGGCTATTGATTTTTTCCTAGAAATTTGTGTATTTCAAATCAAGAAATACATAATCAAGTAAAGAAAACCACATCCCTTTAAGTCTTAGGGGTTTGTAATCTCAATTATGCACTACATCGTTTCAGCATTGGAACCCTTCGGATAAGTGGTTCTCGACCAAGGGCTGTTTTGGTTGTTAAGAGGGGAGGGGTTGCTGCTGGCACCTAGTGGTGAAGGCCAGGGTTGCCACCGAGCATCCTGCCACTGAGACAGTCCCAACAGCCACAAAGAATCATCTGGCTCAAAACAGCAACAGCGCTAAAGCTGAGAAATCTCATTCTAGAGTCTGAGACTATTTTAATGATGTTCGAATCATTATAGAAGTGTAGTCAATGTACAACAAAAAGTTTAAGCAGCAATTTCATTTTTAGTCTCCTAGAAGAAGTGAAATGAGATGACCTGAAAAGTACTCAGAACTGTAAGATGCCTATGAAAGTTAACAGCTAGTAATTTAGGATTATTAATAGCAACATCTTTTACCTAATAGTTATTACACACTATTTGCTAACTTGGGCTGAAATGCATTATTTCACCTAATATTCAAAATAAGTCTATGAAATTATCATTACTTCTATTTACTAATTTTTAGAAACCAAGCATAATTAATGCCTAGAATGTGTTCCAGGTCACACAGCTAGTAAGCGGCTGAAATGAGTTTCGGGTCCAAGCCTAATTCCAAAGCCCAGACCTTTCCACTTGGAAGGCCACTCATTCACAACAGATGCTTACCGGTAGCTACTACGTACTTCCTATTCTACATATGGGGCACATGTTAGCCAACAGCCCCTGCTCTCCCAGGGCTTACGTTTCAAGGGAGAAAACAGACATTTAAAAAATATGCATGTATAGAGTTAGTCCTATTAAGAAAAACAGATCAGTGCAAGCAGACAGAATGACTGAAGCTGAAATCTTAGATAGGATAGTTAGGCCTCTCTGCGGAGGTGAGAGCTGAGCACAGGAATGCAGGGAGGCAGCATCACACACGTCTGCCAAAGAGGCAAACATAAAACCAAGTTTATTCGAGCATTTTATAGCACAGCACTCTCACTTAGACCATTTATATGATTAGAGTGTACATTCAATTTGTTATAGAAAATTACTTGAAATACAAGAATTCTGGCTACAGGAAGGGGAAGTGAAGAGCATTTATTTATTATTTATATGTCAAATGCACATCCTATGCTCTGCCAACTGTTTTCAGAGGGCTGGCTGGGAACTTGGACAATATGGAGCTGTGTTAGAAAACAGAAGAAAAGAAGCAGAGTAGAATGATGGTTGCCAGGGCTCAGGGTGAACGGGGAAACAGCACTCAAAGAGCACAGACTGTAGTATGAGCAAGTTCTGGGGATCAAAGTACATCATGGTGATGACAGTGACTGATGTCATCTTGTATACTTGAAATCTGCTGAGAACAGCCCTCACATGTTCATATACTACACACACACACTAACCCTACAAAACTATGGGAGATGATGAAGGTGTTAACCTAACTGTGGTAATCGTTTCATAATTTATATCAATCATCACACTGCGCACCTTAAAAACAAATACATACAATTTTATCAATTTGATCTCAGTAAACCTGAGGAAAAAATAGGGAAATAGCTGTGTAAACACAAAAACATTTGGAAGCAGATGGATTCATGAAAATTTCAAAGGAAGTGAAAGTTTTCTTCACAGAAAATTAAATAAAGGGAAAACAAAAAAAAAGTTTTAGAGCGGATCTGAATCAATAAAGCATTTTATTAGGAATTAAAAATACGTGGGGCCCGGCACTGTGGCATAGCGAGTTAAGCCGCAGCCTGCAATGTTGGCATCCCTTATGGGCACCAGGTTGAGACCCAGCTACTCCACTTCTGATCCGGCGCTCTGCTATGGCTTGGGAAAGCAGAACATGGCCCAAGTCCTTGGGCCCCTGCACCCGCATGGGAGGCCGGGAGGAAGCTCCTGGCATTAGATCGGTGTAGCTCTGGCTATTGCAGCCATCTGGTGAGTGAACCAGCAGATGAGAGACTTCCTTCCTTCCCTCCCTCCCTCTGTCTCTACTCTCTCCATGTAACTCTTTCAAAATAAATAAATAAATCTTTAAAAAAATAATATGTGTATAACAAAAGATTAACAGATTTAAAATAAGAATATCTGACATCTCTGTAATGCCTTAATGTCCAAAACAGTCCATTAGGTAAGTATCATCTTCTTAATATGGATGGAAAAAAATCTCTGACTCAGCTAAGTTGATGGCGGCCAGTGTAGTATAGCTTCCGAGGACATAGCAGTAACAATCTTCCAAATCCAGATTCCAGAACTGTGCTTATCGACTCTACCATGCTAATCTCATTCTGACAGAATGGGGCAAAAAAAGATCAATCTTTTACTGTTTTGGTTACGTTTTTAAATAAATTTAACAAGTTGTGACTAGTCCATTTCTAGTAACTGTGACTGAGAAATCTCTGAAGCCAAACCAAAGATTATAACTATGCATCACTAGCATCTGACCTTGAACAATCACTTAACCTAATCTCTCTGTGGTTCAGGGACCTCATCTACCAAACTAGGATAATAACAGCACACACTTCATAGAGGTGTTGTGAAGAGCCCATGAGTTAACTTACATAATATGGCAGTCACATAATTAACTGCTATTATTAGTATTAAATAACATAATTTACAAGATCTAACAAAAGCAGGAAGAGGCATCAGAGATCCTTTCAAGGGCAAGGTCTATCAGAAAAGGCACACAGGCATCAGGGAAATGACACCCTAAAAAGCAACAGCAGCAGAGCAGCAATGGTTCAATTATACAAAAGCGTATGGTTCATTCACACCACAGCAATATTCCAGGAAAGATATGAAGAGGAGTAGGCACTAGTTTTGTGGTCGTTTAATAACAGGGTGTTGGTGTCCTGAAGAGATATCTGTACACACATGTTCATAAGAGCATTATCCACAACAGCCTAAAGGTAGAAGGAGCCCAAGTATCCACTAACAGATGAAAGAGCAAATAATATGTGGTATATACTTACATATACAATGGACTATATTTCCACCTGAAAGAAGTTCAGACAAGTTTCAATATATGGGTAAACCTTGAGGCCACCATGTTAAGTGAAATAAGCCAATCACAAGAGATTAAGTACTATTTGGCTTCATTAGATGAGTTACCGAAAGTGTCAAGCAGAACAGAGCAGTACGTAGATGCCAGCAACTGGAGACAGGAAGAATAGAGCCGTTGCTTAACGGACAGAATTTCAGATGTGCAAAGTCAAAATGTCCTACAGACTGCTTGCACAATACTGTGAATGAGCTGAACTTTATTAACTGTACACTTAAAAGGGGTTAAGGCAGTAAGTTTTATGCCATATGTACTGTATCACAATTTAAAAAAGGGGAGGCCGGACAGTAAACCAATGAAGAGTGAACTGGTCCAGCAAATACAGATTCACTGAGCAGGACAATCTGGAACAGTTAAGACTAGAAGCAAGGAAAAGTCAGTTTCATATTCAGCAGTATTTGGTACATTTTCTTCGGTCATCCTCCTCCACTATGTGAACTTCCTCCCTCTTTCCTCTACAAACACATGCCTCTAATTCAAACACTTTTAAAAGTATGATGTTTTAAAAAGAGAATCAGCCTGTATTTCAGTGGAGGCTAGTATACTTTATTTTCCTTTCTTAATGTTAAAAAACAGTACCTTAATCAATCATCATATAACTATATAAATCTAGAATAAAAAGGCAGGACAATATGGTATTAGGAAAAGACTGAATGAAAGCAAACTATTATTAAAACAGAATTCTACAAATCCAAGAGAAGTCTAAAACAACTATGTTCTTGTGTTATATGAAAGAAGGTTAAAATAACTATGTTCTCATTTACTGAGTGATAATCAACCAATTCTTCATCCTCTAAATTTTAATTTTTTGAAACAATGAATTCACAGTGGGGACTTTAAGAAAAAAATTTTAAACATTATTCTCATTTTCTTGTGAACTTTTCTATTTTTGACAATACTGTACTCAAAAATTCTTCAAAAAAATGAGAAATCTGACATTTGTAAAAATTTCTAGCTCGTTAATGAATTTAAACTATTTACTATAATATTTATTTCTTTAGATTTAGATTTATAAACAGTCTTAATTAGAAAAACTTGATATTTGCTAAATTATTCAGTAATGCTATTATATGTCCACCTCTGCTGTGGAATTAGAAGTGGCCAAGATGATACTTTCCTTTAAAGAATTCAATCTTTAACCCCGATGGGGGAAACAAGAATCTAAAGGAATAAAAAACTTACTTTTTAATGGTATGTTCTTGCTGCAAATACTTATCTTGCACACACTTTTCAAACAGAACCAACGCATGTTCTCCCTTATTCATTCCATTTGGCACTCGGTGGCGTTCCTCTGCCAAGTCTGTAGATAAGAGTTCAGACTCTATTTCTTCCAACAAATCCTCTGAGGTTGAAACATTCTTTATTTCTGAAATAAGCTTCTTGGTGCAGTCTGTATCATAAGGACTTTCTGAATAAGTCTTTTCTTTAGCAACTTCTGTAAATGTAGATGATCTTAATTCAGCCAGGATTTGCGTAACTGTCTGTTCTGTTTCACTTGTTTTTGAAAGTTGTTCTGCAGAATCTCCACTAGGAAAATTAACTGTTTGTTCTGAATTTTCAGGACATATGTTTCTTTTAGCACAAGAATCCTCACCTCCACCATGATCCAGAATATCATTTTCCTGTGCTTCAATTTGACTATTTTGTTCATTGGACTGACATAATGTTTCATCACACTTTAATGACAATACTTTGGACTCATTTTCTAACTTACAGCTTTCATCACCAGAAAATGAGATGCATGAGTCTTCCTTTAATTCAGATGCTGTCCCAGGATTTGTATCAGAGGAAATGGAGGCTACGTGCTCTGTCTCTGCCATGCTGATGGGTAACTCACTCTGCATTTCTTCAAATCTGCTCCTGATCTTCGTTTTACATCTGAGAAAGTAAAACATTAAAATCAAAACAATTTCTAAGTGAAGACATCATACACTCAAGTATTTGCACACAATCTGTGATGTGGAACTAAAACTCCTAATAATTACTCCATACCCTTTCCTTGCAGAAAAAAAGAGCGAAAAGGCCAGTCTACCCATGTCGGTTGCAACTGGGAGAGCTACTAAGTCTGTCTTTCCTTCTTCACTTCACATAACTCCACTAATTATTTTCTAGCACAGTCAATCATCCCATGAGATGTTAGCTAAAGATCAATATTATTGATTGCAAGATTAGTGCCGAAGAATGATCAGAATTCCTTTAACTTTCTGAGTGGAAAAAAACTACCCCCAAGAAATTTGTAAGGAAACAGTAGAGAAATAAGACAACAATGAAAGCACTAGAAGAGAAATTGCAAAGCAAGAAAAAAATAAATACACAATGGGGCCAATGTGGCAGCATAATCTGATAAGCAGCTGCTTGCAACACTCCCACCAGCATCCCATTCTTAGAGCACTGGGATGAGTCTAGCGGCTGTGCTTCCAATAGAGCTTCCTACTAATGTGCCTAAGAAGGCAGCACAAGACAGCCCAACTACTTGGGCCCCTGACACTTACATGGGAGATCAGGGTGTAGTTCTCGCCTCCTGTCTTCAGCCTGGCTTAGACCTGGCTATTGCAGCCATTTGGGGAATGAACCAGTAGACAGATCGACTGATCGCTCTCATGCTCTCTCTGTTACTCTGCCTTTCAAATAAATAAATCTTTTTGAAAGAAATGCACATTAATGATAATTAAAAATTTGCTGGGAAGGAAAACTAAACAATAACACGACATGGCTACTTATAACCCAGAGACCTAGACTTGAGCTGAAAAGAAGTCACAGTGTGATGGATCCCTGCTAGGAGTTATTTTTTTCCTCCAGGCAGTACCATGGTGATTTTCAAACATTCTCATTACGAATAAGTGTTCAGAGCAAATCAGATGGAGCCCACCGGGCACTATGCCAATAAAAACAACAATAAAAGGGTCTGGCACTGTGGCATAGTAGGTTAAGCCTCTGCCTGTGGTGCCAGCATCCCATATGGGTGCCAGTTCATGTCCTGGCTGCTCCACTTCTGATCCAGTTCCCTGCTAATGTCCTGAGAAAGCAGTGGAGGACGGCCCAAGTGCATGGGCCCTTGTACCCATGTGTGAGACCCAGAAGAAGAAGCTCCAGGCTCTGGGTCAGCCCAGCTCGGGCCGCTGCAACCATTTGGGGAATAAACCAGTGGAAGGAGGATATCTCAGTCTCTGTCTCTCCTTCTCTGTAATTCTGCCTTTAAATAAATAAATCTTTTTTTTTAAATATTTATTCGTTTGGAAGGCAAAGTTATAGAGAGGCAGAGGCAGAGAGAGAGGGGGAGAAAGAGAGAGAAAAAGAGGTCTTCCAAGTGCTGGTTCACTCCCCAGATGGCCACATTGGCTGGAGCTGTATCAATCTGAAGCCAGGAGCTAGGAGATTCCTCCAGGTCTCCCAAGGCAGTGGAAGATGGCCCAGATCCTTGGGCCCCTGCATCCACGTGGGAGACCTGGAAGAAGCTCCTGAGTTTCGGATCAGTGCTGCTCCAGTTGTTGCAGCCAACTGGGGAGTGAACCAATGGATGGAAGACCTCTCTCTCTAACTCTTTCAAATAAATAATTTAATTAAATGAAAAATAAAGAATTAATTCCATCAAGTTACTTTTTTACGATGCTTATGAAAGTTAGTCTAAGCTATTTTATGAAAATTACTGAAATTCACAAATTACCCTTATATAGGCACAGACAGCCTACTGGTTAGGGTAATGGTGTATCACATCAGAGAGCCTGGGTTCCACATCCACAGTTTCAGCAATCATCAACTTCTACAAACACGGGCAGGATAGAGGAGTTACCAAAGCCATATGAGATCAGATTAAAAAGTGGGCAAGTGATAGTTTGACAGAAGCTAATAGAGAAACAATCCAGATGAGAGGTATACTTATGGAAGCTGAAACGTGAAACTCAAAGTTTTTAATAACAAAGAAAAATACGTTAACATCAGACTATAATGGAGGTGGTGACCACCATGTAACCTGCCATCCTGTAACCACTTAGCTTGCGAACTGGGTTTTCTCATGCTCAAATGAACACTGACTGGAGGCCAAGCAAAAACAGACGAGTTAGCAAAGGTCTATATGTATATATGCAACAAACCCATCACCAAAGATTAAACAACTACACAGCAGCGGAGGTGGGGGAGAAGAACAAGATGAGCTTCATTTTGCCCATGATTAACTAAGAGAAAAAACAGTCAGCTGAGTCCTGCCATAGGCCTCCAGCTGGCAGCGCGATGCAGACCAATCTGGATGCTGTCCAGAGTTTTTTCTTTTGGTGGTGGGAAGGGACGGGGCAATCATCAAAGCTACTGAGAAAGGACGAGCCTCGTAGCAGACTAATGGGGGAGGATGTAAAACTAGGCATTTGTTTTAAAAAGCGCTTGTACAAACCAAGTGCATATCCAAATACAGAAATAAATGTTGCTTTAAAAAAATGATACAGGGTCCAGCGCTGTGGCATAGCAGGTAAAGCCACCACCTGCAGGACTGCCATCCCATATGGGTACTGGTTCAAGTTCTGGATGCTCCACTTCTGATCCAGCTCTGTTATGGCCTGAGAAAGCAGTGGAAGATGACCCAAGTCCTTGGGTCCTTGCTCCCACTTGGGAGACCTGGAGGAAGCTCCTGGCTCCTTGCTTTGGGTCAGCTCAGCTCCAGGTCAGCTGAGCTCTGGCTACTGTAGCCATTTAGGGGATGAACCAGGGGATGAAAACCTCTCTGTCTCTACCTGTTTCTGTAATTCTGACTTTCAATGGGCTCCTGCCACCCATTCTGGCTCTGGCTATGACCTTGCCCAGTCCCCGCTGTTTCTGGCATTTGGGGAGAGAATCAGTACATGGGAACTCTCTCTCAAATTAACAAAAATTTTTAAAATTAAAAAAAAAAAGCAGGTTATTTGAACTTTTTAGCAACCTTTACTAATTAGGAGAAATATCTATTTGAAACAGTACAGTCAGAAAATTCTTTTGAATTCAACGACTTCTATTTTTCAGAGCTGTTTCTCACACAGTACCTCAGGACCAATTCATACTTCAGAGTGGACTCCATGAATGAGAACTGGTTTCGTTCTTACTGGAGCTCATCAGCTGTAGGCAACTGGTCAAGAAACACTTTGACTTGCCTGGATGCCAGCTACTATCCATCTTGGATTTCTTTTCTTAATGCATGACTTCACATTTCTACAAAATTATTTCCATGTAGGAATCATATAGATGAAAACAATTTTAAACAGCTTTTTGTTCTTGCTCTTGTTTTTCCACTAATTGACATTATACACAAACAAACAAAAAAACTTAGGCTGCAAATACAAATGGATCCAATCCACAGATATTTGGTAACAGGTTATTATATAAACAAGTACCATACAAAAGTAACAAGTCAAAAATACATTTCTAGGGCCAGTGCTGTGGCGTACTGGGTAAAGTCACTGCCTGCAATGCCGGCATCCCCTATGGATGCCAGTTCAAGTCCCAGCTGCTTCACTTCCTATCCAGCTCTCCACTATGGCCTGGGAAAGCAGTAGAAGATGGCCCAAGTCCTTGGACCCCTACACCTGCATGGGAAACCTGGAAGAAGCTCCTGGCTCCTGATCTGCTCAGCTCTGGCCATTATGCCCATCTGGGGAGTAAACCAGCTGATGGAAGACCTCTCTCTGTCTCTGCCTCTCTCTAGCTCTGCCTTTCAAATCCTCCCATCACCACCCCCCCACCCCCCACCGTGTGTGTTCACTCGTGCTCTCTCTCTCTGCCTCTCTGTAACTCTTTCAAATAAAGTAAATCTTAAAAAAAAATACATTTCCAAAGTAGGCATTCATTCATTCATTTGCTCACCAAGTAGGTTTTAGCATCTATTATGCAGACACTGTTCTTGGTGTGGAGAACAGTCATGAATAAAAACAGACAACCCTCACGGTGAGACCTGAGGTAGGCAGATCAATATATGTTGCCCATAGGCCGGCGCCGGCACACCGGGTTCTAGTCCCAGTCAGGGCGCCGGATTCTGTCCCAGTTGCCCTTCTTCCAGGCCAGCTCTCTGCTGTGGCCAGGGAGTGCAATGGAGGATGGCCCAGGTTCTTGGGCCCTGCACCCGCATGGGAGACCGGGACCTGGCTTCGGATCAGCGTGATGCACTGGCCGCAGCACGCCGGCCATGGCGGCCATTGGAGGGTGAACCAATGGTAAAGGAAGACCTTTCTCTCTGTCTCTCTCTCTCACTGTCTACTCTGCCTGTCAAAAAATAAATTAATTAATTAAAAAATTAAAAAAAATATGTTGCCCATAAACATTACAGCACTAGAAATTATATTATATTTATTTTAATATTACGGTATCTTAATTTTTAGGTTTGCCAGTGTTCAACAGAAACACCTGGGAAACAAGTGTTTTGGCACTGCAGTTAGGCTGCAACTTAGGATAGCTGCACCTCCTACTGATGCACGCCCTAGGGGGCAGCAGGTGATGGTTTAAGTTCTTCCGTCTCTGACACCCATTTGGGAGACCCAGACTGAGTTCTGAGTTTTGGTCTTCAGCCTGGCTCAGCCCTGACTTCTATGGGCATTTGGGAAATGAACCAGCAGATGGAAGAGCTCTCTCTCTTTCAAATAAAATGAAATTAAATGTTTTTAAAAAATTAAAAAAAAACACCTTAGTTCAGTATAAATACTATCTGTAACTAGCTACAAGTTTAAAAATTATAAACTGTACCATTTAAGTCCCAAATAATACCAGTTGTATAATTCTCAAACATGCATCAAGGTAGGCAAGCTGAGACTGGGAGCTCACTCCTGTTCTTCAGCACAATGGTCTACTATCCACTGTAGAAATGAAGTACATCACGAGTCTGCTGCACTTCGGATCCAGCTCCCTGCTAATGTGCCTGAGAAAGCAACAGGTGATGGCCAGTGGTGCTTGAGTCCCTGGCACTCATGTGGGAGACTTGAGTGGAGTTCCAGGCTCCTGAGCTTCAGTCTGGCCCAGCCCCAACCAGTGAGGCCATTCAAGCAGAAAGCCAGCAGACGGAAGATCTCTCTGTCTCTCCCTCTCTGTAACTCTGCCTTTCAAATAAATAAATAAATCTTTTAAAAAAGAAAAAGAAGAAACGTAACTACATCAAAAAATTTTCTACTTATTCCCCAAATAAACTTTGAAAGGAGCATAAACAAACAAAAATAAAAACCTAGTCTTTCTGGACAGTTCTAATAAATGAGAAACAAAAAGCAAAATAAAAAAAGCATCTACATCGTCCATTACCATCTGTTCACAACTCCAAATAACTGTTTTTTTTTTCATAAATTATATCAACTTCAAAAGACACTTTCCTGGGTAAAAGCTTTTTAAAAATGAAATAGAATGAAAAAGAACCTGTTTAAGAAGCATGAATATCTTTTTTCACATAATGAAAATGCTTGACATTGAAATTTCATATAAAGTACATTTATGTAGATCAAAATCTACTTTTTTAACTGAATCACATTCTGGGTAAAATTTAATAGTCACATGTTGAGTTTTCTTTAAGGGAAACACAGCACTATAATAAAAAAGCTGCCTCTAGTTTACTAGTTTGAGAAGTTCCTTCTATGAGTCAAGGTCAATTATCCCTGCGGGGATTTCTTTAGCTTTGCACCTATGATTTCAGACAGGGTGGATTTTATGGTTTGTGCATTATATAATGCACAAAGATGCTAACTGAATAATAAAAAAAAAAGACTCGGGCAATAAATGTAGCAGGACACCAAAACAGTACCAAATCCTGTGGTAGGATAGTAGAAGAAAGAGAAACTATGGTCCATCAAGATTCCAGGAAAGGGGCAGCAGGTAAGGCTGCCACCTGCAGTGCTGGCATCCTATATGGGTGCCAGTTTGAGTCCTGGCTGCTCCACTTCTAACCCGGCTCCCTGCTAATGTGCCTGAGAAAGCAGCAGAAGATGGCCAAGTCCTCGGGACCCTGCACCACACGGGAGACCTGGATGAAGCTCGTGGCTCCTGGCTTCAGCCTGGCCCAGATGGGGCTGCTGTAGCCATTTAGGGAGTGAACCAGCAGCAGATGGAAAATCTCTCTCTGAGCCTCTCCTCCTCTGTAACTCTGATTTTCAAATAAATAAATAAATATTTTAAAAAATAAAAATATTCCAGGAAAAAGAGGGTCAGTGGCTACACATCACATTATCAATATCCTATGTATCATTCTACCAGTTTGTTATCTTACATGAATGCAATTTTATATATCTCTAATACTTTTTAAAATATTAAAGCAGTTATTAATACAGAAATCTTAATTTGAAGCTTGTACAGATGTTACCATTTGCACTTTAATGAGTCCAAGAAAACACAGAAAGTATTTTCAATTAATTTTCCTTCCAAATCTAACAAGTGAAAGAAGGAAAAAAAATCTTGACCAGTAGTTTGCTTTTCAAAAAGGAAGGCGAATAACTTAAGACTAAATATATAGGTTGTGACTCTGCTTTATGTTAGTTTTGATGTTTAATTCTGAAGTCACATTTGGCCTGGGTTTATTTAATTTGGTAAGATGTAGCAAGAAAAAGTTAAATTATTTATTAGTACTTACTACAGACTATCAATTCATGTATCTTAACAAATGTTACTAAGAAATATACCCCCAATACAGTCAATACTACGCTGGGGTTGATTTCCATTGAATCTACTTCCCCTTCACCTCAGTATCTTTTTTTTTTAAGATTTATTTATTTGAAAGGCAGCGTGACGGAGAAAGGGGTAAGTTAGAAGGGAGAGAGAGAAATGAATAGATAGATCAATCTTCTAAGCACTGAGTCACTCCCCAAATGCCCACAAGTCAAGGTTGGGCCAGGCCAAAGCCAGGAGCCTGGAACTCCATCCTGGTCTTCCACATGGTGGCAGGGACCCAAGTGCCTGGGCCACTCTCGGCTCCCTTCCCACTCACATTAGCAGGAAGCTGGATCAGAAACTGAGAAGGAAAGGGGGCTCCAACACGGGATGCTGTCATTACAAGTGGTGGCCAAGCACCACAATGCCTGCTCCTTACTTTGCTTATACTTTTTAGCCCAAATACAAATTGTAAGTCTCAGTAGCTGAGAAAGTTCAAAGAAGTCTAAAAGAATGTAAGATTAAAGGGTCATCTGTAGATGGAAATGTCTGTCATCTCCTCTATCCCTAAAAGGAAAATGCAATGTAACATCGAGCTATATCAAGCCCAGTGATGTTCAAGAACCTACTCCTAGGTATTTAAAGAAGAAAGAGATGAAATAATCCTAGAACTTCAGGTTAAGGGTCTTTCAACACAAAACAGCTAGACGAATTTGAAACCAGTACAGATTTCTATTCATTCTTCAAAGGGAAGGCTGGCTTTCTAAATCTCCAAATAGAGCTGCTTCTTCAACCTATCCTCTCTTCCCTCTTCCATCGAGAGTGAAGTACTGGACTGCTTTACCTTTACTCCATGACGTCAGCATCTGGCTGTAAACAGACTTATAAACGGAACACACTAAACAACCAGCAGCCATGCTGTCACTGCACAGCATCAAAGGGCAACTCTTTAGTTAATAGGGGAAGGAACAGGAAGGTTAGGGTGCTCACAGAGTGCTACACACTGGCCACTCCTTTGGGTTAGGCCATACACAAAGACTGAAACATCAGTCACATTCCATGGAATCTCCACTGTTGAAAGAATAATTAAGTTTACATGCACTCATTCTGAACCAGAGGAGGCCTTCAAACAAAACTAACATAAACACACTCGCATCTCCTAGGTGATCCAGCAATTCGACTTTAAAAGGGAGTTTTAATTCTCAATACTGCAAGATTTGTAAGCTACCCAGTATTTTCTATGAATTTAAAATAATACAATTAAGACTAACAAGAAAAGAAAAAGAATTGGGCCAATCATCGCTGCATTTTGTGTAATGGTGGATTAAAAAAAAAAACAAAACACAGCTGCACAAGGGCCCGTGTACTTTATCCACAAAGACAGTACAGATTCGCATCAGTGTTTCTCGAATCTTAATCTTCCCCACAAGATAAACACTCTACAAATAGGAAGGTGTTGTTAGTAGCTGCAAAGGCCACACCCACAACCAGCATACCTACACACTTCACGGATTGATTTTTTTTCTTAAATGGATACCAGCACACCTCCTGAAACATTGTTCCACTGACTTACTGAACAATTCCTTAGGAAAACACTCAGTCTACCTCTTAGCAAGGAAGAGAAAAACTAGGTGTCAAAGGAACACGATACACAGGCAAACAGAACTGCCAAGCGCCTGCGACTGGACTGCGTGTGTGTACTCCGCTGCGGGTCCCCAGGTAACAAGACTACCCAGGATTCGAATCCAGATGTTGCGACTGAAAATCCAGGCCTTCCGGCCCCAAGCAAAATCAAAATGTGAATATTAGCCGAAGCTGCTAACTTGCTAACCGCTGAGCGATAATTACACCTGCACTGTTCCCCAGGCTGGCTACCTGGGCACGTGTGCAAGGGGGTTTTACCATTTCACACGTTCGATGGAGGCATATTTGGAATTCCTTCCTCCCCAGCCAAGCTTTATGGAATGCCTTGATGTCCTTGGAAGAAAGGCAGCATAAAAACAAAGAACAGTATTCTCTCTCATCCACAACCCCAACAATCATTTCCAGTAACTTGAAAATCACAGTAACACCAAGTGTTGAGAAAAGGGCTAAAAAGTCACCGAAACAGTAAACACACACGGACACAAAGAGTCAGCGTGGACACGAAAGGCCAAGCAGGCGACTGAGTCTCTCCGAAGGATCCCGGAGCAGCAGGGCTGGGCTCGCACTTGCAGCCCGGGTGATCGGCTCGAACCCGGCGGCTCGCGAGGCACAGCCCCCGGGGTCCCCGCCGACCCGCCTCGGTCGCCCCCTGCCCCGGCGCCCGGGACTCAGCGAGGGGGCTGCGAGCCCTGTCCCCCGGCGCTCGCCTCCTCCCGCCCGCGAGAGCAGCCAGCGGCCGGCTCGCCCCCGCCCCGGGACTGCAGGACGCGCCGAGGCTCGCAGCCCCGCGGCGCTGCCACCAACACTGTCCCGTCCGCTCCGGGCGCCCCTCAGGCACTCACCCCTCCTCTCCAAGCCTCAGGCCGCACCCTAGCGAGGCCGCCGGAGCTCCAGCTCAGAGACCAACTTCTCCATCGCGGGGCAGAGTGGGAGGGAGACAGAGCGGCGAGGAACAGGGCGGGACACCTCTCTCTCTCGGCGCCACAGCTTCCCCAAGCCCCCGCGGAGCTGACACATCACAAAGATGGCGGCGACGCCGGAGCCGGCCGGGGTACAGCTGAGGGGGCGGGGCTCCCCGAGGGAGCCAATCAGCGCCTCGCGGGCGGCGTGACGCGACGCACCTTGAGGTCCAGGGTAACCTGCCTGCAGTGGGCGGAGCCGGTGCAGCACCGCCCCCGGCCTCGCGGCCCCGGGAGGCCCCGCCCTGGACGGTCTCGCAGGGGCACCCACGCGCTGCCGACCTGCGCTCGCCTGGCCTTAGTCCTGTCGCGCCTCTCACGCCCTTCCAGCATCCAGGCAGGTTGTTTCCTTCCGTGGAGGCGCGTCTCGCCCTTTGGCCGGTCCTCGTTCGAGTCAGGGACATCAAGCAATAAAAGAATTCCCGACCGTGGCTTCTCGGCGCTGATGCGCAGACCTTGCACCTGACGTGGGCGGAGTCTCAGGAGCAGCGTACCTGCCCTTTTCTTCCCTGGAGAGGCTTCTGGGGTTTCCATACCTCCGCGTTCGGATCTCCAGGGTGGCCCCCACGGCCCTTGCTTAACAATGGGCTGTGGGGGCGTTCGCCTCTCCCGGCAGGGTGTCCACTATGCCCAGGGTGGGTATGGAGACAGTTGCCCAGCAGGGTCCGGCGCGGGAAGCTGTGCACTTGGACGCCACTGAAACGACGTTCTTTGCTTTAGGACTTCTCATTCATAAGTCCTCAGAGGAAATACTTAATTCAGGCGAGTCTTGAATGCAAGACTTTGGAAAGTAGAAGTTTCTGCCGCTCCATTGAGCTGCTTTGAGACTGCTGGAGAAAAAAAAAAGAAAGAAACCCTGACTATAAATATGTGATTTGTTCCTCTTTCCTTTGCAACAGGAAATGGCACCTCCTTCCTCAAATAAAGAGACTGCATTAAGATACATTGTTGCAAAGTGTCTATGATAACAAAGAAATGATTGGACTTTGAAAAACAAATCTACCCAACTTTCCTAGCGAGGTCTATTATTCTGGGGGAGAGGGGGAGTCAAAGAAACCTTGAGCTGTTTCAGTATTCATATTGTCAGCAATAACACTGGTATTATTATTTCTGAAATCTAGCACTAGTATAAAGCATATAAATGTCTCTGGGAACCAAGTTTTTCACTGTAAGAAAAAAGTAGAAATAGAAAATCATAGAAATTAAATAAAAATTCTGCAATCCTAAATTTGAATTTAGGAATATATTAAGCATGAACTCAGGGGCTGGTGCGGTGGCGCACTAGGTTAATCTTCCGCCTGCAGCGGCCACATCCCATATGGGCGCCGGGTTCGGGTTCTAGTCCCAGTTGCTCTTCTTTCAGTCCAGCTCTCTGCGGTGGCCTAGGAGGGCAGTGGAGGATGGCCCAAGTGCTTGGGTGCCTGCACCTGTATGGGAGACCAGGAGGAAGTACCTGGCTTCAGATCAGCGCAGCTCTGGCCGTTGCGGCCATTTGGAGAGTGAACCAGCGGAGGGAAGACCTTTCTCTCTGTCTCTCTCGCTCACTGTCTATAACTCTACCTGTCCAAAAAAAAAAAAAGTATGAACTCAGGGCATTTTTAATTAAAAAAAACTGTCTACCGAAAAGATCTAGAATAATCAGCCTACCTACATATTTATATTCTCCAAACTGTGATCTCTAAACGCCATTTCCTGTTAAAGTTACCTGGACTTTGTGTGATGATCAAAAGTGACTCCAATTCTAGGCCAAGAAAGGTAGAGAGAGCCTTGGACGTGTTGACTGTACCAGAAGCAAGGAAAAAGCAAAGTGAAGATGATAGCAGTCGTGCCCAAAAGACTTAGAAAGGAATTCAAGTGTGCTCCAACTGGACGGAAGCAGGATAATTTTAATGTTCAAAAATAACAACAGCAATTGATTGAGACACATCAACTACATAAAAAAAACTGCATGCATTGATTTTTTTTTCATGTTATTGACCATCTTGGGAAGATATCAAGAAATATCACACATTGAAAACTGATAATACTTTTAAAAAAATGAAGCATTTGGCCAGACTGAATGTCAATCACAATGTGGATGGGAAAGTTCTCTTGTAGAATTTTGTGTAATAAACACACAAATAAAGAGAGACTATTACCGTTTTGCAAACTGTAATGAAATAATAGATACAGATAATGGTCATCTGTGAGTCTGGAACCCTAGATGAAACTTCAAGGGAAACTTCAAGGTGGATGAGGCTGACAACACTTGAAGCTACTAAGTCAATCTTAGGATGCACTGCAGGGAAACAGCTACAGAACCTGTACTTGCCATCTGCGGCAACAGAGAAACAGCACCACCTGGGAAGGATTCTGGCCAAACGTGACTGTAGCCCAGGATGCTGCCCTGGTCTCCCCACAGCCCCCGCTGGGATGCTGGAGAGTAGCGAATGGGAATGGGGACGTCCTCCACGCACTCCCAGGGCCATTCTTGGGGTTGAGCTTGAACCTGGCCCCACAGGGCCTGCAGTAGACAGGTGTAGGCTTCTGTGCTTCCTCCAGGGGCGCAGGTAGTGCCGGGACAGGCAGTCATAGATGCCCTCCAGCAGCCGGGGGCGCCTCCACAGGCTGACCCTGAACTTGTGTGGGGCATCTTGGGGAGCTGGAGGAGACGGGAGTCGCAGGGACCCCTGCTCCTCTCCAACCCGGCCCCGAGTCCAAATTACGGCCAGTCCTTGCCCACCTTTTGGAGCTTTGAGCTCTGTGACCCCAAGTCACTATTTCTTAAAGACATATACATTAACATTTACGGATGAAGAACATTGATTCTGCAAAAGAAACTATTCAGAAACAAGCCCTATATTGGTGCAAGTGTGTCAAAGAACAGAAGCCAACTCAAAGTTCCTAGTAGGCAAAGTTTGAACAAGTTGAGCAAGGAGATAAATGTAATACTCTCTTGGATTATAACCTAAAATGTTAAATAAATATCCATGAGTCCATTCTGACGTAAATAGATATAAAAATAAATGGGGAGAAGAGACAAATCTCCCATGTAGAAGAATTCCTAATAATGTCTGCAGTCTCTTTAGAGTGGACATTATTAAATAGGGGCTTTGCTTAATGGCTTCCTTCCAGGAAATCTGATATGGAAAGGGAGGAGGGAGAAAAAAGCAACCACACTGTAGAGAAACCTAACAAATACTGTCTCCGCCAGATAATCAAAACTGACATCAGTTGTCATGAATCATGTTCATAAAATCTACACTTAATGGGATGCAATGAAAACGGGACTTTATCTCTGCGGTCCTCCTTCCGATAACCCGTAACTCCATTCCCACTACGAGAAAACCAAATTCCAATAGTACAGCTCCCCTGCCCACAAAAGCCTGACCTACAATACTGTAGGAAGTTGTCAAGGAAAATCTGAGAAACTGCCAGGCAAGAAGAGCTTAGGAAGACAGGACTCCACGTGTCCTGGGTGAGTGCCTAGCTCAGAAAAGGAGCTACAGGTGAAAACAAAGCAAATCTAAATAAACCAGGGACTTCAGTCAACATATCAATATAGGTTCTTTAATTGTAACAAATGTAGCATACTTACAAGGCATGTTAATAATACAAGAAACTCCATGTGGTTGCAGTGAGAATTCATATTTTCTTTATAATTTAATCTGTAAGTTTATTCTGTAAATCTAAAACTATTCTAAAAAAAAAACTTATTTGAGGGGCCGGTGCTGTGGCATAGAAGATTAAGCCTCTGCCTGCAGTGTGGCAACTCATATGGGTGCTGGTCCAAGACCCAGCTGCTCCACTTCAGATCCAGCTCCCTGCTAATGTGCCTGGGAAAGCAGAGAAGATGGCCCACGTAGGAGACTGGGAAGAAGCTCCTGGCTCCTGTCTTCCGCCTGGCTCAGCCTGTGGTGTTGCGGTCATTTGGGGAGTGAACCAGCGGAGGGAAGCTCTTGCTCTCTCTTCTTCTGCCTTTCAAATAAATAAATCTTTTTCAAAAAATTACCTGTTTGAGAGGGGAAAAAAAGTGTAAATTTCGGATTGCTTCAAAACATCGCAGGAAGAATGACGGGTACCAAAGCTGAGATTATGAATTTATAATGTTGAAACTGGGTGATGGGTACACTGGAGCAGCATTTTTCTGAGTTTGTTAGAAAACTTCCATAGTGTGTGTGTATTGTATATATATATATATGTACATGTAGAGGGAGGGAGAGCGTGAGGCACGCCAACAGATAGAATGACGTGCTCTCAATCTAGGTGAGGAAGAAGGGTCAGGTGTGTTTAGTTTCCAAGGCTGGGCGGAAACAGTGAACTAATTTGGAAAACCCTGAAAGACCTTTAAGTTGCCGAGGAGACCCAAATGATCTGGGCAGAGCCAAGGTCTGCCTCTTTGTGCCCAAAATCAGCCCACGGCGCTCCTCGGGACAGCCTTCTAAAAGAAGCTACAAGTTAGCCACACGGTACTGCCAACAGCCACTTGCAGAGCCGGCAGCCTCGTCGCTGGAGCACCAGCCCCGGGGAGGCACCGGCGAGCGCACGTGGGCGCCGCGGTGCACACGTGGTGCAGGTGCGCGGGCACGCACTGCGCAGGCGCGGTGTGCTGAGCGGGCGAGGGGGCTGGGCTTCGGAGGCGGGGAGAGCGCCTGAGGAGGCTTGGGGCGGCGAGGTTTCCGGGCACCTGGCTTTGCCGCCGGGGTTTGGAGACAGGTCGGGGGCAGCAGCCTTTAGGCCACTTTCCAGGTCAGGGTTCCCGGGCACCTGGGGGAAGGAGAGGGTGTGTGTGAGGGTCTGGGGCTTTGGTCGTTGGGCGCTGGACGTTGGACGCTGGACGTTGAGGTCGGGCGTTGAAATCGGGCGTTGAGCGGGTACGAGGGGCCTGCAAGCGGAGAGAGGGTGGAGTCCTGGCTGGGAAGCGGAGGTCAAGGCCTGCAGGTTTGGGCCTAGGAATAGGAGCTGGAGGTGCGGGCAGGCCGGGCTCCTGCAGAGGGTTTGGGAGCAGTGAGCTCTCCAGGCCTGGCTTCCCCAAAGGTGGAAATGCGGACGTCTTTTACAAGGAGCTCGTTGGTGACTGCCCGGCCTTCATTTAACTCGGGAGCTGCAATGCAATACGTGTGGGTGCCTGGGAGGCTGTTTGCCCACCACCTCACTCCTCCAGTGGGAAGGGAAGGCGCACGGAACAGTCGCTCCCCGCAGGGGTAAGCTGGCGCGGGTGCGTGCCGCCAGCGCCCCTCGTCCTCCCTGTGGGGCCTCTGCAGTCAGGGCAGGGCCTGCTGGGTCCCTCGGACACCGAGGGCTTGTGTGCAACCCTGCACAGCCGGAAATCCGACCTGGGTGCTCTCCTCGCGGCAGTGAAGGGGCTGGCCCTGGGGGTTGGGGTAAGTAAGGTAGTCGGCCAGCCGGGTCTCCTGCACGCTTCTCCAGGAATACTTCACTCCCCAACGATTTCCGGTGTCCCACGTGCAGACCCGTTCTCGCAGAGGGCAGAAGGTTTTTTGTCTGTGCGTGTTAAGAGTGAAGTGGAGATAGTGGCCGTCCCGTAAGTCCTTGGCAAGCTGCGTCCACTGTGTCAGTAGCCGGTGTGCAATCTTAATCCTCACGATGAGGAAGTTACTGCCGTCCACAGTTTAATCACTGAATTCCAGAGAGACGAAGTGGTTCGCCCAAAATAGCATGGCTGAGTGAGGAAGGTGGCACTTGGCTCTGACTTCAAAGCCCAAGGCTCGGCTGAACCGCGGAGTTGTGTAGCTTTCAAGGGGCTGTTTCCTTTGGGTGGAATGGCTCTTGCTGCGTGCACGGGGTTCACCGGGAAGACGGACTTCAGAGAAGGAAAACAATCACAGCCAAGTGCCTCTGCCGCTCTTTTGTTCAAAGAGTGACTCCCCTATGGGGTGACACTAGCCTCTAGGTGTGTCCTCCTGACGGAGAAGAGAGAGTGTACTTTACCATGTGCTGTGGGTCCTAGGGTGGTGAGGATAGCAGGAGTAAGACTCCAAGGGAGTGAAAAAGAGGGTCTGCTCTTACGGACCCTCCCGTGTTACCGAAGTCTAATCCTGGAGCCCTGAACACAGTGGCATACCAAGCCCAGGCCTCAGTTCTGCGGTACAACTGTACGAGTTCGCCACTCCCAGGCCACTGCCCCTTTGTTAAGTCCCCGGTCCTGAGAATGTAAGGATCCCTTTAACGTAAAGAAAGTTCGGGGCTCTTCAGATTAGCTTCCTGTGTTAGCTGGGAAGCATAGCGATGGCTGTGGATTCCAGATGACTAAATGCATTTGTATTCATCACCAAGCTTGTGGAAAGCCTAATGGGTTGCCCGTGGGGGAAAGTGCTTGTTTTAAGACTGAATGCATGATATCTGGCCCACCTCTTTACCTTTGAGAAGTCTGCAGCCTGAGGTTGGGAATTAACGTATTATGCTATAGGTTCTGCCCACTCAAGATTGAGATTTGCATAGTGGTTGGCACAGAATTAAACCAAGTAGGTGTGCATGCAAAGTCTTAGGAGTGCTTTTTAGTGTTAAAATTCAGCCTTAAAATCCTGTGCTGTGTCCCGGATTTTGGTAGTGGTCACACATAAATCTATATGTGTGTGAAAATTCACAATCAAAAGGGAGAAGTCAATTTAATGATATGAAAGTTACACATTTTTTTTTTTTTTGACAGAGTGGACAGTGAGAGAGAGACAGAGAGAAAGGTCTTTCTTTGCCGTTGGTTCACCCTCCAATGGCCGCCGCGGCCAGCACACCGCGCTGATCCGATGGCAGGAGCCAGGTACCTCTCCTGGTCTCCCATGGGGTGCAGGGCCCAAGCACTTGGGCCATCCTCCACTGCACTCCCTGGCCACAGCAGAGAGCTGGCCTGGAAGAGGGGCAACCGGGACAGAATCCGGCGCCCCGACCAGGACTAGAACCCGGTGTGCCGGCGCCGCAAAGCGGAGGATTAGCCTAGTGAGCCACGGCGCCGGCCGAAAGTTACACATTTAAAGCAGTGAAGTTCCAAAAGGTTTTATGTGACTGGAAGTTGTTTGGACTAAATTGGCCTATTCTGATAGCCGAGGCGTAGGGGTAATGGGGGCGGGGCAGTGGCACAGTGGGTTGAGCTGCCGTTTGGGTTGCCCATGTTCCCTACTAGGGTGTCTGGTTTGAGTCCTGGCTACTCTGCTTCCAGTCCAGCTTCTGGTTGATGCACCTGGGAGGTAGCAGTTGTCAGCCCAGGGTGCTTGGGTTTTTGTCTCCCATGTGGGAGACTGGGACAGGGTTCCTGGAGTTAGCTTCCTCCAGCCCTGGCTATTACAGGAAGCTGGGGGAGTGAGCCAGTGGATAGGGGATCTCCCTCCCTCTGCCACTCTGCCTTTCAAGTTGATAAATAAACCTAAGGCATCAATGGAAGTGTTGCATGCCAGGGAGATCAGGACTCTCCTATTGACTGGTTGCCACTCCCCTATCTGGAATTGTGTTCAGTTAGGAGAGCCACAGCTCACTGGACACTTAATCTTTTTTTTTTTTAAGGTTTATTTTATTTATTTGAAAGCATTACAGAGAGGGGTAGAGATAGAGGTCACTCCCCAGATGGCTGCAACGGCTGGAGCTGCACTGATCCAAAGCCAGGAGCTTCTTCCAGGTCTCCTATGCAGGTGCAGGGGCCCAAGGACTTGGGCCATCTTCTGCTTTTCCAGGCCACAGCAGAGAGCTGGATCGGAAGAGGAGCAGCCAGCACTAGAACTGGCCCCCATAAGGGATGCTGGCGCTTCAGGCCAGGGCATTAACCTGCCGCGCTCCAGCGCCAGCCCTCTGGGACACTTATTCTACTTTAGGGAAAAAGTGTGTCTACCTCTGGAATCAAAAATAAATATTGCTAAATTGTTGTGATTTTTGTCCTTTGATTAAATTAAATGAGTCTTCAGTTTGTTTTGTTTTGTTTTTTGACAGGCAGAGTGGACAGTGAGAGAGAGAGACTGAGAGAAAGGTGTTCCTTTGCCATTGGTTCACCCTCCAATGGCCGCTGCGGCCGGCGCACCGCGCTGATCCGATGGCAGGAGCCAGGTACTCATCCTGGTCTCCCATGGGGTGCAGGGCCCAAGCACTTGGGCCATCCTCCACTGCACTCCCTGGCCACAGCAGAGAGCTGGCCTGGAAGAGGGGCAACCGGGACAGAATCCGGCGCCCCGACTGGGACTAGAACCCCGTGTGCCGGCGCCGCAAGGCGGAGGATTAGCCTAGTGAGCCACGGCGCTGGCCAAGTCTTCAGTTTTTAAAATATCTTTTTTTCTATTAAAGTAGTGCATCCCAGCCGGCGCCGCGGCTCACTAGGCTAATCCTCCGCCTTGCGGCGCCGGCACACGGGGTTCTAGTCCCAGTCGGGGCACCCAATTCTGTCCCGGTTGCCCCTCTTCCAGGCCAGCTCTCTGCTGTGGCCAGGGAGTGCAGTGGAGGATGGCCCAAGTGCTTGGGCCCTGCACCCCATGGGAGACCAGGATGAGTACCTGGCTCCTGCCATCGGATCAGCGCGGTGCGCCGGCCGCAGCGGCCATTGGAGGGTGAACCAATGGCAAAGGAACACCTTTCTCTCAGTCTCTCTCTCTCACTGTCCACTCTGCCTGTCAAAAAACAAAACAAAACAAAAAAAGTAGTGCATCCTTTGGTGTATTTTGAAAACTAGAAAAAAAAATAGTGAAAGATTTCCTCATCAACCCACTCATCCTAGAAAACTCATTGCTATTTAAAATTTATTGAATTTCATTCATATTTTTAACATGGAATTCTCTTTTTTTCTTTGTCAGTTATGTTGAATACTTAAACACAGGTTGAATATCCTTTACCCAAATTACTTGGGACCAGAAGTGTTTTGGATTTTTGAAACATTTGCATATGCATGAGATATCTTGGGAAAGGGATCCAGGTCTAAATATGGAATCGTTTATATTTCATATCCACTGCAGATACATAGGAGGTAATTTTACACGGTATTTTAGTGCACCTAGATGTGTTAGAAATAACCTTTTTCGTCTGTTGCACAGCAGAGGGGTAGGGTTGGAGAGAGAGAACTTCCATCTGCTGGTTCATTCCTCAGATGCCTGTAATAGCTGAAATCCAGCTCGGCTGAAGCCAGAGCCAGACTCACTATAGGTCTTCTCTGGTGTATCTGTATTTGGACTGTGAACTACCGCATGAATTAAGGTGTGTCATTTTCCACATGTAGGGTCATGTTGGTACTCCAAAAGTTTTGGATTTTGAACCATTTTGGGTTTTCAAATTGGGAAACTCAACCTGTATACATTTTTTTTCTTTCGGTTCTTCATTTGCATGAAAAACTAAATTACACAATTTGTTTGGAAACTAGGATTCTAAATAACAGTATAATTATCCTGTAGAAGCATGCATTGCAGTTACCACCATTTCCTGCCCCCCCCCCCCTTTTAAAGATTTCTTTATTTGAAAGAGTTACACAGAGAGAGAGGTCTTCCATCTGCTGGTTCACTCCCCAGTGGCCACAACAGTCAGAGCTGAGCCAGGCCAAAGCCAGGAGACAGTAGCTTCTTCCGGGTCTCTCACGTGGGTACAGGGGGCCCAAGGACTCAGGCCATGTTCTGCTTTCCCAGGCCATAGCAGAGCTGGATCGGAAGTGAAGCAGCTGGGACTCTAACCGACACCCATATGGGATGTCGGCACTGCTACACCACAGGGCTGGCCCTCTCTGCCTCTTTTAAAAAAGAAAAAGATCCTTTTTGCCATTTTAAATGAACGTGAATGCATACAGGATTTTTTTTGGCATTGAGAATTTTTTTAATGTGATGATTTCTACAAGAGTAACAGTGATTTGGGACTTTTTAGGACCCCCCCCCACACACACACACACTCAAATTTCCATTCTGGAGAGTATGCTAATTCATGCTCATCTTCAGTAATGGGTGTACTTTTTAATTGCACCGGAACTAGGCAGAAAGTAAGTTATCTCAGTTTGAATTTTTCAGAAGCTTGTAGTTGAGGTTGCATGTTTGCTCCTTTGTGCTGTTAGTTTTTTTTTGTAAGTGTTTAATTGTTCCTGTCGTTGTGTTTGCTGTCAGTCCCTTTGTGATGTTTTACCGATTTTAAACTAAAAACCAAGACACACCTGTTAGCTTTGGAGTGTGGTTGTTGTAGGCGGATTGAGAAGCATGATCTGGTAGATTTGTGTGTGTCTGGTGATGGCTGGATGTGGTCTGACTGATACTGGGTTTTTTTGGGGGGGGGGCGGTGAGTTGATTCAATCTTTGTAGCACAGAATACGTAATGCACAGTGTTGGAAAAGGAAATACTCTTAATTGTGTTGGTCCCTGCTAGATCAATTCAGTGTCACTAACCTGTTTCTTACCTCTGCTGCTTTTCTGTCTGACTGGTAGGTGTCTAGGGTAGTAAGAACCTTATTCTTGTGGATTGAATTTTTCCTCCTTCAGTTTTTGCTTTCTCTATCTCAAAGCAATTTTATTGTGACTCAAACACTCCTGCCTACTCTCTCTTTGGAGTGTTTCTTTTATCATTGTAAAATATCTTTGCCTCAGTATGTTCTTCCTTAATTTGCATTTTGTTAACATTCCACCTTTATTTTGGTAATTTGCAGAGCACCTTTTTGTCCTCTTATTTTCAACCATGCCATATAATTTTTGTTTCCTGTGTGCTTTTTGTGCATAACATCTAGCTGGATGTTTTTGTGCCCACATTTTTTTTTTAAGACTAAATCACTGATACCCGTTACTTGGGTTTGATTCTGCTACTTTGATTTTTTTTTTAATGGCCATGTTCTGTATCAGTTCTTTCAATTTAGGCCTCTTGGGACAGGTGTTAGGCTTCCTGGCAGCTGCTGGGTCTCCCTAAGTGGCTACCCACCCCAGAGTTGTTCTGTTACGAGGCTTCCTTGGATCTGGCCCGCAGTGAACGCCCCACTTTTGAGGATGTCTGTGTATTTTTAAAATTTCATTGTCTTTTCTCTGCTGTCATTGCATTAAGTGGAACTTAACCTAAAAATAAGAAATGAATTGGAAGTTTTAGGGCGTTAAAAGGGAGGATTATCTTGCTCCTTCTGCATTTTCTATACAATCCCACGTTCAGCAACATTTGGTTATTACTTATTGCAGTTTCACCTCCATGACTTTTATTTTTTTTTCCTGTGAGCAGTTTTGGGAAAATAGGCAGAACTGTGTGAGCTTGCAGAGATGGCTACACTGGCTACAGGCCAATGTAGAGAGTTGTTTGCTTCCTCCGGATAGGACACTTAGTATTCTTCAGGAGTAATAGGAAAACAGTGGGCCGTCACATTTCCCGGATAGAGGTTTCTCTCCTGCCCCTTGTGACAAGTAAAACAGGGAAGGCCTGCGCTGTGTCTAAGTTATTTTCAGAGAAAAGTGCACACAGCTGGGGCATTAAAAGCAGAAAGTAAAAACTCCCATTTGTGGAAGTTCAGCTGTGAGCTATCTAAGCTGAACACGGGGCTCAGCTGAGGTGAATTGTGAGCAGTACTGGTATTAGTGCACGAGGGAACAGGGGCATTCTGGGTGTTGGGTTCAGCAAATTCAAGGACTCGGTGGAGCATAAAGTAGGAGAGAGCAGAGGGGCTCTGAGAAGGCAGAACGGTAGGTGATGAACAGGTTGAAACAGCACTGTCCACTGTGGTTTGTCATTAAGGTGTAGGTGGAAATATTTCTTTTTTTTTTAAAGATGTATTTATTTATTTGAAAGAGTTACACAGAGAGAGGAGAGGTAGAGATAGAGGTCTTCCATCTGCTGGTTCACTCCCCAATTGGCTGCAATGGCCGGAGCTGCGCCGATCTGAAACCAGGAGCTTCTTCCAGGTCTCCCATGCGGGTACAGGGGCCCAAGGACTTGGGTCATCTTCTACTACCCCAGGCCATAGCAGAGAGCTGGATTGGAAGAGGAGCAGCCGGGACTAGAACTGGCGCCCATATGGGATGCTGGCGCTTCAGGCCAGGGCATTAACCCGCTGTGTCACAGCGCCGGCCCCGAAATATTTCTTTTAAAGTGTTAAAAAATCCTCCTCCATTCATGTTGCTTTAAAAGTAAGGAGCCGTGTTGAACTCTGAGGCCAGTCTTTGGATGTGGCTTGCACTGGTGTTTTGTTGGTCTGTGGTTGCATTCCGTTAAGTGTGGAGTCTGCGGTTATCCTTAGAGGCTGGTCCTGTGCTTCTGCCTCTAGGCCAGATTTGCTGGCTTGGTTCTGTCTACTTGATGAACGAAGTCACTCACTTGTGCCTGCTGTTCTACTCCTGTAATTGCAAGTTGCCTCTTTAATATATTTCTTTCCTCAGACTTCTGTGTGAAATTGGCAGTCGAGAAATAATTTGGAAACGTCTACTTGCAAAATGACAGAGGCATTTAATTTTGAGAAAGGTGAAAGCAAGCTTCCACCACGTGATTCTTTGAGAAGTCCTGGAGCCCATCATAACCATCCTAATTTCAGGTTGAAAAGCCCAGATAATATAATTAAAAAGAACAAGTTTTTGCTTTGTGAGCAAACCAAACAATATCTGGCGAGTCAAGAAGACAGTTTGGCATCGGCACACCCTAATGGCATCAATGGAGAAGTAGGCCCCAGAGGAGACGGGAAGACATTGCCTGCAGGTGAGTGCGGACTGTGCGCTTGCTGCCTTCTGAGTCTAGGTTTCTGGCACTTCTCGCAAACGACTGCCTGATGGTATTTGCCTTTAATTTAGAAGGGGAAACCAGATTCTGAGTAACTACCTTTGGCTTAATAACGGAATCCTGGGGAGAAAATGTCTATAGATGAGCTTTTTTTCCCTCCCCACAGTCAGAGAATTGGACCGGGCAGATGTGTAGAAATGTGCTAAGCACTGGCATTGACTTTGCTTTCTTTTTTTAAAAGGTGTCCTAAAGATTGGCCGTATTTTTTAAAACACAATGCAAAATATTTGCATCTAATAGCTCACAATGATATGTACTCCTATATCTAAGATAGAGGCATGTTTCCTATGATACCTCATTCCTTGGGTCTGATTTTTGAAAACTTGGTTTTTTAAAGAAACTAGGATCTAGTGCAATTGAGTCTCTTTGAATGTTTATGAAACAATTTATTAACCTGGTTGTGTTGTAATTCTCAGAATGTGGCTGCTTTCCTAATAGCGTTCAAACATGATTTTTTTTTTTTTTTTTTTTTGTGCTGTCTGTACACTGGTGGTACAGACGCAAGGTGGTTGAACTGCTAGTGCCTTGAAGCTCGACTTAGGGCTGGGCGCCAGCCGGGGCCAGTGATCAGTGAGCTTTTCATTGTCGTGCACTGGGAGTTAAACAGAAGTGCCAATTTCACTTTAAAATGTCCTTGATGGAACAGTAAAAATGATTGGCTTTATTAAATCTTGCCCCTCTGTACAGGTCTTCTTAGTGTTTTCTGTAATGAATGTGAATTAACTCCTAACTTCTGCATACTTGAAGTAGGAAAAAGCAAGGTGGTTATTTGAAGTGTGACCTGAGGGGAACCTTTTTCTTGCAATATCCTTTGTACTTGAATGACAGAGTAGTTATTCAGACCTAGAAATCTAGCCAACATTTCCTGGAAAAAAAAAAAATCAACAAAGTGAGCCTGTCACTTCAAGGAAAACCACTGAGTGTTTTGCTACTGGTGATAAAATCAGTTTGCTTCAGAGCAGATTGGAGTTTTGGGAAACTTGTGTCTGCCACTGTGAGCGCCAGAGTTTCCCAATACTTAGACTTTCCTGGTGAGATGCATGCTGATATTAACACATGAATTTTGTTTTTAAAGACTTACTTATTTGAAAGAGAATTAAAAGTTTACTGGTTGACTCTCCCAGACGGCCACAACAGCCAGACCTGGGCTGGGCCGAAGTTAGGAGCTTCATCCAGGCCTCTCACATGGGTGCAGGGGCCCAAGCACTTGGGCCAGCTTCTGCTTTCCCAGATGTATTAGCTGGGAGCTGGATGGGGAGCGGAGTAGCATGGACTCCAGCGTACACACGGGTGGCAGTTGTTAGCTTGACCTGCTGCGCCACAACGCTGGCTCCCAGTCAGTGGATTCTAGTGTAACCGTATGAAACCGCTCATTGATGTGGCCTTAGAGTCCACACCGTGACTAACCTTTTACACTAGCACTTGTATTTCAGTATTATATTAAAATATCCACAGTTATCTGAGAAGACCATGAAATACTTCTGCAACTGCCTGTGTAAGGCCCAGTTTTCAACAGTCTTCTGTTAAGCCAAACAGTAAATGGGCAAAAATGGAAAGCTCTTTTCACTATAATTTTTTTGAAAATTTAAAAAAACTATGTCAACAAGTAAAGCATTTTATTTTTCAATGAATATGTTCAACCTTAGTTTTCATAAATATAGTAAATATCAAGATATAATAAACCATGTAAATAAAAGTTATTTGGGGGTCCTCAGTAGATTTTTTTTTTTTAATATTTATTTGAGAGGTAGAGTTAGAGACAGTGAGAGGGATTTACTCCCCACAGTGCCGATCTGAAGCCAGGAGCCAGGAGCTTCCACAGGTCTCCGATGTGTGTGCAGGGCCCCAAGCACTTGGGCCATCTTCTGCTTTCCCAGGCCATAACAGAGAGCTGGATTGGAGGAGGAGCAGCCAGAACTAGAACTGGTGCCCATATGGGATGTTGGTGCTATAGGCAGAAGATTAACTGTGCCACAGTGCTGGCCCTGGTAAATTTTTAAGAGTGTAAAGGAGTTTGAGTTAAAGTTGGAGAATTACTGTCTTCCAAATGGAGAAAAGTTAACGCTGAGAGAAGCAAGGAGCAATAGTCAAGGAACCCTCGGATGAGTCCCTGTTTTCCATTAGAAGAAGGATGTAGCCTATTTCTGATACAGCTATGAAGTGATGATGGTCTAACCCTGTTTTTTCTTTAATACTATTTAATTATGCTGCTTTGCATGATCAGGAATAAAAAGTAATATTTGGCTTTTATTAGGAATTGTGTTTTTGCTTCCCAGGAAACTCACTATCACCATTAAATGTTGGAAATAATTCACCACCCAAAGAAGTAAGTACTCAAAAGTTACTTTTTAATCTTTCTCATATTAGTTTAAGAGTCTGAACACATTTTTGCCTTGTGTTAATGAGGAAGTACTCAATTTGTAGGTGTCACTCAAGGTCAGACTTCTTTTTCTTTTTTTTTTTTTTTAAGATTTATTTATTGATTGATTTGACAGGTAGAGTTAGACAGTGAGAGAAAGATAGAAAGGTCTTCCATCCAATGGTTCATCCCCAAAATGGCCGCAACGGCCATTGCTGCGCCGATCGGAAGCCAAGAGCCAGGTGCCTCTTCCTGGTCTCCCATGCAGGTGCAGGGGCCCAAGCACCTGGGTCATCCTCCACTGCCCTCCTGGGCCACAGCAGAGAGCAGGACTGGAAGAGGAGCAACCAGGACTAGAACCTGGCGCCCATATGGGATGCCAGCACCACAGGTGGAGGATGAACCTGGTGTGCCACGGTGCCGGCCCCAGATTTCCTTTTCTTTAACCTACTAACTTTAAAAAACAATAGAGCATTTCCTTTTAGGTAAGTAGAGTCACGTGAAGTTGAAAGTAGTAGTGGTGATCCTGGGTAGCCTTTGGCCAGCTTTGCCCAGTGGTGACAAGCTGCAGAACACTGACCTTGATATACTCAGGATACAGAACGTTCCTTCACTACGAGGGTCCCCGTTGTGTCTTTTTAGAGCCACACCTTCCTGCCTCCTGCTCTTACCCTCCTCCTCAATTCCAGGCAGCTACTCATTTCATAATCTGTATTTCTACAATTTGGCCATTTTGAGAATGTTGTATAAATGAAATCAGACAGTATTTAAACTTGAGATTGACTTTTGTTCTTCATGTGATTTTCTGGAGATTGATCCAGGTTGGTATATGTATCAATACTTTGGTCTTTTCTATTGCTGAGTAGCCTTCTGTGATACGGAGAGCTTGTTGAGGCGTGCACTCGGTAAAGTATATCTGGCTTGTTTCCACTTTGGGCTGTTAAAAAATAGTGCTCAGTATATTCATGTACAGGGTTTTATGTGGTAAGGATAAATGCCCAGGGGTGCAGTTGCTGGGTCATAGAGTTAGATGCATGTTTTGTTTTCAGTAAATCACCAAATTGTTTTCCAGAGTAACTATACTATTTTATGCTTTCACCAAGAGTATATGTGAGATGCATTTGATGTTGTTAGTTTATTTTTTTTATTTTAAAGGCTGAGTTAGAGAGTGGTTGATCTTTCATCCACGGTTCACTCCCCAAGTGGCCACAATGGCCAGGGCTGGGCCAGACTGAAGTCAGAAGCCTGGAACTTCCTCCAGGTCTCCCACACTGGGTACAGGGGCCCAAGGACCTGGGACACCTGCTGCTGCTTTCCTAGGTGCATTAGCAAGGAGCTGGACCCGAAGTGGAGCAGCCAGGATTCAAACTGGTGCCCATATGAGATGCCGGCATTGCAGACAGCAGCCTAACCTATGCCACAATGCCAGCCCCAGTATTTTTCAGACAGATCACTTAGAATAAATTTTGCTGGGATTTTGATAGGGATTGCTTTAAACCTGTATATCAGTTTGGGAATTACATCTTTGTGTTGAATCTTCCAATCCATTAATGTAAGTCTCCAATTATGTAAAACATTGTTTTCTTTCACTTTGTAGTTTGTAGCTTATAAGTCCTGTCTGTATATGGTTTGTTAGATTTACACATAAACATTTCATTTTTTGAGCGATTGTGTGTACTAGTTTTTATTTTTGTGTCCCCATATTTTTTTAAGATTTGTTTATTTATTTGAAAGGCAGAGACAGAGAGAAAGGTCTTCCATCCGCTGGTTCACTCCCCTAGATGGTCGCAATGGCCAGAGCTGAGCTGATCTGAAGCCACGAGCTTTCTCCAGGTCTCCCACACGGGTGCAGGAGCCCAAGCACTTGGGCCGTCTCATACTGCTTTCCCAGACTATAGCAGAGAGCTGGATTGGAAGTAGAGCAGCCAAGACTCGAACCGGTGCCCATGTGGTATGCCGTCACTGGAGGCAGCGGCATTCACTCATTACACCACAGTGCTGGCCTCCATATTTATTTCTAATATATACCAATAGGACTGGGTTTTATTTATCTTGTATTTTGTGACCTTGCTAAAGTCACGTATTCTAGAAATCTTTTTTAGTTTCTTTGCAGTGTTTGGCATAGACAATCATATCTTGAAGTAGGAATAGTTTTACTTCTTTACTTTCAATATATGCCTTTTGTTTCCTTTTTTTCTCATGCAACTGCACTGGCAAGAAATTTTGGCACTATGTTGAATGAGAGTGGTAACAGTGGTTATATCTTGCCTGGATTCCACTCTTAGAAAGCATTCAGTCTTTCACTGTTAAGTGTAGTATTAGCTGTAGGTTTGTTGTAGGTGCTATTAGATTGAAGTTTTCTGTACTACTTTTCTGATGGTTTTTATCATGAATAGTTGTTAAATTATTTAAAATGCTTTTTCTGCACTGATTGGTAGTGATTTTTTTCCCCTTTAGCCTGTTACTTTGGTGTGTTATATTGATATTTTGAATATTTAACCAGTTTTGCATCCTGGGGATAAACCTCATTTGGTCGTGATGTATAATTCTTTTACATATTGTTGGATTTTACTTTATAAAATTTTTATGAGGCTTTTTTTTTTAAAAATTATTTATTTGAAAGAGTTACACAGAGGAGAGGCAGAGAGAGAGGTCTTCCATCTGCTGGTTCACTCCCCAATTGGCTGCAACGGCTAGAGCTGTGCCAATCAGGAGCTAGGAGCTTCTTCTGGGTCTCCCAGGCGGTTGCAGGGGTCCAAGGACTTGGGCCATCTTCTACTGCTATTCCAAGCCATAGCAGAGAGCTGGATCGGAAGTGGAGCAGTCGGGGCATGAACCGGCACCCATATGGGATGCCCCCGCTTCAAGGCAGAGTGTTAACCCACTGCGCCACAGCGCTGGCCCCATGAGGCTTTTTGAAATGTTTTTAAGGCTTATTTATTTGAAAGGCGGAGTAACAGAGAGTGAGAGTGAGAGAGTATATGTGTGTGGGTGTGGGTGTGGGTGAAATGTATCTTCCTTCCACTGGTTCATTCCCCAAATGGCTGCAATAGCTGTGGCTGGGCCAGGCCAAAGCCAGGAACCAAGAACTCCATCCTGATCTCCCACAAGTACTTGGGCCATTGTATGCTGCCTCCCTGGCTCATTAGGAGGAAGCTGGATTGGAAGTGGAGTACCAGGGACTTGAACTAGGTACTGTGACATGGGATGGGTGGTCCAAACTGCAGCTTAACCTGCTGTACCACAATGCCTGCCCCTTGTTATTTTTTAAATTTAATTTTAAGTCAAAGAGAGAGGAAGAGACAGAGAAAGTTCTCTCATTCACTGGTTCACTCCCCAGATTCTTGCCATAATTGGGCCTGAGCCAGGCTGAAGCCAGTTTAGATCTCCCATGTGGAGGGCAAGGACTCGGCTACTGGAGCCGTCACCCATTGCCTCCTAGAGGGTGCATTCAGCAGGGAGGGGGAATCAGAAGCAGAGCTCACACTTGAACCCAGGCCCTCTGATAGGTGTGCAGGTGTCCAAGTGGCTCCTTAACAGCTGTGCCAAGTGCCTGCACCTCTACATCTATTTCAACTTGGCTTTAATCAGCTTCCTCTGATACCACTCCGTGGGGGTGAGGGGAGGCTATCTTGTTAACAAGTGGGGCAGATGTCCAAGTTCTCCCCCTTCCTCTGTTGACACCAAGTGGGGAGCTTTTCTGTTGGATGAGGGTGGGAGTTTCAGTTTCCTCTAGGCCCGATACCTTCCTGCCTGTGAGTGGTTGGTGCGTTATTCCTGATCCCTGTGTGGTCTCTACTGACAACAAGGGTGGGAAGAGGGTGGATTAGAGGGAGGGGGTTTTAGGTTTTGGGAATAGTGAATGATGAAATACCCTGCCTTTGCTGAGGCCTCCTGGGATACCACGCAGTGGGGGCTGGGGCACTTGGTTACTGCCACATGGAAGAGCAGGTTCCCTGTGCCATGGAGTGCTGTGTCCACCGCCTCCTCGCCTCTGGGGTGAAGTGTGTCCCTCCTCTGTGGGCCTTCTGTGATTCCACCCCAGAGAGAGGCTTGGGGCACTGATCATAGCCTCGTGAGTGGAAGTTCAGGCTTCCCGCTCTACTTTGCTGCTGGGAGCGCGGCCACGGTGTCTTCTGTGGTGGTTGTCTGGAGGCAGCAGGTAGCTGGTGAGCGCCCTGTCTTGCTGGCCTAGCCCTTTCCTGGTGCTTTGGCTGGAAGGAGCTGGTTTTTCATTGGCGTTTCATTGTGAGTGCCATTTGGTGCTTGAGTTGCTGGCTTCTGCAGCACCCAGTCTGGGATATAAGAGACAAAATGGAAACCCAGAGAATTTGCCACCATGTCCTTTTTTGGGTCAGGAGTTCCCTTGCCAGCCTGTCACAGTCTCTTCCCCCGTTTTCCTTGTCCTCTCATGCTTTGTATACAAGTTCAGAGCATTTAGTACTCAATAGCAGGAATAGAGAAAAGTACATGTACTCTGTCTGACCAGAAGAGGGAATCCCGAATCTAGTGGTTAAAAGAGGAAGTCATTACCAAGTTCGTATACTGTTCTCTGTTCCTGATAGAAGCCCAGCAACAATGTGCCTCCTACAAAGTCGAAAAAACTGCACAAGGTGACTGAGAACTCTCTGTCCATCAGTAACCCGGCACTCTTCACCTCCTTGGCACCGCCTCTTCGGTCCACAACTTGCCATCGCTGCGGCCTGTTTGGTGAGTGTCTTGTCCTAGATGCCTGTCGGCTTATTCTTCTACACATTTGAGAAACATTGTGGTGAATGTTAAACATCTAAAGTGTAAACAGGTGTGTGTGTGCACGTTGTCTACTCGCTGCTCGGCATCAACAGCTGTCAGGCTCCTCCCATGTGTGCTGTTTTAATGACCTGTTGAGGCGAAGGTTGGCAGAGTTTGAAACAAACGAATTCATAGCCCTGTCAAGACACGGGGATATTTCTCATGTCCTTCCCAGTCACCAGACCCCTGGGGGCAACTGCTGCTTTCTTCACCATAAGTTATTTTGTCTGTCATAGTGTGTGTGTGTGTGTTTTTTTTTTTTTTTTAAGATTTGTTTACTTGAACGTCAGAGAAGGAGAGGCAGAGAGAGGTCTTCCATCCGCTGGTTCACTCCCCAATTGGCTGTAACAGCCAGGGCTGTGCTGATCTGAAGCTGGGAGCCAGGAGTTTCCTCCTGGTCTCCCACGTGGTTGCAGGGGCCCAAGGACTTGGACCATCTTCCACTGCTTTCCCAGGCCATAGCAGAGAGCTGAATCGGAAGAGGAACAGCCGGGACTCGAACCGGTGCCCATATGGGATGCTGGTGCTTCAGGTCAGGGCTTTACCCACTATGCCACAGTGCTGCACCCCTGTCATGGTTTATATAAATGAAATCATACATATGGATTCTTTTTGTGTGAAGCTTATTTTATTTAGAATAATATTTTTGGGGTCGGCGCTGTGGTGCAGCAGGTTAAAGCCCTGACCTGAAGCACCAGCATCCCATATGGGCTCTGGTTTGAGTCCCAGCTGTTCCTCTTCCGATCCAGCTCTCTGCTATGGCTTGGAATAGCAGTAGAAGATGGCCCAAGACCTTGGGCCTCTGCACCCACGTGGGAGACCCAGAAGAAGCTCCTGGCTTCAGATTGGCTCAGGTCTGGCCATTGCAGCCGTCTGGGGAGTGAACCAGCGGATAGAAGACCTCTCTCTCTCTCTCTCTCTCTCTCAACCTCTCTCTGTAACTCTGTCTCTCAAATAAGTAAAATATTTTTTTTTATTTTTATTTTTTCAGGCAGAGTGGACAGAGAGACAGACAGAAAGGTCTTCCTTTGCCATTGGTTCACCCTCCAATGGCCACCGCGGCCAGCGTACCGCACTGATCTGAATGCAGGAGCCAGGTACTTATCCTGGTCTCCCATGGGGTGCAGGGCCCAAGCACTTGGGCCATCCTCCACTGCACTCCCTGGCCACAGCAGAGAGCTGGCCTGGAGGAGGGGCAACCGAGACAGAATCCGGCGCCCCGACCGGGACTAGAACCCGGTGTGCCGGCGCCTCTAGGCGGAGGATTAGCCTAGTGAGCCATGGCGCTGGCTAAATAAAATCTTTTTAAAAAAATATTTTTCAGATTGATTCATTTTGCATGTATCAGTTATTTTTGTTAATTGCTGAGTAGCATTCCATTGTAAGATTATTTATCACAACTTGGGTATTTTTTTGGTTGATGGATACAATTACATTTATTTAGTACAGTGTTTTGATACAGTTGGTTAATCTGTTCTATTGATGAACATTTTGGTTAAGTCCAGGTTTGGGCTGTTACAAATAGAGCTCTCTCAACATTTATATACAAGTCCTTGTGTGGCTGTATCTTTATTTTTCTTGGGTACATTCCTTGCGTAGAATTGCTGCCTACGGGCTGGTATCTGTCTTCCAAAGTGGTGTAGCTGTTTGACATTCCCACTGGAGTTCAGTTCTGCTTCGTTCCCTTTGTGGTCAGCTTATGGTGTTAGTGTTTTTTAGTTATAGCCCTTCTGATGACCGTGAAATGGCACCTCTAGTGATTTTAATTTGAGGTTCACTCAGGATCAGTGATCAGGATCTGCTTGAGCAGTTATTCATGGTTATTTAAATATTTAGCTTATTCTTTTAAAGAAATGAACACCCATTTTTTTTTTAAGATTTATTTACTTACTTGAGAGGTGGAGAGATGGAGAGACAGGTTTTCCACCCACTGGTTCACTCCTCAAATGGCCACAGTGATTGGAGCTGGGCCAATCCGAAGCTAAGAGTCAGATCTCTTCCAGATCTCCCATGTGGATGCAGAGGCCCAAGCACTTGGGCCATCTTCTGCTTCCCCAGGCCATCTTTAGTGAGCTGGATCAGAAGTGGAGCAGCTGGGTGGCCAGGGAGTGCAGTGGAGGATGGCCCAAGTGCTTGGGCCCTGCACCCCATGGGAGACCAGGAGAAGCACCTGGCTTCTGGCTTTGGATCAGCGCAGTGCGCTGGCTGCAGCGCGCCGGCCGTGGTGGCCATTGGAGGGTGAACCAACGGCAAAGGAAGACCTTTCTCTCTGTGTCTCTCTCTCTCACTGTCCACTCTGCCTGTCAAAAAAAAAAAAAAAAAAAAGTGGAGCAGCTGGGTCTTGAACTGGCACTTACATGGGATGCTGGAACTGCAGATGCGTGCTTAAACTACAGCACTGACCCCTTAATGTTTCTTTAAAATTTTTTTTTTGTTTTGAAACTTTATGTGAAAGGCAGAGACAAGGAGAGAGATCTTTGATTGCTGGCTCACTTCCCAAATACCTGTAACAGCCAAGCCTGCCCCAGACTGAAGTCTGCAGTCTAGAACTCCATCTGGGTCTCCCATGTGGTGGCAGGGACCCAAGTACTTGAGCCATCACCTGCTGCCTTCTAGGTGTACATTAGTGGGAAACTGGATTGAGAGCAGAGTAGCTGGGACTCGAACCTGGCACTCCAATATGTGATGTGGGCATCCTAACTGGCAACTTAACCACTTCACCACAAGCCTGTCCCAGCATCTTTGTTCTTGTTGGTCAATTCCTTTTAGGATGGAAGCATTTGAGGCTCTCCTGGTTATGATGATGTTATTTTATTTATTTATTTTTAGATAACCTTTTTTTCCTACTTGGATACTGATTGAATTTTTAAAATATTTATTTAAAAATCTTCCTGGATATCTCTAAGTGTGATTTTCCTCACCATTTGTAAGCCATTTGTCTGCTTGCACAGGTCCATTTTCACTATACTACAATTTTGTTTCCTTTGATCACTCCTTTTGTAACGTGTGTGATGGGCTGTATTTTAGCAAAGTGAGGTGTGTGTCCAGTTTCATCATTGTAGTCCTTTTTCTCTGTGTTTTGAGAGACCCTCTAAGGTATAGCCAGCATGGACTTTGGGCATAGCAGGTCAGATACCTGCATCACACATTGGGATGCCTGGGTTTGATACAACCACCTTGCTGATGGAGAGCCTGAGAGGCCATGTTGATGGCTCAAGTGCCTGGGATGCTGCGACCCATGTGGGAGGCCTGGATTGAGTTCCTGGCACTCTGTTTTGGTCTTGGCCCAGTCCTGGTAGTCGTAGGCATTTGGGGAGTGAACAAGTATGTCTGTCCTCCTCTTTTTTTTAAAGTATATATATATATATATTTTTTTTTTTTTTGACAGGCAGAGTTAGAGAAAGGTCTTCCTTCCATTGGTTCACCCCCAAATGGCCACTACGGCTGGCATGCTGCGCTGAAGCCAGGAGCCAGGTGCTTCCTCCTGGTCTCCCATGCGGGTGCAGGGCCCAAGCACTTGGGCCATCCTCCACTGCACTCCCGGGCCACAGCAGAGAGCTGGACTGGAAGAGGAACACCGGGACTAGAACCCGGGGTACGGGCGCCGCAGGCGGAGGATTAGCCTAGTGAGCCGCAGCGCCAGCCTAAAGTATAATCTTAACACCTAGTCCTAAACAGCATGATTGTGTTCAGTTGGTTTTTTGGTGTGGTTAAGGTGATTATGTTTGACGTATGTAGTCTTTGAGAATGTTTTGATCTTGACAAGTATTTGGGAGACAGCATTGGTGGTGATATGGGTTGTGCTCCTCAGGGTCACTGAGGTGTTCTCAGTGCAAGCAAACGTACTACTGCTCCACGGCGTGCCAGAGGAGGGACTGGTCGGCTCACAGCATCGTGTGCAAGCCTGTGCAGCAGAAGTGAGTGCTCCAGTACTTTGAACCTTAGGGGATATTTTTTTTTTTCCTGACTGAATAAGGGTCCCAATCAGTGAGGCAGGCCACAGCTCTGTAGAAGTTGTTCCCCTTATTTATTGAGATAGACCAGATGTACAGTTCCGAAGTTAGTGGCTCTGCCAACTTAGTTTTTGTGGATTTAGTTTGACTAGGTAATACATATTAAGACTTAGAATCTTAAGTGAGTTTTTCTTCTCCAGTAACTAGAGTTTTAGAAGGTGTTACTTTTTTTTTTTTTTTAAGATTTATTTTATTTATTTGAAAGACAGAGTTAGGTAGAGACCGAGAGCGAGGTCTTCCATCCGCTGGTTCACTCCCCAGATGGCCGCAATGGCGGGAGCTGAGCTGATCCGAAGCCAGGAGCCCCAGGAGCTTCCTCCCGGTCACCCATGTGGGTGCAGAGGCCCAAGGACTTGGGCCATCTTCCACTGCTATCCCAAGCCATAGCAGAGAGCTAGACTGAAGACGAGCAGCTGGGACTAGAACTGGCGCCCATATGGGGTGCCAGTGCTTCAGGCCAGGGTTTTAACCTGCTGCACCATGGCGCCAGCCCCAGGTCTTACTTATCATTATACTTCTGTGAAATTTAATAAGCTGGAATTGTGACAGTGCATCCCGAATTGTGATTTTCAAATCAATCTTATGCAGGTGACAGTTGCCAGTTTACAAAACTCTTTCACGTGTGACCTCGTTTGGTCCTCAGAACCCTGTGTAGGTAGGAGAGGGATTCTGTGCTCCGCAGACAGTTGAGGCTTGCAGACTGACTCTGTCTCCTGGAAGCAGCAGGCCTGTGCTCGCCCAGGGTGGGAGTTCCATACCTGGGATTATATCTTGTGACGACTCTGGTTCTCCCCGGAAGAAGGTGCTTCATTTGCTCTTTCTGGATGTTGCTCACTGGGGAGTTGACACAATTGTGACTTTCGGCTCCTCCTCCTAATTGTCTCTGTACTGTTATAAAATCATGAACTTTATTTCAGTGCCCGCAAGCTTGAAGATAATAAATCATCCTTTGAAACAAAAAACGTGGAAGTGAAGGATGAGGTATGGTGTATATTTACATTTTGTCTGTAGGGTAAATTTTAAATGTTCCCTCTTTAAGAAAATTTAAGCCAACAAATATTTTTGGATGTTTTTCTACATTTTACCAGTGTTTAAAAACCAAAATTTTGCGGTAAATGTGTAAACACATTAGTGATGGGATTTGGTGACTCTTGGGGAATTTTGAGAATCATTCATTTCCTGTCTTTTTCCAAGAAAGGCCTGCGCTGGCTGCGTCAGCACACTGTCGTTCGGCTGCTTGGGGAGGCGGTGCTGCAGCCCCAGCTGCATGGGTTCTCGAGCTTTGTCGATCGCCTGCCCTCTTGCAACACCCCCTTCCTTACCAAGGAGCCTTGTCTGTGGAGATAGCGCTCCTCCATCCAGGTGCATTTGTTCAAATCAAACACCTGTGATGTCCAGCGCGTATTTACAGCTTTTAGTTTGCCTAGCTGCTCTTAGCTCCTGGTTTAATAAAAGTAAAGTTTTGATTTTTCTCAAATATTCGTTCTTTTAAAAAGTGGACCACATTCCCCCCCCCACACACTTTTTATTTTACTTTATTTTTTAACAAAATATACGTGATCTTCATTGTCATGGCCTCATTCCTGGATGGTTCCCAGTGCTGTGGCTTCCATGACACTGGAGGCCTTCACTGTTCTGTGCGTGCCTGCGCGAGCCCACAAGTCGGGCATCTGTGGCCCCGATTCTGGCATCAGTGGTCGCTGTGTTGTTCAAATGTGCCGTCGGTAACTCACTGTTGTGTTTCCCAAACCAGAATGGGTATCCACTGGGAGTTACTAAAGAGATAACTGTTTCTGCTGAGAAAACCATGTTTTCTGACCTGAGAAGTCTACAGCTCCAGAAGACCATGGAAGTAAAGGTATTCTTTAGTTTCCACGGACAGAAATGCAAGAAGTATAGGTTTTTGTCTCCTCATTTCCTATTTTTGAGTTTATAAGGTAGCTACAAAATATATCTGATTAACTTAACAAAGATTGCCCAAAAAAGCTCTTTTGTATCTTAGTTACAAAGCTTTGAAGAAATGCAAGTTTGTTTGTATTCCTGGTGAATTATTCTTTTCTGTCTTTGAAAGGGTACAGTTACCGAATTCAAACACCCAGGTGACTTCCACGTGCAGTTGTATTCTTCAGAAGTTTTAGAATACATGAGCCAGCTTTCTGTGAGCTTAAAAGAAGCATACGCAGGTTTGGGGACTGAGGAGGAGTATGTCCCGGCGAAGGGGGAGGTCTGTGTCGCCAAGTACACGGCTGATCAGGTAACGTCTCACCAGGCAAGCTGCTCAGTGAGCTGGCTCAGCCCTCGCCGCTCGCACCCTCTCATGGACGCCAGAGCACTCAGTAACGCACGAGAGGGCTCGAAGCCGGGCTCTGCTCACCCCGCTCTCCCTGCCTTGGTCTCCCGTGCTTGTTCCCTTTACTCCCCTGGCCCTAGCCCTCTGAGCTCCGTTGGGTTTCTGCGTGGCTGGCTATAGACAGAAGCTTCTGAGAGAATGGAGCTGACTTGACGGGAGCCTTCCGTTGGCCTGTCTGCGTGGGCTGAGGGCGTGGAAGGAACTCTGGGAAAGGCTGTGAAGCAGAGCCCCGCTGTGTTCACTTGCAGACCTGGAACAGGGTCGTGGTGCAGGATGTGGATGTGCTGCAGAAGGAGGCACACGTCTTATATATTGATTTCGGAAATGAAGAAACGATTCCAGTAAACAGAATTCGCCAGTTAAACAGAAGCATTGATTTATTTCCTCCTTGCGTGAGTCTTTTACTTCCCAAGTTCCTAACCGTTTCTCAGAGGAGAGTTGATACCGTGGTGTTGGGTGCAGTGTCTCGGCTGCTGTGTGAATGAACACTCAGTGGCTATCTTGGCTGCGTTTCTGTTAGATCTTACTGGCTAAGTGCTGCCTGACGCGAGGAGGTAACATTTTCAGGCACATCTTTCTAATCCATTCTTTAAAGACAATCATTTAAATATTTATTACATTATTTAGAAATGGCTTAAATTCATGTGTAGTTGGAGGATAATTATTGTCCTCTCATGAATTTCTGTATCTCCAGAGCCAAAAGTAAGCATTATAGAATAGATCACGGGGGAAGACAGGTGATAGTTGTGCTGGAAACTGATGGTTGGTAGCCTGCGTGAGTAGATTGTCTTTGTAAAATAATTAGAAGGAACGTGTTAAATACTAACTTTTGTAAACAACTTGCACACAATCTTTCAGGCCATAAGGTGCAGAGTGGCCAGTGTTTTCCCAGCAGAGGGGAGCTGGAGCAGTGATTGCATCCAAACCATGAAGTCACTGTTAATGGAGCAATACTGCTCTATAAAGATTGTCGAAGTCTTGCAAGAGGACGTGGTTACCTTTGCCGTTGATGTTACACTGCCAAGTTCAGGTAAGATTCGAGTCGGTCTGCTTTTTAAATTGAGCGCTTAATACGATGCCTCTGTCTCTGCACGTTCCTGGGGGAAGAAACAAACGCGAGGCAAGGCCATGGGAACTCCCAGTCATTCACACTGGGAGAGAGGCTGAGGCCTGGGCCCCTCCCTGCATCTGGCAGCTAACAAAGACAGGGCATGAATTCGTAGAATCAGGTAGCTTACAGGGCTGGACTTAGTGTGAAGATAAATAGAGTATCCTTTTAGTATGACCATTAAAATGCCTGCTGATTCCACTCCTTCATGGAGATGAGCCCTTGGGTTTCTCATTCATTCGTCCTTGTCGTCCGTGCCTTTCTTTAAGCAGCCCTGGAGGAGCTGTGTTTTGTTAGTGTACAGTATTGAAGTTGAGGAGATCTAAACATTTTGGAATCTTGTTGAATTCTGGCTTCGCGTCGGTTGCTAAATGACTTCTTGGAGTATATATGTGTAATTCCTTAGTTTCCAAGGTACTAGCCATCTACTTTTAAGAGACTAGCATTGCAGATGACTTGGTAGAAAATGCAGGTAAGCTGCTGTGAAATTTAGTATAGAATTATGTGTTTTATCTTTGTTTCACAATGTGATTTCAGCTTTTGGATATTATTTCAGGGAATTTGAAGTTCATGTCACTGCTAACCCTTGCTTCAACCACACTTAGTCTGAAAAAGTAGTCTGTGTCTGAAATTTATTTCTTAAGTGGCGGTACTCTAAGTGTAGTTGTGAAGTTTCTGTTACTCAGAATTTTAAAATGAAATCTTGTATGTTTCCTGTGCAATGAGTAAGGAATTTTGTCTGTTTTTTAAAAATATATTTGAAGAAGCATCAGAGAGAGAGGAAGAAGCAAAACGAGAGAGAGATCTTCCAACATGGGTGGCAAAGACCACTCCCAAAGGAGTTGGGCCATGATTTTCTGCCTTCCCAGGCACATTAGCAGGAAGCAGGATTGGGAGTAGAGCAGCCAGGACTCAAATTACTATATGGGGTGCTGGCATCACAAGTGGTAGCTTAACCCACTATAATACAGTGCTGGTCCCCATCCCAGTTTTTACATGTAGGCATTCCAAACTATTATTCCCATAGAAACTGAGCTACTGAAACATATAGCTGTGACCTTATTTGTGTGATTGATTTCTTATGCTTTTCCTATAATGCTTTGTATCCCATCTCAATGGAGGTATGTTTTCTTCAACACTTCTTAGGAAAACTCTTAGACCAGGTGCTAGTAGAAATGGGATATGGCCTGAAACCCCAAGGACAAAATTCTAAGAAGCCAAGTGCAGATCAAAGTGAGTATACAAATTAATATTGAACAATATAGTGACTTCAGTTATTGAAGAGTATCTTCCCTAGGAGCCGAGAGCACAGCCACCGCTCTGTGAAGACTTGATGGTAACGATGACTGGTCTGTATACTTTGTCAGAAATGGCACTTTTCATTCACTAATTTTTCTTTCTCTCTGCCTTGCCTACCTTTTCTACTTATTTGTTTTCCAGACTACTCATTGACAAGGTAGTTATGAAGTACTTATTTTTTTTTTAAGATTTATTTTACTTTATTTGAAAGGCAGAGGCAGAGAGAGAGAGAGGTCTCCCATCTGCTGGTTCACTCCCCAGATGGCCACAGTGGCGGGAGCTGTGCCGATCTGGGGCCAGGAGCTTCTTCCAGGTCTCCCACGCGGGTGCAGGGGCCCAAGGACTTGGGCCATTTTCCACTGCTTTCCCAGGCCATAGCAGAGAGCTGGATCAGAAGAGGAACAACCAGGACTCGAACTGGCCCCCATATGGAATGCCGGCACTGCAGGTGGTGACTAGCCGCTACGCCACAGTGCGACCCCAGGAAGTATTGAATTTCGTAACGCTTTAAGCTGAGGGCTTGTTTGCTCACATTGTGTAGTTTATCTTTCTTCCTTACTTGAGAGTCTTTCCAGTAAGCAATATGTCTCTAAAGCTCTGTTCTGGTAAGGGTGAGGTTTCTTGTCCACTTTTGTGTGTGAATTTTTTTTTTTTTTTTTTGCTTCTAGCTTCAGAAGACAACCAACAAATTTTGCCATAAGCATTTTGTTTTTAAAGATTTATTTGAAAGGCAGAGTTAGTGAAATATCTTCCATCTGCTGATTTACTCCCCAGATGGCCGCAATGATTCTGGCTGAGCCAGGCCAAAGCCAAGAGCTTCCTCTGGATCTCCCACTTGAGTGTGGGGGCCCAGACATTTGGGCCATCTGCTGCTTTCCCAGGCTCACTAGCAGGGAGCTGGATTGGAAGCAGAGCAGCTGGGACTAGAACTGGTGCTCTGATACGGGATGTCAACATCACAAGTGACAGTTTAACCTGATGTACCACAACCCTAGCCCTTGTCATCAGCATTTTATTTTCTCATCACCTTGTCCAGTATGTTTTTTGTTTTTTAGGACTTATTTATATGAAAGGCAGAGTTTCTACAGAGAGGGGGAGACATGGAGAGAGATCCTCCATCTGCTGGTTCACTCCCCAGATGGCCACAATGGCTGGAGCTGGGCCAGCCTGAAGCCAGGAGCCAAGAGCTTCCTCCTAGTCTCCCATATGGGTACAGGGGCCCAAGGACCTGGGCCACCCTCAATTGCTTTCCCAGGCACACAGGCAGGGAATGGAGTAGCTGGGTCTCGGACCTTGCGCTCATATGGGATGCCAGTGTCACAGGCGGTGGCTTTACCTGTTCTGTCACAGAGCCAGCCCCAGTCAAGTATATTGTTTTTATAATCATTCTGTTTTACTGTGCTCTTTAACCAATTACTTTAGCTGTAGGCCTAATTCATGTTCTCTTTGCTCGCTTATCCCAGGTGATGCTAGATTGATTGGTTGGACACATCCTATTGCAGTAGCAGACTTGACTCGCCCTCAGATCTACTTTCTCCCTCACATCCCGTTCCTTGCCCTGTCTTACTGGTTTACAGCTCCTTATTTATTTTTTCCCAAATATCTCTTGTGTATGTATTTTTCCCTCTAGCACAGTTTCCTTGGTTCATGAGTCCTCATCATTGAGGGACAACTGAAACACCTTCTGATGTTACCTTTTCTCTCCTGTGAGTGCTTACTGTGTGATGGCTCTGCTGGAAAGCTTTTCCCCACAGGAGAAAAGCAAACAGTGAATGGCCTAGTAGCACTGGTTATGGTTGGAACCCCAAGTTTTCAGAATAAGGAGAGATAGAAAGATAAACCAGGGGACCAAGACAAAGAACAAGAAGCCATGATGGGAAAGGTGAGAAAACAAGACAGAAAAACATGCGAGCGGCAGGAGAGGAAGTGCCTCCAGGAGAGGAAGTCTTCAGTGTATCAGATGTTGCAGAGGACCCAGGGGAAGGAGCAAGGACATCCAGCGACGGCCATGTTTCACTAGGTGCTGTGGGGGTACCTCCGGGAAGGTCACTCTGCTGAGGTCAGAACAAATAAAGACTGGAAGTTAGGAAAAATTGGAGGAAGCAGTGGAACATTGCTAAGCCTAGCTGTGACTATCTCACAGTCAGGTCGGTGGCTTCTCTTCTGCCCCTCTGTGATCCTGGCAGCAGAGCAAGCCGCTAGTGACTGGGTGGTACCACATGATAGTGCTGCACCTGTGCCCCCTCCTCCTGCGAGGCCCTGAGGCCCAGCTGTGTCTGCCTCTTGACCGTGCACCCCTCTCTACAGGCCTCCCTCCTCCTGTAACATTTACCACACTGTAACTTCTGACCTGAGTGTCTCCTGTCCCTTACAAGATCTGGTCTAGGAGCAAAGACCATGGTCTGTTACCACTGCTTAGCATGGCATCTGACGTAGGTAGGTGCTCAGTCTAGAATGTAAAAAGCAGCAAAAGTCTTTGGAGGATCTTCTTTGGAGGGTGGACTCATATGGCTGAGAGAGACCATTGAGACTGCCCACTTTGTCCTGGAGGAACAGATGCTGACGGGAACAGGGGGCTGCCCTGAGACCCCGGGGGACGTAGAACCAGGATCTAAGTCGCCCGACTCCAGTGCAGCGCTCCTTCCTGGGGAAAGGGCGGTGGTGGCTCGTCGGTCTTGTTTCCTTTCGCCTTCTCCCTTACTTAGGTGTTGGCTTTTACTTGACCCCAGTTCTATCTGAATAGTATCTTATCCTTCATTCCTTAAAGCAGTAGGTTTTCTTTGTCTTTCTGGATTCTAATAAGTTAGTGCCATGGTATGTCTCTCTAATCTTGACCTTAAAAACATGCTGTGGGGCTGGTTCTGTGGCATAGTGGGTAAAGCTGGCGCCTGCGGTGCCGGCATCTCATATGGGCGCCGGTTTGAGTCCCCGCTGCTCCACTTCTGATGAAGCCCTCTGCTGTTGCCTGGGAAAGCGGTGGAAGATGAGGCAAGTCTTTGGGCCCCTGCTCCCACGTCAGAGACCTGGAAGAAGCTCCTGGCTCCTTGCTTTGGATGGAAGCAACTCTGGCCATTGTGATTTGGGGTGTGAACCAGAAGATGGAAGACACACACACACACACACACACACCTGCCTTTCAAATAAAGAAATCCTACAATACAAAAAAAAAAAAAAAATTCTGTATCCCTGGGAACTTGGGTTTTTGTCAGCCATGAACTTCTGTGAGTTTTCTTATTTTCTGAGCTGTTTCCCATTGTGCTTGACCCCTCCTCTTTAGACCGTACATGAGCCCTGATTTTTTTTTTCTGCTTTCCTTGTAACTTGTATTGCTTGTTCCTTTTTTAACTGTCTAGTGAATTTTTATTGAATTTATAATTAAGCTTATAACTTTATCATAGTGAATTACTTCCTACAGGGTTTATCATTTTACTGTAGAATGGCTTCTAATCTGATGTGCTTTTGTGTAAGTATCAGGAGAAGGTAGTTATCCCAAGTATGTTTTCTTGAACTCTTTCAGAGATTGTTAAGATTCTGTTATAGGACTTTTTCATTACATATGAATTTTTTTATGCTGCTGATTTTCTTTCTTGGGTCCAATCTAGCTTTTTGGTAATACAGAAAACTGTATTGTAAACATCTTTTACTTAGAAGAAGAAACCCCATGGGCTCTGATTGCTATGTTCCAAAGGACTTGCTCAGTCGTAGTCATATATATATATTTTTTTTTTTTTGAAAGACAGAGTTGGAGATATACAGAGAGAGAGGTCTTCCGTCTGCTGGTTCACTCCCCAAAGTGGCCACAACAGCTGGGACTGTGCCATGCTGAAGCCAGGATCCTGGAGCTTCTTCAGGGTCTCCCGTGTGGGAGCAGGGGCCCAAACACTTGGGCCATCTTCTGTTTTCCCAGGTGTATTAGCAGGGAGCTGGATTGGCAGTAGAGCAACCAGGCCTCAAAACAGAACCCATATGGAATGCCAGCGTCATAGGCAGCAGCTTAACCTGCTATACCACAACACTTGCCCGCATACTCTTACAAAATAGAGTATGCATAACTTTAAAAGTTTACTTTTAAAGATACCAAAGTGCTTATTTTTCCATGTTCTGATAAGGTGATCCTGAAGATGTTGGAAAAATGACAGCTGAAAACAAAATTGTTGTCGACAGAAGTGACCTGATTCCAAAAGTGCTAACCTTGAATGTAGGTGATGAATTTTGTGGTGTGGTTGCCCACATTCAAACGCCAGAAGACTTCTTTTGTCAGCAACTACAAAGTGGTCGTAAGTAAATTTTCCTGACTTGTCCTATGAAGATACCATACTTGAAGAGACTGAACATGCAGAAACAGAAATGAAGACAGATATGTATTCGTTTTGTTTAAGATGTGGTCTGTATCTACAGATAAGCTTGCCGGACTTCAAGCGTCCCTTAGTGAGTACTGTGGCCAAGTGTCTCGACGCTCTGATTTTTATCCAACTATTGGTGATATATGTTGTGCTCAGTTCTCAGGTAAGGAAAGACTGTCGCTGGATTTTCCACTTAGAGCTAAGTAAAAATAACTGAAGTGAAACCTGGTGTGCAGGGAATGACTCCATTTGACTCTTGAGTGTTACAGTGTACCTATTACTTTTGTGTCAAAAGACCAGTCATACTAAACATAAGAGTATAAGGTATGGGGGTGGCAAAGGAGAACTTTAGAATTTGGACACTGGTATAAATAATTCTGTTTCTGTAAATGCTGTGTGCGAATGTGGAACCTCCTGGTTCATGCCTTTATCAGGTTTTTGGGTTTTTATTGTTTTTAATAGCAGGAGGGCCTGGCAGCACAGAGCTATCGTATCTTGGCCTTTTGTAGCTGCACAAGTCTTACCTTGTGATAACCAGGTTCCTTTACTGTTGGCTAAAGAGAGGTTCAAGAGTAAGTTTCCAGTCAACAGATTACTTGACTGGTGGAATCTGGTTGGCGCGTATTGCCCAGTGTTCTAAAATTGGCCCTGCTTGCTTGCAGCTGGTTGATGTATTGATCAAAACCTTGGGGAGTCACGTGATCAGGATGTATTCTCTGAGCTAATGAGCTGTCTGCTGGAGAGACAAGGCATATAAATTAATAATGACAGCCTGTGACATAATTACCGTAGTAAGCCTTTAACGAAGCTTAGGTTTCGGGAGTTGGAGTCTTCTGATAAGGAAAAGTAGCAGTGCTTAGTAATACGCTGCTGGGTAAAGCTTGACGTTCTCTGTGGGAGTAAACCTCTCACTCGGGCAGGAGAAGTTCGTGTTCTCGTTGGAAAATCATTTGCAGTTGTGTCTCCATTTTCAGAGGATGACCAGTGGTACCGTGCCACCGTCCTGGCTTACGCTTCTGAAGATTCTGTACTGGTAGGCTATGTGGATTATGGAAACTTTGAAATCCTTAGTTTGACGAGACTCTGTCCCATCGTCCCAAAGTTGCTGGAATTGCCAATGCAAGCTATAAAGTGTGTACTGGCAGGTATGACGCTTGAGTGATCCCTGTAGTCTTAAAATACTAAAACCTAAAGATGAAAAATGCAAGAAGAGACATGAGGAAGGGGAACCTTGCTTGTCAGAACCATAAAAACATTATGATCTTGTACTTAGGAATTAGTGTGTGTGCAGTCTGTCCCACCAGGATCGGGGTCTTTCCATGTCATTTAATGGGCTTCAGCCGCCTCATTCACTTGCGCTGCAGTGTAACTGAGTGTCCAGTATCAGGTGTATTTCCAGGCCTCGGCCGTTAGCAGAGCTCTTTCAGTCATTGCAAAATGTAGTTAAACTGACGATATATTTCCTCAGGTTGTGCTCCCTGGTGGAATGGGAATGCCAGTCATCTTTTCATGTTTCTGATGCATATTGTACACTGACCTCCAAAGAAGGGATTAACTAATCTGTACACCCACCACAGGAGTGGGAGGGCCTGAGTTCCTCCAGGCATTCATGTGCCAGAAAGGTCTTCCTGTACTGTTTCATCTTGGTCCGTTCTGATCAGCTGAAGACATTTCAGCTTGCTTCATTCCCAGCGAGGCTGCACATGCTGATAGAAGTTAGTTGGCTCTTGTATTTTTTGAACTGACTTAAGCACAAGTACATTGTACATTCTTTTTTCAGTATTGTTCAGTAAGTGCTACAAATATATCATGTGTTAATGCAGGGGACCAGTATTTCATCCTGGATTGTTTCATATTTTTGCTCATGATTTTCTTCACTGAGCTTTAATTTACAATTTGGGTATACAATTCAGCGATTTTTATCATAAATGCATTTAGGAGTACAGTGATGACTCTTTAAGTATCTTATGTTTCCATCCCCCTGGTGAGGTACAGTGTGCCTGTTCGCTGTTCATCCCTGCTCCCCAGGCAGTGGCTAGTCTACTTACTGACACAATAGACCTGCCTTTCTGGACACCTCAAATCAGTGGAATTAGGATTTGTTTCATGCAGAGGGATGGAGGCTTTGTAGGCTTTCTCTTGGTTAATTTTGCCTTTGTTTTCATGTTGAAGAAATCCTCCTCAGGTATTTACCGTAGCTTTCTCAAGTTTCACTTTGTGGAAGTTAGGAGCTACATTTCTAAGTGCTTGCTTTAAGAATCCTCTTCATGCTGTTTTACTTGTCAGGGGTAAAGCCATCATTAGGAATTTGGACTCCAGAAGCTGTTTGTCTCATGAAGAAAATGGTGCAGAACAAAATGATCACGGTGAGAGTGGTGGGCAAGCTAGAAACCAGTTCCCTGGTGGAGCTGATAGATAAATCCGGGACATCCAACGTCAGCATTGGCAAAGTACTCGTGCACGCAGGCCTTGCCACCGAGGAGTGCGGAGTCCTGACGGACAAACCTGGTGACGGGAAAGAAGCCGGCGGTGAGTGAAATGTCCGCGTTGGGGTCCTGAGGGGCCCGTGCTGTGCGGCTTCTCCCACTTTCAGAACCGCTGCCGAGTGCTCTCCGTCTTTTCATCCAAGCGTTCAGCTAAATACATGCTAAGAGTTTGAAAACGGAAACCTTCAGAGTCTTACGCATCACTAGCTGTTGAACCAGAATTGTAAAATTGAAATTCGGTGTGGTAATAATGACTAATTGTTAAGATTAACTTTTCTGTAAAGTCACTCAGAATGTCAGTGGAAAATTCCTCAGCAGCCCACCAGTGCCTGCCACGTGCTCCCCGTCCCCCACCCTGCTCTGTGCATTTTTTTTTGGACGTACTTGTTTCTCTCCACAGTTCCCCTGGGTGTAGAAGGAAAAGTAAGTGCGCTGTCATGGACATGGGTCGAACTTGCTGCTGACCAAACCATAGATGTTATGGTCTGTATGATATACAGCCCTGGAGAATTCTATTGCCATGTGTTTAAAGATGATGGTAAGTTACCTCTTTGTTTCTGTTTACAACTACACTGGCATAGATAAGACCTCGGGATGAGTCTGTTCCTTATCCTGATCAAAGTACTCTCCTCCCAAGAAGCACCAGGTGGTATTTGTGTTTCCAAGGAAGATTGGATTATACTTAGTTGATTTTTGTCTCTTATGCAATCTCTTTGTTTAAGCCAGCTTAGATTTTTTTTTTTCCACTGAGTAAGAAATTTAATTAATGAAAAGCAAAAGACCCTCATTTAGTGGAAATAGACAATGGCTATAATTGGTAATTGAAGGGAAAAATGACTATTTCACCCATATACAGTAAATTTTAAAGAAATTGCAGAGCATTAAACTGTAGTAGTATAGTGTTCTTAATCATTTGTTGGACAAAGGTATAAGAGTTTTACAAAACTATATTTGGAGCAATACTGAGACAGACATTTCTTTATTTTATTCTTTTTTGTTTTTTTACATTTTAGTTCCTGCATAGAAGGTACTTGTCCTGGTGCCGTGGCTCACTAGGCTAATCCTCCACCTTATGGCGCTGGCACACCAGGTTCTAGTCCCAGTCGGGGCGCCGGATTCTGTCCCGGTTGCCCCTCTTCCAGGCCAGCTCTCTGCTGTGGCCAGGGAGTGCAGTGGAGGATGGCCCAAGTGCTTGGGCCCTGCACCCCATGGGAGACCAGGAGAAGTACCTGGCTCCTGGCTTCGGATCAGCGCGGTGCGCCGGCCGCAGCACGCCGGCCGCGGCGGCCACTGGAGGGTGAACCAACGGCAAAGGGAAGACTTTTCTCTCTGTCTCTCTCTCTCACTGTCCACTCTGCCTGTCAAAAAATAAAAAAAAATAAAAAAAAAAGGTAATTGTCTTTCTGGGTCTGGCTTGTTTTACACAACATGATGTCCTCCAGTTGGATCCATTTTGCTCCAAATAAGCCAGCCTAGATTTCATAGAATGCCTCCTGAATTCATTTTTGAGAATGAAATTTAATTGTCTTATTGAAGTATAACATGCATACGTACATATATACAGATGAATACTTCATTAGGAAGGCAGCATAATCAGTTACCACGGTCAGCATCGTCTATCCAACCTCTGGGTCAAGGAATAAAACATTACTGGGGCTGGTGCTGTGGTGTAGCCGGTAAAGCCGCCGCCTGCAGATGCCAACATCCCATATGGATGCCAGTTCAAGTCCCGGCTGCTCCACTTCTGATCCAGCTCTCTGCTATGGCCTGGGAAAGCAGTAGAAGATGGCCCAAGTCCTTGGGCCCCTGCAGCCATGTGGGGACCTGGAAGAAGCTCCTGGGTGGCCATTTGGGTAGTGAACCATCAGATGGAAGCTCGCTTGGTTGATCTCTCTCTCTGCCTCTGCCTCTCTATGTAAACTCTGCCTTTCAAATAAAATAAATATTAAAAAAAAAGAAAACATTACTAGTATCCCAAAGTTTCCCTCATGTCTCCTCCTATAGTTGGTGAAAGTAACCCCAACCCTACCTTCTGAAGGCATCAATTACTTTTCCTTGGTTTTGAACAAACAGGATCCCTCAAAATGTCCTCCTTTGTGCTTCAGGTTTTTTTAATCATTTAAGGGGCTGGTGCTGTGGCATAGCAGGTAAGGCCACCACCTGCGGTGCCGGCATCCCATATGGGCGCCGGTTCACATCCTGGCTGCTCCACTTCCTATCCAGCTCTCTGCTATGGCCTGGGAAGGCAGTAGAAGATGGCCCAGGACCTTGGGCCCCTGCACCCACATGGGAGACAGAGAGGAAGCTCCTGGCTCCTGGCTCCTGGCTCCTGGCTCCTGGCTTCGGATCGGCGCAGCTCTGGCTGTTGCAGCCAATTGGGGAGTGAACCAGCAGATGGAAGACCTCTCTCTCTCTCTGTTCTCCTTCTCTCTTTGTATAACTCTGATTTTCAAGTAAATAAATAAATCTTTAAAAATTTATTTAAAATATTGAAAGAGTGACATTAATCTTCCATCTGCTGGTTCACTCCCTAAATGGTCACAACAGCTGGAGCTTGGTCAGCTTGAAGCCAGGAGCCAGAAACTCCGTCTGGGTCTCCCATGTAGGTGCAGGGGCCCAAGTAGTTGGGTCATCCTGTGTTGCTTCCCAGGCACATCAGCAGGGAGCTGGATTGAAAGTGGAGCAGTTTACAGGATTTGGGCATCCCAGGTTGGGGCTAAATCTGGAATCCCACAATGCCAGCTCCCTGCCTTCCCTTTCCTGAGCTCCCCCGACCTGTGAGTGTCGATGCAGCTTGTTCCTGTTGCTGCATATGGTAGGCATGCTCTGTGATTTATTACTCCTTTGTACCACTGGACATTTGGCTTCTTTCCAGTTTGAAGCTAAGGAGAAGGTGCATGTATACGTGCATTTCCATGTGTCTTTATCCAGGAATACGATTACTGGGTCAGGAGGAGTTGTGTGTGTCTTTTAGCATCAGTTAATGAATGCCAGTTCCCAAAGTGGTTATGACAGTTGTCGCTTTGGGACTTGCAGTTGCTCCACTTCCTGCAGTGCCGTTTCACTGCTCTGCTTTGCCACACTGCTGCCCACCAAGTGGTGTTTGGCTGCCTAATTCTGCAATTCTGCCTTTTATCTTGGAGCTGTTTCTTCCTCCTGGAATACCCTCTCCTTTCTCTCAAATGTGTTGCATTTTGGGTTTCTCTATGAAACCTCCAGCACACAGAGCTCGAAAGCTCCCTGAATCTCTTCAGCATATGTTATCTGTGTCCTCTGTTTAGTAATTTATTTACTCTTCCAGGATATCCTTTATCTGACTTTCTGAACATGCTCGCGTGCCACCGCCGCCTTGTCCACTTGCAGAGCTCGCGCTCTGGTATATTGGCGATAATGCGTAGCTTGTCTCTGTGCCAGTAAACTGCTGGCTTTAGAATTATTGAGAGTATTAATCACGAATGACTTATTTGTCCAGTAACTTTTTAAAAAATTTATTTTGAGAGAATCAGAGCTCTCATCCACTGATTTATTCCTGAAATACCTTCGATGGCGGAGGCCCAAGCTGGGAACTGGGAACACAGTCCAGCTCCTCCGTGGAGGGGGCAGGAACCCAGTGACGTGGGCCATTTCAGTTGCCTCTCAGAGTCCGCGTGGGTGGGAAGCTGGAGTCGGGTGCTGGGAGACAAACCTGGGCACTCTGATGTGGGACACGGTGTCTCCCTCTTCTTCCCATTTTTTTTTTTTTTTGTAAGGAAAAGCATGTAGTTTACTAAACAGTTTGGTGATATACTTGAGATTTTTATGATCGAAACATTTTCTGTCTTTATAGGAAAGTCTACATTCTGTATTTTTAAGTTAAATGTTGCTTATGTATTTATTTTCAGCCTTACAGAAACTCAGTGATCTGAACAAATCACTTGCAGAATATTGCCAACAGAAGTTGCCTAATGGATTTAAGGCAGAAATAGGGCAACCTTGTTGTGCTTTTTTTGGAGGTAAGTTGTAGTTGGGTGTAATTGTGACTGTTAGAACCTTTGGTTTCTTGACATTCAACCCTTATTTTGAGCTTGTATTTTTCTTCTCCATACTCAAACATGTATTTTTCACAGCCAGAATTAAGTGAATGCTTAAGATGTAACAAGGAGCCTCCAGGTGACTTATGTTTTTTGCATGGTTAAGCATTATTTTAATGCTTTACTTCCTAGAAATTCCAGTAATATTAAAATGTTAGCTAGTGGAAGAGTTCACTTCAGGTTCATTGTTTATTCTGGACCCCTTGTGCATGTTTAATTTGAAAGTGATGAGACATCTTCACTTTATTGCAAATAGGGTTTTTTTTTTTACTGTGTTTTATATCATCAAATAACAAGTAACACAGTCTAAGCCAATTTAAGCCATAACACTCTAAGTTGGAGTATGCTAAGTCTTGAAGGTTAACAAGTATGTTCAGCTTCATTAAGTTTTACCTTAACCTTCACATTCTGTTTGTTGGATACATTATGAATTAAATCATTAATTTATATTAGAAATAAGTGGTACAGTAAAAATTTTGGATACACTGTAAAAAATGGGGTTTGAGAAGTCTTTTTGACTGAAAAAACTAACCTGGTTGTTTGAGTGTAGGGTCAGTGGTGTGGAGTATGGAATGCCCCTGCCCAAACTGAGAAGGAATCTGAGAAATAAAGGAGCTGGCTCCGCATAAAACCCGGGGGCAGGCAGGCTAGATCTTGCTGAGCAAGGCTTACTTCCTTTATCCTGCCCAGAACGGCAGGAGAGGCAAAGTTGTACACTTTCCTACAGCATAAGGGAGCCGGGGATTGGAACCCTACACTTTGGGAGTAGTCTTTTAGGCATCTTGCTGGGCTGGCCCACTTTACAGGAGATGGGTGGCTGCATTTAGACTCTGGCTGGACAGTGGGCCAGTGAGACTAACAGGGAGCGAGATGTTAGATGGCGTCACCATGGTTTGCTGTCACACTGGAGAGCAGGTTTATTAGCTGCTTTAGATAGAGAATATGTTTTTCAAGATAAGGATTTCACATGTCCCAAGTCCCCAATTTTCTGTTAAATCTAGGTGATGGTAATTGGTACCGTGCTTTAGTCAAGGAAATCTTACCTAATGGAAACATTAAAGTACATTTTGTGGATTACGGAAACACCGAAGAAGTTACTGCAGATGAATTGCAAATGATATCATCAACATTTTTACAACTTCCATTCCAGGGGATAAAGTGCTGGCTAGTAGGTATGAGACAGAGTGTGATGTTTTCTGATTCTTAAGGTATATAATCTATTACGCATCAGTGTCTGTGGATGTAAACATTTTGTGTGAGTTAAAAGATCCTACTTCATCTTATGAAACTTAGAGATGCATTCTCTTTAGGATGTTGGTCAGAATGCCCCCAGTAGTTGGTATTGGAGTGGCTGCTTTTCTGTAATGCTGGGAAGACAGACTGACAGTACTCTTGAAGGCATTTCACGGGCTTCCTTAAGGACATGAATTACTCATTCCTCCTAACTAAACAGTGTTACTTCCAGTAATTTATTCCAAAAAGACCTGGGAACTGTGCCAAGCTTAGCTGCGAGGAAATTCATGACACCCTGCTGTCAGTAGCTGCGGCACCTGAGCTGCTGTCCTGTAGGATTGGTTTGGTGATGAGCTGCATCGTTGGTGGGTGATGGCAATCCCCATTTCACAGGGGTGCTGTGAGGACTGCATGTATGTTTAGGACAGAGTCTGGCACCCAGAGTTCTGTTTGTTGGCTGTTACTTCACAGTCATCAAAATGGTGTCAAATGAGTGCTATTGAGAGAAATACTTGGTCATTATTTCAGTGGTGAAAACAAGTTACAAAAGAGATGCAGGAGGACCATTGTGACTTAAGAGAACAGACTGCAGAGCCAACTCTGCTACCCACCTGCTGAGAAATGTTGAGGCGAATTGTCGCAATTTTCCTCATCGGGAGAATACTAGTGCTGTCCTCAAGTATTGAGAGCACATGTATGGGTGTGCATTACTTCTGCTTGCACATGGAGATTATGGAAGGTTGGATTCCAGAATCTTAACAGTAGTCATATCAGGAAACAGCGTTGCTTTGCTCATCTATTGTCCTCCTACTTACTTTGCAGTCAGTGTGAGGTTATTGTTCTTCGTTACTGTGTTTATGTCAGTGTTTCTCAACATCTGACCCCCAAACTTAGAGTATAAGCATGGGAATTTTTAAAACATGCATTTTCTCAGGCCCCACCCCCCCTCCCCCCACAACAAATTAGAAACTCCAAGGTGGGCCCCGAGATCTGTGTTCCAACAAACCTCTAGGTGATCTGGGTGCACGCTTCAAGCTTGAGAATCGCTGCCGAGAAAATAAAGGTGTCAGCCAACATGACCCAGGGAAAGACATTCTTGCTGAAGTAATTTAAAATGACGTTTTGAAATTGTTCACAAAAATGAAAGTGTATCGGTTGGCATCTTTCACTAGCATAATTGGTAATTCATCATTGTGTGTGTAACAGAATATGATGGCACAGTATAAAAGAAATACTCCTTTATTTTTGGCTATTGAAAAAATGCTGGGTACCGATGAGAGCTGGGGGGAGGTTAAGGAAAGATTCGCCACCCCAAAACCCTGGAGTCACTAGCTAATGCACAGTCTGTACTGTGGGCATGGAGGATGTTGATGTGTAATTGAGGAAGGAGAAAAGGTTTCTCAAAATTGCCGACTCGAGTGGTAAACTTGGCAAAGGACTCAGTCCTGAATATTATTGGAGCAAAAAAGCAGCTTGCGTTTAGAATTCTTCCTGATGCTATTCTTATTTTCCAGATGTACAGCCTAGAAATGAACACTGGACTAAAGAAGCCACAACAAGATTTCAGATGTGTGTAGCAGGGATAAAACTCCAAGCCAGAGTGGTTGAAATCACTGAAAATGGGGTGGGAATTGAACTCACTGATCTTTCCACTTCTTATCCCAGAATAGTTAGTGATGTTCTTATTGGTGAACATCTGGTTTTAAAAGCTGGCTCACCTCATAAAGACCTGCCAAATAACCAACCTGTTCATGAAGATAGTGCTGACGATGACACCCAGGGGCTTCAAGGTAATGTTTTTAACCATTTATTTGATATTTAAATTTATTATCTTTTTGCTTTTATAGGCTTTGAAAATTTACCCATCCTAAACAACAACTTTGCTGTAGACATATGCTTTGTGGACATAGGTTAATAATAAGTTATTAAAATTATTAAAGTTATTATAATGTAATCATTACCTTATTGAACAAACGTTATACTTGTTTTTAATTATCAGGTAAATGCTCATCATACAAATGGGTATTGCTTAAAATTTAATTTTAAGATTTATACTAAATACACTACTGAAATGGACATGTACTATGAGAATGAAATCATTCAAGTACTCTCATTATAGACCAGACTTTTTTTGGAACACAAAACTCCTCAAGTGGAATTGATTCTTTCGTGAATTCCTGTCTCCATTTTGGAAAGATAGGCACGCTGAGAATCAGGAGCTGATGACCAAATTAGGTAGATAGAATCCTGGGAGAAGAGTACACACCTTGTCTGTTTCACCTGTGTTTGTTTTCAGCTGTCTCTACAGGTGAGCAGTGGAAGACGATAGAATTGCCAATTAATAAAACCATACAAGCGAATGTATTAGAAATCATAAGCCCTAATTTGTTTTATGCTATTCCAAATGAGATGCCAGGTAAGAAACCAAAGCTGGAGACATGTTTATGTTGTTCTTTTATTCTGTGTTGATAAAAGTGCTTGCTTTGAACTTCTTAAAAAGTGAGGGGAAGTGGAGGAGACTAGTGGTTTTTTTGTCACTCGCTATTTTGAGGAAGAATGGCTCATAACGACTGAGGCAAATGTAGTTACAAAAACACAGCTGTGGGTCTGGCGCTGTGGCTAGCATTGTAAAGCTACTGCCTGTGACACTTGCAACCCCTGTGGGTGCTGGTTCGAATCCTGACTGCCCCACTTCTGACCCAGCTCTCTGCTAATGGCCTGGGAAAGCAGAGGAAGATGGCCCAAGTGCATTGGCCCCTGCTCCCACATGGAGTCCCAGATGAAGCTCCTAGCTTTGGCCTGGCCCAGCCCTGGTCATTGCGGCCATTTGAGGAGTGAACCAGCAGATGGAAGACCTCTGTCTCTCTGTAACTCTGACTTTTAAACACATAAACAAATATTTGGTGTACTTTTCAGTATTTTTTTTAAATAATTGTAAAACTGACCTCGGCGGGTTTTCCTGGATTGAGCGTAGTACAATGATGCTGATGAAGAAAGTGGCCCTCAGAGGCTTCCTTCATGCCCCTCCCAGCATGGCTAAGGGTAACCAGGAGCAGGTGCACTTCTTTGTATTTAAAAGTAGAATGTACAATGCTTAGAGGGCTTTTTGATGGGTAAGTCTGAACTTATGTGTTGTTGATGGTGGTACTGGGAATGTTTCAGAGAGGAGTGCTTCTGTCTTTCAGAAAACCAGGGGAAGCTGTGCAACCTGACAGCTGAATTGTTAGAATATTGCAATGCCCAGAAGAGTCTGCCATCCTACACACCAAGAGTCGGAGATGCTTGCTGTGCCAGATACACAAGTAAGGTTCTTTCAGGCAAAATGTTAAGAGGAAATGATTGAGTCTGCTGCATTTTACGTGAGATTTTATAGATTTTGTTACTACATGTATATTTCATTTGATAGAGATTAAAGAAGGCAGTGTTGTGGCTCTAATTTATATGTTGGGGTCAGTCAGCTTTTTTAGATTTTTAAGATATACTTAGTGGGGCCAGTGCCGTGTTGCAATAGGTTAATCCTCCACCTGTGGCACTGGCATCCCATATGGGCGCTAGTTCTAGTCCCAGTTGCTCTTCTTCCAATCCAGCTCTCTGTTGTGGCCTGGGAAAGCAGCAGAAGATGGCCCAAGTCCTTGGGCCCCTGCACCCATGTGGGAGACCCAGAAGAAGCTCCTAGCTTCAGATCGGTGCAGCTCTAGCCGTTGTGGCCATTTGGAAAGTGAACCGATGGAAGGAAGACCTTTCTCTTTGACTGTCCCTCTCGCTGTAACTCTACCTCTCAAATAATTAAATAAAAAATTTAAAAAAAAAAAGATTTACTTAGTTATTTGTAAGGTAGAGTGATGAGAGCGAGAGGCGAGAGAATCTTCTATCTTCTGGTTCGTTCCTCAAATGGCCATAACAGCCAGGTCTGGGTCAGGCCAGAGCCAGGCACCAAAAATTTCATCCTCGTTTGTCATGTGATGGCAAGGGCCCAAGTACCTGAACCATCTTCAACCTTCCCAGGTGCATTAGCAGAAACCTGAATCAAAGGCAGCTCAGATTTGAACCTGGCACTCTGAAAGGGGATGCCAGCGTTGCAACTAGTGGCTTGACCTGCTGCACCATAGTGCTGGCTCCATAGGTTAATTTTAGGCAAAGATTGAGGTAGATTTACACAAATCTCTCAGTACTTACAGATAACCATCTCTGGATAACCATACTTTTTATGGTGGGTCAATAACATTGCATTTATATGTGGAGAGAGTGAATAATTTATAGTGCTCTATATGTGAGTGTATTAACAAGAGAAGTAAGTGCCTCAGGGAGTCAGACTTGTTCATTCAAGTGTACTTTATTCTCCCCTTTAATATTTCATGTTGGCAAGTTTCCTTTGCTAATGTAAGTAATACGTGCCATGAATATTCTGGTTTGCCTCCAGAACTGAGGTGCAGAGGGACTGGATCCACGTCATACGGCTGCTTCAGGATCTACCAAGGGTCTGGTTGGCAGGCTGAGACTGGGGTTGTGGATGGGCATGGCTCCTGCTCTCCTGCTAGTCCCTGGTTAGGTGAGGCTGCTGGCAGGTGGTGGCCAGCAGGGCTGCTTTTGGTCAGTAGCCGGGACCAAAGTCGTGGTAGAATCTGCCCCAAGGGACTTGGGCCTGCCCTCTCAAAGCAGCCCTCCTCAGTCCTGAGCTCCCTGGTGGTTTCTGAGCCACTTATGTGGATCTGAAGCTCTTCAGTTGGTGGATGGCTGCCACTGTGTCCTTTCTGGGGGGGATACAAGCTGGGGACTTGTCCTCCACCATCTGGCTGGTGTCACTGCCTAGCTTTGTTTTTCTTTGACAACTGCGTCCACCCTGTCTTCCCAGTTAGAAGTCCTACTTTTTGGTTAGAGCAGTACTGCATTGCTTTATCAGGATTACACAAGCAGCGTTCACCACAAGCCATGTGATCCACTGTGCTATTTCTCTTTGCCACCTGCATTGTTGGTAGGGTTCTGGGTGCTTTCACTAATCTGATGTTCTGCACACATGTAAATTTTCTTTGTGAACTGGGTCTCTGTTGGAAGCATCTTCAGTCTTCTGACCTGGTCCTGTCCAGCTGCTTGGCCTGATCAGCCTCAGGATTTGGTCCACACTTGCACCCCCATTGGTGCCTGAATTTCTCTCCTGCTTCATCTAGCAAGATTCCACCCTCCCTCTGCTTTCTGGAACCCTTGCTTGCTTTTTGGTGGACTCCAGTATTTGGGTAGATCCTACCCACCAGAAGCTGAAAAATGGTGCACAGAAGACAAATTTTCTCTTGTCTACCACATTTGAAAAGGTTTTTTCCCTAATAATTAATAGGTTCCTTTTACAGTTTAGAAGGCATTGTTTTTATTGTGTTTCAGCTGTGGGTATTTCTGGTCAAGAGATAGATGTCACCTCCCAAATCTGTACATACACTTCGGTTTTTCCTCCCGTTTCTGGAACTGTTAATCTTTGTCCAGTGATTGGAAGTTCGTGATGTGACTTAGTCTGGGGGTTTTCTTTCCACCCTGTGGACCCTGAAGTCTAGGAACTCATGCTTACTTGGCAGAAATTTTCCTGAACCAATGCTTTATCCTCCTGTGTTTCCTGTTCTCTTGTAGGAGTTCCAGGGCTTCTCATGTTGTGGTTGAACTCTTGGGCTCAATGGCCGGTTCTCCCTTTCACCTTTTTGTTGCAGTTTTTAAGAGATTTCCTCAGTTTCATCTTTCAGCTTCCTGAAGTTTTTATATCTGATGTATTTGCAGTTCCGATAGCCCCCCCCCCCTTTTTTTGGTTGTGTGTGTGTGTGTGCTTCTGTGAGGGATGAAGAATCACCTTTGTTCTGAGTTCTCGTCTCTGTTTCCTGGTCCTGCTTTGCTGCTTGGTGTGCTCTGTCATGGTAGGGGCTTTCTTATGCTCCTTGGTGACGCATCGCTGGTCACATTCAAGGTGAGGCACTCGGGGTAATCGGGGCGGGGCTTGTCCACTGGTGGCCTTCAGTGCATGGTGATCTGGCTCTGCCATTCCACTGGGAACTCCGGGGGACAGCCTCGATGCTTGGCCCCTGCCGGGGAGTGGGTGTGGATGGAGCCTGGCTGACAAAGCTTTGGCGAATACATCCTCCTGCGCTCAGCCTTGCATTCCTCAGTCCACGGCCTCCAGCCCATTCTCTCTGGAGAGAGGACCTCTAGTCTTTTGTCCTTGGTTGGGAGTAGTTATCTGGAAAGAGGAAAGGCATAGTTTTAGTTTTATTAAACATGTGAACATGAAGTTCACCATTTTCCCTGGCAACTTTGAAAATATGTGTGTTTGTGAACTCAGGTGTATTCGGGTGTTTTGGGAGGTAACTCTGCTTCCTTTACCTAGTCCTCATTTCCAGCTCTCTTTACTCCTACTTTGAGAGCACCAGTTATTGAGGCTTGGGGATTGGAGTTTGAAATGCAAACTTAGCTTTGGCTTACTCACTGCCAGCTTTGTTGGTGCCACCTTGACTGCAAATCATTTCCATTTGAGTATCTGCTTTCCAGCTTCTGGTGCTGTTTTGTCTTTTTCTCTTGTTCTCCATTCTTGTGGTTTTATGCCAAAAAAACAAACAAACAAACAAACAAACAAAACAAAAACCTGTCACTGCTTTTTGGTAGGATTTGGAAGAAGTAGATGACTACTTGGACTTCACCAGGATTTCAGCCACCAATCTTTGCATGAATAACTCTTACTAAGGGGCTGCTGACTGTGACTTCTTACCTGAGATTCCATTCTGTTTTCAGGTGATGATTTCTGGTACCGTGCAGTAGTTCTGGGGACGTCAGACATGGACGTGAGAGTGCTGTATGCAGACTATGGAAATATCGAAACCCTGCCTCTTTCCAGAGTGCAGCCAATCACCGCCAGCCACCTGGAGCTTCCTTTCCAGATTATTAAATGTTCACTTGAAGGTAGACTATTAAGTCACTTTCCAGTTTGGGTGTCCTTGGAATTTTTTTCTCTTTCATAGCCCAAAGTTTGAATTAAATAGATATTTCAAGTAACTGCCCAGATTTCTAAATATCAAGTAACATTTCCAAAGAAATTCCATGTCCTTCATTCTTTAGTTCTCATGGAAACTGTGTTCCAGTCAGTCTGTTTCACAGGTTGGTTTCAGAGTGACAGGCTTCAGGGACTCTGTTTTGTCCCGGGTTACAATGCTAGTATTGAATGGCAGAGCCAAGATAGGAATTGTGGTCTTTGACATCTCCTTAGGTCTTCCTATGCTTTATTGCATCTCTCTTGAGGGATTACAGGCATCCAAATGACAAATTTTTGGCTGCCTTACTATGCATGCCAGATCTGCATATATTCAAGTCTTAATTGGAATTTGCATAAAGTTAACTAAAATACATAAAGTAGCCCTTTAATGTTACTTCCAGTTTCTCAGAGGCCCTGGCAGCTATTACACGAATGGCCTCATGGTCTGTTTTTTCTTGGACTCAGAGTTGGAAAATTGTCTTTAATTGCTTGCTGTTGTGCCCTATAGACCTGCATTAGTGCATGACACCTTATAGGTGGTCGATAGATATGCATTAAATAAGTTCTTTTACATTTGCAGCAGTAGGACATCAGAACAAACCCAAATGCAGCTAAAGTCAGTATGCCTTTTGCTTGTTATCATTTGGTAATTTATCCAGTTACTCTGTTTTGTAAAGGGACTTGAAGACTCTCATTCTTCTTTTTTTCTAGGTCTAATGGAATTTAATGGAAGCTGTTCTCAATTAGTGATAGAGCTGTTAAAAAATTTCATCTTGAATCAGAATGTAATGCTTTTTGTGAAAGGAATTACTAAGAATGTCCATACAGTGTCGGTTGAGAAATGTTCGGAGAATGGTACTGTCAGTGTAGCTAATAAGCTGGTGATGTATGGTCTGGCAAAAAATGTCACATCTAAAAAGCCAAGTGCTTTCAATAAAGGTATTGTTTCAAGTGAAATTAATGGCAGGTGTAAGTGTCATGAATAAGTAGAGAATCAGGGTAGTCGGCCTGATCTTTCCCTGTGAGCTCCCCTCCCTTCCCTCCCTTAACAAACCCAGGGGCTGGGATCGGGTCCCTGTTGCTGCCTCAGAGGAACCCCCTTGGAGGCGGCAGTCATTGCGGACCAGATACCCTTAGATCAGGCCAGCAGCACTGAGAATTCCTGCTGTTGGGAGATTTAGAAATGTCAAGTGTCCCACACGTACCTTACTTCCAGTTCAGTTTTGATCCTGATGAAAATGAGAAGACTTCATGAAAATTTGAGATTGACTCTTCCTGGTAGTTCCTAAGAACTACCCTCAACCAAAAAGAAAGTTCCTGTATATGACAGGCAGCCGTGGAGATGTGGTACAACCCAAGCCACAGCAATAGACAAAACATCAAAGCCCAAAGTTAATCAAGTTCTTTGTAGTTAGAGCCCATGCATGAGAGGCAGATCTGTGTATGTTCACTCTTAGGTTTTCCATGTTGTGTGTGTTGAATGTTCTCAAATGGCTTTTGTCATGTTTGCTTTTAGAAAAGACACACAAGATGAATTGCTGCTGCACAGAATTACAGAAACAAGTGAGTAAAATTTTCCTTTAAGTGAGGTTATCCTCTTAACATTTTTAGAGACTAAATTGTACCATTTCTTATTCACCCGTAGGTTGAAAAACATGAACAGATTCTTCTCTTCCTCTTAAACAATCCTACCAACCAAAACAAGATTTTTGAAATGAAAAAGCTGTTAAAGAGTTAAGTAAGTTAAATTTGTTTTTGGTGCTTTCATATAGGTCAATAGGATGTCTCTAGTGTTGTCGGGATAGAGCTAATGGAGAGGAACCCATTGTAAAGCCTTATCTTGTGAGAGGATGGCCTGAGGTTTGGTGGTGAGCTGTGTGGCTGTCTTCCCAGCTTTGGGTCTGATGGTTTTTCTTTGACACTGCTAAGTTCCAAAGCTGTGAATAGCATTCCCTTGTTGTGAGAACGTTCATGTTACTGATAACGTGGAGACACTTTTGGATAAAGTGTGGTCAGGCTCAACTTCTTTGAATCTGGATTTGAAATTTACTGAAATCTGTTGTGTACATCACTATGAATATGTGTTGTCACTTGCTGTAAAGAGGACACACAGGATTTCGAAACCATAGTTTTTTGGCTGTGATGATTCCAGTGTTTAAAGAATACTGGAGGATCCTGAACCAATAGTTCTCCTATTTTTACTGCCTAGGATCCTTTGTTCTAAGGTGGCCCTCAGAAATTATTCTGTGACCCTTAGCTAATTAGAACTTCTGATCAAAGTGAAGCGGCCCTTAGCACCGAGTCCACTCAGTGGCAGCCGGTGGCAGAGGAGTTCCGATTGGCTTCACTCGCGCACGTTTGTTGGCGCTGTAGTTTGCGTTAAGCACCTGGAGGTTGCTCAGGAGCCTGCCTTGCTCTTTGTGAGTCTCCTGTGAATGTGCTGACCCTCAAGTGGGAACCAGCTGTGTTCAGACCATTTCCACGGGAAAATGTACTGGGGTGTTTTGTTTTTGAGACATCGCAGTTAAATTCTAAGCTAACATTAATGCAAGATCGACAGTTTTGGTTCTCATGATTTATTTTCTTTACAAATTTGGGGTCATTTTAATAAATGCTGATGTCTGCTGCAATTACAGCTTTCATTTCCTTCTAATGCGTTAAGTTTTAGTCCTGTGTTCCACGTGCTAGTGTTCAGAATCTTAGTTAATGGTAATTTAAATTTCATGTATTAAGGACCATGCAGTGACATGGACTTCTAGAATTTAGTGCTAACACCAAATCATATTTTATTAAGTTGGTTAACTTGTATGTGCTTTGTTCTTTTTATTTATGTACTAGTCTTTTTTTTTTTTTTCATAAGGCCACTGAGAGTACTTACACAATTGAAAATGAAACCTATGTTTTGTATTCCTAGATAGGTTAAAAATAGGGCTTTATAGTGTTTCCAGTTGAACTGGCTTTTCTCCTACTATGGGATTGAATATACAGTTTATCTACATTTGAATATAGAATCATACCTTTTATCTGAGAAGTGCTTTATTGACAAAGCACTTTTACATCTAGTCACATAGTTAACCTTCACAGTGCCCTTGATGAGGAAGTAGACCCCAGTTTGCATTCCAGGAAACTGAATCTCAGGGAGTTCACATGTGTGCCGGGGACCACACAGGCAGCCTGGAACCAGGTCTTCGGATTTCAAGCCAGGTTCTCTCTCCTGCCCTGTGCTGCTACCTGCATGTTAGGCTACAGGGTGTTTGCAGATTATATCAGTTCTATAGGGTATGAAACCAGGGAATTGTATTATTAGATAAAAATTACATATGTGGTTGCTCACCCGTATTCCTTTGATTGTGGTGAGAAAAATGCTGAATACTCTGGCCTTTCAATGATCCTTCCTAAAATGTCTAAAACCGGAAGGATTTCATTATCTCTGGAGAAATCTGTCTTAACTGTACATTGCTGTAGCAAGAATGCTGTGGGATTGACAACATAAAATTCTGTGTGCTCTGTTGCTCAAAATTGGTAATAGATTGTTCTGACGGACATTTTTGCTGTATTTGAAGGAGATGCAAAGAGCTGTATTTCACTTCTGAAGGGGGTTATTAGAAGCTAGAATTAACATAGAATACTGTTGTAGTTACTTTTTTAATTGAAAGATCTGACTTAATATCCATTAAAAGTAAGTATTTGGTTGGCTTACATGTAAAGTAGAAATTAACCATGGTGATGAGTTTTTCTTTCTCTTTCAGAAACGGTCTCTCTTGGAGATAAACACTTAATGAGGAATAAACCGTGAAGGCTAGACTCGGGAGAGAAAGTGTAGCATCTTGTGGTTTTGTTTATGGGAACTTTTTCTTTGGCTATTTTTCTTTAATGATCTTTTATGTGTCTATTTTTGTTTGCCTACCATTCTTGTATTAGATTGGTTAGGATTTTTTTTTCCTCTGAGTGCTTCCTAAATAAGCATCGCGTTAAAAAATTCATGGGAATACTGGGAAGAGATCCACGGGGCCTTGATCCTGTATCATTTTATTACTTCAGGAACTGAAGAACATACAGCTTCATGTTCTGGATAATTCATAATTCTACCTGGTGACTACAGGAGATTTATTATTTTCTGTACGTTGGAACTATTTCCTAGTAAAATGCTCCCTGCACGCCCCCTCATCTGCTTCTTGCACTTAATAAAGGTTCTTTGGTTTCTTGCTCCTTTGCTGTTTGCTCTTCTCTTGTCTGCTCTGAAGTCATCAGCCTACTTCCCTCCCGTGTTTGCTGGATGCTTTTCTGACCCTTGAGCTTCCTGCAACTCAACTGGGAAAGGACTTTCCCTTTCTGCCCCTGCCCTCCATATCCTGTCAAGTGTGCAGCTGGAGAGATTTTCACTCTCACAGAAGTTACTATTCTCTGAGAACAAATACAGTTACTTAAGTCTAAAATGCTAAGTTAGATAGAGAATGTTTTCTTGAAGCACATACGGTAATTTTTAAGTTCTCCTCAACCCAAACACGTGCAGATTATGGGCCAGCTGACTTTGCAGCTGGCCCCAAAGTTTGTTTGGCAGCTTCTCCGTGATTTGAGTAACACTTGATAACAGCCTAAGATGTCCTCCACCAACTCAGAGCAGTCACTTAAAAGCCCCCCCCCCTTTAACTGGTAATGTGTTTAAGTTAATTTGTGAGGTTAAATGGTTTTTTCTTTATGTAAAAGTTGTTCAAACATGGATGTGCTTCTACATAGATGAAAGTTTAGGCGGCTTTGCTCAATAAAATCCTTCTCACTTGTCAACCAGCTCACCCTGTGTTCTCATTGCCCGCGTATTACCAACTTTGCTTCTCCCTGCTGGGAGCACTAGATACTTGGTTTGCTCACGCTGTCTTCCATTCCAACCACAATGGACATAAAAGCAACAACTCTGGAATCACAAAATTAGTCTTTTATCAAGGAAGATCAGGAAACACATCAACACAAATAGTACATGAAAATTTATTTCTTCAAATTCTAATGTTTGATCAAATGGTACTGAAAATTTTAACAAACGGTTTTGATTATAAGTTTAATATTTGCTGATACAGCTATTTTCCTTGTTCCCAAAAATTACACTAAGGTCTATATTGGATATATTGCAAATATGGGTTAAATATATCCTGTATTAATTCAAAATACCAGACTAGTATAGGTCTTATTTCTGAGTAGGTTAAAGTTTCCTGTTTTCTAAAATTTATTTATTTGAAGGGCAAATTTCCCAATTTGGTTTACTCCCCAAATGCCCACAATAATCAGGACTGGGCTAGGCCAAAGCCAGGATCCCAGAACTCCATCCCGCTTTCACATGGACGGCAAAGCCCCAGCTACTGCCTCCCAGGGTGCTCATTGGTGGGAAGCTGGAATCGCAAGTGGAGCTGGGACTTGAGCCCCAGGTACTCCAATATGGAACGAGGGCTTCCCCAGTGGCATCTTAACTGCTGTGAAACGCCTGCCCTTAGAGGCTTCCTATTTTAGTTAATGAGTCAGTCCCAAACTTCATTCATGCAGTGAATATCGAGTTCCAACTATGTGCCTGATACTGTGTGGTGGGTGCTTGATTTCTTGTTTGGTAGGACCATGCCTGATTTCAGTCTTGAGGTCCTCTCTCAAAATGTCTGCTTTGGTCACAGACAAGTACGCTAAAGTGGAGACTGTGTTTCCAAACAGTTGATGGTCAGAGGGCTTGTCACACTGAGAATAAATCATAGCTGGTTTACCAGGTAAGGAATTTCTATCCTGGGGTACAATAATCAGTGAACTCTCAGGAGTTGGTGGGGGGTCAGTGAGGGAGGCATAAACAAGGTGCCTCTTGTTTTGCTAGATTTCTTTGTGCTGCACCAGCTAGAAGTCAAAAGCTCAGAAACGTGAGAATGTGTTTAATATTCTGAAGCTGAGTGCTCTTTCTCTACCATAAATCTCCAGAAACCAGCTCAGGAGCATCCTTCCCCGCAGGACTCTAAACTGCCAACTTCCAGGAGAGGAATCCAGTTGTCATGAGGCTCCCTGCGGGGGGGATCAGCATTGCTGGCAGGTTCTTGGCCCACGCAACTGCCTGCATTTGGCAAGTGGCACTCCTCTGGGATTAGCCAAAGAGGCCACCCGACCACTCGTCAAGGTAAGTGGTTCTGTGGCCAGGCTTGCACCCTGGCTGTTGTGTTGCCATCTGGGGAGTGAATCAGTGGATGGGAGATTCTCTGCCTTACAAATAAATCTTAAAGGAGTGGGGCTGTACACTTTAATTCTTACAGGCTTTAGCTTTGAGGTATCACTGTTGCTGCTCTTCATGTCCCCTGCCCCAAAGTTCTGTTATTAGCCCTACTGGCACATTTACTCTGGCTCAATTTGCTATCTGTGGGGCACTTCAGAATCAAGCCCCTTGTTGGCTCTGGGATGATGTCTTTGCCATGTTTTTCCTCGAGAAGGCTCTGGCTAGCAGCTGCCCTCTGGGTTCCGGGACGTACCTAACTTGGGCAGCTCTCTTAGGCATCCTCGTCTGCATCTGCTCCTTTCAGGCATGCCTTACCCTACTTCATCATTGGAGGGGCTGGCTGCAAAGAATTTGAGGAAGGTTCCATGGGGGTAGGAACCGTTGTACTCTTCACCCTTGACAGGACTCTGAGCAAACGGAATTAAGCTGCTTTTCTGTTCCCAAGCTGTTGGGAGAACTAGATGGGAAACCCCAGGCTGCCGCGTCTCCGAAGCTCTGATCGTTGCACTGCTGTGGGTGCCTTGCAGTCCGTGTTGCTGAGTGCTGAAGTCTCCACTTAGCTCTGCACAGCATTCAGCCCTCTCCATGGCGTGTGAGTTTACAACTTTGACACTACAGAGCCACTTGTGAATTCACACTTTTTTTCTTTAAGAAGGAAACTTTCTATCAGCTAGTATTTGCAGACACTAGTCTTGTTTATGTGATCCCTTTGGTTCTTAGTCCTATCATTATGATCAATTGTGAACAGAAATTGATCACTGGGACTAGTGAGATGGCATTGGTACATGCCACTTTGATGGGGTTGAATTGGAATCCCCTGGTATGTTTCTAACTCTACCGTTTGAGGTAAGTCAGCTTGAGCATGTCCCGAACTGCACATCTCTTCCCTCTCTTATTCCTACTCTTATATTTAACAGTGATCACTTTTCAGTTAAGTTTCAGCACTTAAGAAGAATTGTGTATTGATTACAGTATTCAACCAAAAGTATTAAGTAGAACAAACAAAAAAAATACTAAGAGGGATAACATATCAAGTTGCTCATCAACAGTCAGGGTGAGGGCTGATCAAGTCACCGTTTCTCCTAGTGTTCATTTCACTTTAACAGGTTTCCTTTTTGGTGCTCAGTTAGTTGTCACCTATCAAGGAGAACAAGTGGTATTTGTCCCTTTGGGATTGGCTTATTTCACTCAGCATAATGTTTTCCAAATTCCTAACAGGGATCCCAGTGGAAAGAACGGGTCATCAAAGAAGGAGGTACCTTTCTCTGAAGGGAGGAGAGAACTTCCACTTTGACCATGGCCTTGTCTAAAAATTATCAGAGTCAGTGAACTCAGGGGGCTTCCATAGCCTTGGCAGCTCATGACAAGAGCCTAGGTTGATTACTGAGGCCATAAACAAGAGTGTCAATTTGTTAAGTCAACAACAGGAGTCACTGTGCACTAACTCCTCATGTAGGATCTTTGTCCTTAGTGTGCTGTACATTGAGATTTAATGCTATAACTAGTACTCAAACAGTATTTTTCACTTTATGTTTCTGTGTGGGAGCAAACTGTTGAAATCTTTACTTAATGTATGCTAAACTGATCTTCTGTATATAAAGAGAATTGAAAATGAATCTTGATGTGAATGGAAGGGGAGAGGGAGTGGGAAAGGGGAGGGTTGCGGGTGGGAGGGACGTTATGGGGGGGAGCCATTATAATCCATAAGCTGTACTTTGGAAATTTATATTCACTAAATAAAAGTTTTTTTTAAAAAAGGAAACTTACTGTGTACAGGTCCCAAAGATGAATAGGCAAAGTCCTGTTGAGCAGGGAGCTCACAAGCCCTTCGGGATGATGGTCGTTTATAATAATTATTTAAATTCCCCTAAAGCTTTACAAAGGAAGGATCATTGCAGATGACGGAAGCAGCTACAAAGCCTTCCCTGCTGCCGGTCACCTGCTGCCCACTCTCCAGTGCCTTGGCCGTCCCTCTGTCCGCCTCCAGGCAGACTGGCTGCACTTGGATGTGAGGAAGTTTGCAGCAACTGATGTCTCTGCTAGTACCTACACTCTTAGCCCTTCTTAATCATGCGATGAAAATGTGAAATTACCCCCAGGTAAGAACTGGATTGAATCCAGGATCGAAACTTCTCTGATGTAAGCCTGGTTAGGCAGAGGTGCGCTGATAAATGCTGAGCGAGCAGCAGAAGGGGTGGAATTTCTGCTTTGACCAGGGCCTAGGATTGCCAGGCCTCCCTATATGGAACCGTACAACCATTCGCCACTGTGGCAACTGAGAAGTGCTGTGAGTAAATAATACAGCAGGATTTCAAAAGCCCATATCACATGCCTCTCGTACATCGATTACCTGTTAAGGTGTTTCGGATCATGGGGTTAAAAGTGTTAAAGTTTAGTTCACCTGGGTCTCGCTTTTTTAACATGGCCAATAGAACACCGAAAAGGACACGGGCCTTATATTACTTTCCCTGAAGATTGTCATTGTTCCAGAGAGGAGACCACCCCCCTCCCTGGCATTGGGACCTCAGGACAGTTGCTGCAAGAGCGAGGTGCTTGGACCATCCTCCACTGCTTTCCCAGGTGCATTAGCGGGGAGCTGGATTGCAAGTGTGGAGCAGCCAAGTCTGCAGCCGGCACTCGTAAGGGATGCTGGCATCACAGTGGTTTAGGTGCAGGCCCCCTAATTGCATTATTAAAATTGAAAGTTTAATGTTCCACAGTATCAGATGGGTTAAACACATTAGAACCTTAGATGGTAGCTAGACACAGGTTCCGGAAAGTGGGAAATCTAAGGTATGTAATGAACTCAAATATGTACATGTAGAATGCTGTTGCAAGAATCTCCATCAAAGTGTTCTCTTTTGGTTTTGGTTTTGGTAAGATGGAAGGAATGAGAATGAATGAGAATCAGAAGCATCCACTGGTTCACTCTCCAAATGGCCAAAACAGGGGCCGGCGCCGTGGCTCACTTGGTTAATCCTCCACCTGTGGCGCCGGCATCTCATATGGGCACTGGGTTCTAGTCCTGGTTGCTCCTCTTCCAGTCCAACTCTCTGCTGTGGCCAGGGAGTGCAGTGGAGGATGGCCCAAGTGCTTGGGCCCTGCACCCCATGGGAGACCAGGTCTTGCACGGAGCTGGCAGTCCCCCTCCATTCCCCCCCCCCCCCCCAGTATCTGGGCCATCATCTGCCTTTCCAGGCACATCAGCAGGAAGCCTGGTGGAAAGTGGAGTGGCCAGGACCAGAACCAACACTCCAATATGGATGATGGGCGGCCATCCCACCGTGGTGGTAACAGTGATGTGTCTCATTTGGGTGGAATATAGAATGTCTTGCAACTTCTTACTGGCATTTCTTGCTTCCTTTAATGAAAACACAATATACAATTTTTTTTTCTTGTCTGTCGGTTTCAATTACACGTTTGATGAAGTGTGGGAACAACGGGCTGTGCACAGTAAAGCCTTGTTGGTTGCATAACGTATGGCGGGCATTGTGCTGTGTTGCTTCGTGGAGTTTGATTTGTAGAAAACTGAGGCACTTTGTAGCCTTAAACAGGATGCTGGCCAAAAGCTCCGCTTATCATCACTCAGTCGCAGTAATAGGATGCACAGGTAGACAAAAGGCAGTTGCTGTGACACACAGAAACGTTGCCCAAATCAACGCTTTCTCCTGGGTCGGAGCCATGAAGCCTGCGGAGCGGCTCGGAGGCTGCGAGGCCCGCGCAGAAGTGAGCACTTGCCTCATTTGCGACCCTGTTGAGAAGCGCTAGGGGCGAGGCGGGCGCGGGTCCCAGGAGCGCCTCCCCCCTCCCCGCCTCTCTGGGCAGAGACAACAGGTGTCGCACGTGGCCGCAGCGCCCCCTGCCCGAGCCGAGCCCGCGCCCGCCCGCGCGCTCCTCGCGGTGAGTCTCAGCCCCGCGCGCCCGGTCCCCGCTCGCTCGGCGGCCTCAGCGGAGGCGGCTGCTTGGCGATCGCGCTCCTGGGCCGGGAGCCCGCTCTGCCCCCGGCGCCGGGACTGCGCGCGGCGCGTGGACGTTGCGGGCTTTGTTCGGCATTGTCTGCGCCCACCTGAGCGCGGCCTTTCCGGGAAGGGCGCACCTGGCGCGCCCGGCCGGCCCCCGGGGAGTGAGCGTGGCTCCCGGGAGGTGCCGTACACAGGTAAGGGGTTAGGGGCGCCGACTGAGCGGAGGCGGGGAGGGGGCATGTTCTGGGAGGCCCGCGCTGCCGGGCACTGGCGCGGGGCCCCCTTACCCGGCCGGCGCCGAAGGGGACTCGCCTTGTGCATAAGGCGTTGTGGGGACATCGTTCGCCCCCAGCAGCCGTACACACACAGGTGCTGGGAGACTCCGCGAAACTTTTCCAAGCAGCCGGGAGCCCACAGCGAGCCCAGACGCCGGCAAGGACTCGACCCTGGGTGATGGGAAGCCCGGGGATTTGCCCTCCTTGGGGACCTCGCGAGCTGGAACACCCTCCTCTTGCTCAGCCCACACCCAGCCCCGATTCCGGCTACTTATGGCCAGGTCTTTGGCCGCCTGCTGGAAGGGCCCCAGCACTAATGGCACGCAGGCTTTCCGGGGGCACCGAGTTAAGAACGTCTTTTAAGGACATCAGGGGCCGGCGCCGCGGCTCACTAGGCTAATCCTCCACCTTGCGGCGCCCGCACACCGGGTTCTAGTCCCGGTCGGGGCACTGGATTCTGTCCCGGTTGCCCCTCTTCCAGGCCAGCTCTCTGCTGTGGCCAGGGAGTGCAGTGGAGGATGGCCCAAGTCCTTGGGTCCTGCAGCCCGTGGGAGACCAGGAGAAGCACCTGGTTCCTGCCTTCGGATCAGTGCGATGCGCCGGCCGCGGCAGCCATTGGAGGGTGAACCAACGGCAAAAGGAAGACCTTTCTCTCTGTCTCTCTCACTCTCCACTCTGTCAAAAAAAAAAAAAAAAAAAAAAAAAAAAGACATCAGGGGCACCTGGCGGCCTCTGATTGTGGAACCGGGTCTCCCGCTGAGAGGGCACTTCAGCGCCCACACTTGCTGTCCTAGTAACTAGGTAACCTGTGCGATTTTCAAATAAGGTTTAATTAAAAATAAAAAGCAAACAGAACCCCTAGAAACTGTTTGACAGACCCAGGCCTGAAACATCAAATTCTGTTGACTGAGCAAAGAGGGAACCAGAGGGGAGTTTGTCAAAGCTGCTGACTACAGGGCTCTGAGGCCTGTCTTCCTGCTGCTGATGGGGCACAAAGGAAGATCCACAGGCCTTCCCCTTCCCCTCCCCGTCTCCTGGAGAGGGGTCAGAATTCCCCAGACAAGAACAGGGGAATTCCTTCCTGTCTCCTGAGAGTCCCTTCTGTAGGCTCGGGTCCTCTGCAACAAATCCTAGACAGAGATTTAAGTTTTTACAGATTAGGAAACAAGAGTTTTCCCGCATATCTCCAGCCCACCCCTGCATAGCTGCCCTTAGAGTGGCACGTTGGTAACAACTGTTGGACCTGTGCTAACACTGACTGTGGCCCAAAGTGCATGGCTGAATTTAGGGTTCACTCTTGCTGTCCGTTCTGTGGGTGTGGCAAAGTTAATGACAGGCACCCACAGCCTTTGTAGCGGTGTGGTCCTTTCCCTGCCTGCCCTGGAAGCCCGCCCCTGGCAGTACCCGTCCGTCTTCTCCTTGTGCCTCTTCCCGAATGTCCTGGTTGGGGAAGGAGCCCTTCCTATCGACTTTTACTTAGTAATCCGCCTCTAAGTTCTGACTCCTGACTGTTTGAACTTGGTAAACAGCATAACCGTCGACTGGCCTCGGTGGCTGCAGGTGCACTCCACCCACCCTGTGCACCTCTCACAACTAGGAAGCATCTGGGCTGCATCCTCAATGCCTGGAAGGGTGCCAGGTGTCCGGCAGGTGCCTCATTTTCATTGGATAAGTGAAATGTCATCCTGCCAATGGAAGACTCACCTCCACCATGAAGTGTTTAGAACACAGTAGGCCGGTGCCGCGGCTCACTAGGCTAATCCTTTGCCTTGCGGCACCAGCACACCGGGTTCTAGTCCCGGTCGGGGCGCCGGATTCTGTCCCGGTTGCCCCTCTTCCAGGCCAGCTCTCTGCTGTGGCCCGGGAGTGCAGTGGAGGATGGCCCAAGTGCTTGGGCCCTGCAGCCCGTGGGAGACCTGGGGAAGCACCTGGCTCCTGGCTTCGGATCAGCGCAGTGCGCCGGCCGCAGTGCGGCGGCCATTGGAGGGTGAACCAATAGCAAAAGGAAGACCTTTCTCTCTGTCTCTCTCACTGTCCACTCTGCCTGTCAAAAAAAAAAAAAAAAAAAAAAAAAAAACCAAAAAAACACAGTAGCATTCAGGCTTGTGCACTTGACCTTCAGGAAATAAAACCATTGGAGGGGGCTGTGGTAGAACTGTTAATTTTCTGTCTGAGCTAAAAGATTGTTTTGAAATTCCATACCTCCCATCACCCACAAAGCTGTTGGAAGACTCCCTGCCACTCCCCAACCCAGCCCTCTGGGACGGTGGAAGGCATTTGAAGTCTCTCCCTGAGGTTTGCCCCTTTCATCTTCTAAACCACTCTAGGCTGCCTCCTCTTCCACCCACAGAATTACCCGTGGGTGTTCCCGGTACGATCACTGCCCTCAGACCTCTCACTTCCTTTCCTGATCCTACCTTTGCCTGCCTTCCAATCAGGAAGCTTTGTCCTGGCCCAGGGGTTTTTGCGCTGTCTCATGGGGTCCTGGCAACCTTTCCAGGTAAGTAGGGGTGCTGCCACTCCCCATTTAAGAGAGCAGGAAATTGAGACTGGAAGGAATTTGGTGGGAAGGCTCCTGATGTGTGAATGGTGTGCTCTCCACTTGCACTGTCACAGCTGAGATGACCTGTGGCTTGCTAGCTCTATGGCATTGACCCCCTACCTTCTCCTTGACTGTTCTCTCATGCATAAAGTGGAAATGATAAACATCTACCTTAGCTATGGGGTTATGAGCATTGTTAAATTAATATACAAGATGTAATCTCTCAGCGTCATTCGTGTAGTGTTTTACCATTTGGCAGGGACTTCTCTGCAGTGTCTCCGGGTATTGACAGCACTGTAAGTGTGTGAAAAAGATCTCCTGTTTGGACAGATGCACGAGCTGAGTCAGTGGAGTTTGTGGCTCAGAGTTAAGCAGCTGCTGGAAGCAGAGCTGGCTGGAGTCCTGCCTTTGGGGCTCTGTGCGTGTGCTCCTATTCCTCTGAGCTTCCTTGAACTTGAGTCCTGTACAGCTTAAAGCATTTTCAACAAAATGCACATGAAAATCTCTCCTGGCTTGCAGTGTTCCTTTGCAGGTATGGAGAGCACGGGAGACCCTGTAATTCATGCCCAGCTTTCCAGGGACTTCAAAAATGGTCATGCCTTGATGGCAACTTCCAGTTATCAGACTGTTGGGTTCTGAAAATCTGATTATTGTTTCGTTCAGTTGAAAGAGATACAGAGAGAAGTCTTCTATCAGCTGGTTCACTCTTTAAATGTCCACAACAGCCAAAAAACTGGGCCAAGCTGAAACCAAGAGCCTGGAACTCCATCTGGGTCTCATGTGGGTGGCAGGGACTCAAGTACTTGAGCCATCACCTGCCGCCTCCCAGGGTGCACATCAGCAGAAAGCTGGAATCGGGAGCAGAGCTGGGGCTTGAACCCAGGCCCTCAGATAAGGGACGCAGGAGCCTCGATTTCTGTGCCAAATGCTCCCCCCACCCCTGCCCCACATTTAAAACAAAAATTGTTTTAAAACTTCATGTGAGACAGACAGCTCTGATTATTCTAGGAGCAGCGTGACTTCCCCCAAGCAGCTTTTAAAATGGTTGCTCTGCCACAGCAAGCTAGAAGTGTGCCGGCTACTTCCCTTGACTCTCTGGACTGGAGCCAGCTATTTTGCCACATGGATACGGAAGGTGGCTTTCGGAGTGGGCAGTGAGGGGAGGCCTTCCTGGCTGGCGACTTTGGGCTCTAACTTCAGTCTTTCTGTTGAGGTGTGAGTTGTGCTTCTAAGGGGCTCAGGTTTTCATCACCCCGATTCACAGGTGGCTGCCAGCCCAGGGCTAATCTAGTATTGGGGTGGGAATGATTTCCTTTTTCACCCTACACTCATTTCATTTCCTGTCGTAGAGGAGAAGGTGGGCATTGTCTTGCAAAGCTGCCAGCAGCCCTCGCCTACCTGTCCAGCCCTCCCATTTCAAAGGCAGCCTTGTTCTGGCCTCTGTTTCTAACTCCCCTCCACCCCTGCCCAGAAATGGAATCCCTGGGCAGTGCACAGAAGCATGGTTCTGTGACATTGTGCAGCCCGCTGTCCCACATGCTGCTGGTGCTGTGTAGGACCAGCACCTGGGGGGGCTTCTGAGCCCATGTGTGAGCACCCCAGAGACCAGGAATCAGCCCTGGCGTTGGCATGAGTAATGGAGCAGAAAGGAAGGAAGTAAGGTGGTGAGCAAGGCGTTTTGTAATGGGAAAAGCTAGACCAGGTGTACCTGGGAATGGGTCCTGCCCCTGGCTTGCACGTTCCCCCTGACTGCTTTGTATAAGAATGCCCAGGGCCCTGGCAGTGTTCTCGTGTGCTGGAGCGTGGGAGTTGCTGGCTGAACACCCTTGCCAACTCCTGGCCAAAGAGCAGGAGTCAGGATCGTAGATGCTTAATTATGCTCCTGTGCCTGTCTTCGTGCCCACAGCTCGTACCTTTGTTTCTGGAGGGTCCCCCGCCCTGTCCCATCATCACTCCCTCAGACACTCTCGTGGCTCCTAGAGTCTTTCCCCAGAATCTGGAAGGGGTGGATTGAACAGATTCCTGGAATGGAATCTGGTCCACGTATTAGTTATGTAGCCTCTATGCCTCAGTTTTCTCATCTGTAAAGGGAAGGGACATGAGTACAGTGGCATCCATGCAATACACGCTCACTAGATGGTGGTCACTGTTGACTTGTACTGTGAATGTCTCCTTATGAAAACAGTGTTTTCAAAATACCACCTTGGAAGGTTGCATTAGGAGTATAAAGTTTTGAGAGGGGAAGAGAAGGGAATAAATTGAGAATCAGAGATGATTGGAGGAGTTTAAGAGTGCCAACAATGTTTCAGAGGATTGAAATAATATTTTTACCTTTCACAATTGTTTTGTTGGAGAGGGGCAGAGAAAGTGTGCTAGT